TTTTAAAGATCATACGTCTTTCAGCCGCTTCAAAATTAGAACTTTGGAGATCCCTGAGTTTCTTTAAACTGTCTTTAATAAAGCATTACGAGCTCTTGAGATTCTTTCTTATAAAAATAAAACGTCGGGAGCCCCTGCGGTTCTTTAAACTCTTTTAAAAATAAAACATGGGGGGGGGGGGCTTGAGAATCGTTAAACTATCCTTTAAAGATAATACGTCGGGAGCTCTTGAGATCATTAAATTGTCGTTTAAAGATAAAATGTTATAAGTCCCTGAGAGTCTTTAAATTTTTAAAAATAACACGTCGGGAGTCCGATATTTTTTAAACTTTTTTGATAATAAACCGTCAGAAGTCCCTGACATTCTTTAAAGCCTTTCAAAATAAAACGTCGGGGATCCTTGAAACTCTTTAAACCTTTTGGAAATTAAACATCGGCTTTTTGTAAGTGTTTATTTCATATGTAAGGAACAAACACTAAAATTTCACTTAAACATTGTTTTTATATGAATGGGGGTTCAGCATACGACTATTGTCGCATGCGACATTTAGCATCTCATCTTTAATTCTCAATCATCAGTTGGTTCTGCTCGCCCACTCTTCTTAGAAATGGAAATTTCGACCTTTGTGAACAGCCTATTTCCAACTTCTTTTTTCACTTTTCTAAGATTACTAAAAGGGTTGGTAAAAGACAACACCTTGCTCTAGTGCTTTGATGGGTTTAGCTCTTCTGAAACATTTTTCCGGCCTTAAACTGAAGGATTTATCTATATAGCTATTACTAATGCTTACGTAAGTGATCTTTATTTGCTTTTACTAAGTACTTCCAAACGCTCATTAATAAGAACGTTACTATACGCCATGAAGAGTTCCAAAAAAAATGAAAATGCTTAAAATTTAGTGCAAAGTAACAACCTGGATGATCTAACTAAAATTATACTTATTTATTGTTGTACGTCAGGTAGTTTTTCGCATACTACCTTGGTAAATTTAGAACGAAAGATGCGTAAAAATATCACCCCCCGACAAGCTACAATTCACTCACTCCATTTCCATTATTTCGCTATGAAAATCTGTATCATCACCGTCATTTTCAAATTCAGATTCTGAATCAGATTCACCTAGCAAAATAATGAAAGGAGGTATAGATTCGTACGAAAGATTTTCCATATTTTTTCCCGATCTGCCAAAATAAGTTTTTCACAATGTTTAGAAAAATTTTGCCACATGCTTGGAGTACATTTAGAAAGCACCTCAAGCCATAAATTCTCCACCCTAGTTTTTAGTGAAGGTTGAGAATTTATATGCTTGTTGTAACAGTTCTTACAAAATCCCAACCCCATTTTAAATGGATTATATTGACAATGGTACGGAGGTAATCTAAGAACTTCATGGCCACTTTCTCTCAATGTCTCGTCTAGCAAATATCTTTTTTTTCTATTGTTTCTGAAGGGTTTAATTAAGTCCCACAACTGTATCTTCGAAAATTTTTTGGCAAATTCAACACTATGTTTAAAGAGCCATTTTGTTACATTTTTTACTAGAAAAAGTTGTTACGAAGGTCTAAGTTAATGAAGAAACAATTTTCAAAAAAAATGAGAGCCATTAAAGCCAAACAATTGGACATGATCTTATTGTTGAAATTTTCATGATATTACGATATGGCGTAAAATAAGGTACAAAAATGAATTCTATCCGATCTGTTTTAAATTAAGCTTCCGGAGTAATTTTATACCATAGGAGCCAGTTTTTGAAAATTCTTCTGATTTCGAGCTATGGTGTATTGGCTTTTATTCCTAACTCAAAATCCGTTTTTGAAATTAAGTGGAAATGGGACGTAGCTACAAAACGATTCAAGATTCCGTTTAGTAGTTTGCACTACTGAAATCTTTGAAGTTCTCTACTCTTTTCAGTCTATTTTCAGTTCGGGTTCTTGATCCGTTTAGTATTCAGTGATGGGTACATCAGAGGATGTCATTTTCCTTGAGAGTTGACCACCCAAAAATTGAGAAAAAATTCAGGAAGATATGTTTTGAGCCCCGATTCTTATTATGCAGGTCCGAATTAACCAAAAAATAAACTTTCAAAAAAATGAGAGCGATTAAAGCCAAATAATTTGAGATGATCTTAATGTTGAAACTTTCACTATTGTCGAAAATTAATTGAAGACATTTTCTTGTAGATTCACAGAAGTGTTTAAAATTTGTTTATTTGGGAGAATAGAAAAGTCAGAACAGGTCAGGTCACGTTAGGTCAAGTCAGGTCACGTGTATGAAACAAAAAATTAATTTTATAGCAAATAGTATAACAAAAAAATTACGATTGGCGCTTTTTTTACTTTTTTCACATACTTTTTCCACTCCCACTCAACAGCAGAACATAATTAGCCCCGCCCACCCACCCGGTCTCTATTTTACTGATTAATTTTATCCGGTCTGAATGAAATGAATGATCTTATACTGAACAGAAATAAAACTAGTGGTTAGATTGAGAAGAGGGGGGCTAGTATTTGTTAAGAAAAGATTGATTTTGGCAAATCACATACCTTCCAAGAAACTAGAGGGTGGGTGGGCGGGGCTAGTATTTGATGAGATATAACTGATTTTGGCAGTTTTAACATTTTTGGATTGGAACATTTTTCAACCATTTTCAAAATAGTTTAACTCATTTTCTTGTAGATTTCGATATCCAGTTTTTGAGTTAATTGTTGGACTCGGGTTTTTTTTTTATTTTGAAACAATCTTGAGATTCTAGGTATTCTTGTTTGGAAAGAATCTGAAAGTGCTTTGGAGCCTCTAGTGTCTTTTCTTATAATAATTTAATTAAATTTCTTAAAGGATAAGTCATTTACCAAAATCACTCTCATTTTAGCAGGTGCTAAAATTAAGAATTTTGTATAATGTGGTTCGCCCTCCCCCGTTTAAATTCCAACTGTTCCCTAGAATATGCCAGAAGAGTATCCACAGTGAAATATCCGTTTTTTTCATTAAGTTGCCAAATTTGTCGTTGCAGGTCTTTCCGAAACATATAATTTGTAAATAAATCCGTTGGTTTTCGCTTGCCAGATTGCGATGTTTTTAAATTTTGGTCCCCTGTTGATAAAATTTTCGCCACAGTTGATGTTCCCCCCTATGAGAAAAAAAATTAAAATATTTTAGGCATTTTCTTTTTAAATAATGTCACAATGACAAATTATCTATACTGACAAAATTAAAACATTTGTTTGCTTGATTAAAAAATTGCGTCTAATAATTCTGATCTAATAAATGAAGTGGAAAAGTGGCAATCCAACTCAAAGCAAATGTCAATCAGACGACTGACAGACAAAAAACTAAATCATCAAATCAGTTTATCCAACTTAAGAAAAAATATCAAAGCCTACTTACTATATAAAGATCGTGAATGGATAATACTCAGGTCAGGTCAGGTCAGGTCAGGTCAGGTCAGGTCAGGTCAGGCGCTTTTTTTTTACTTTTTTCACATACTTTTTCCACTCCCACTCAACAGAAGAACATAATTAGCCCCGCCCACCCACCCTGTATCTATTTCAGTGATTGATTTTATCCGGTCTGAATGAAATGGGTTATCTTATACTGAACAGAAATAAAATTAGTGGTTAGATTGAGAAGAGGGGGGCTAGTACTTGCTAAGAAAAGATTGATTTTGGCAAATCACATACCTTCCAAGAAAATAGAGGGTGGGTGGGCGGGGCTAGTATTTGATGAGATATAACTGATTTTGGCAGTTTTAACATTTTTGGATTGGACCATTTTTCAACCATTTTCAAAATAATTGAACTCATTTTCTTATAGATTTCGACACCCAGTTTTTGAGTTAATTTTTGGACTCGGTTTTTTTTTTAATTTGAAACAATCTTGAGATTTCTAGGTATTCTTGTTTGGAAAGAATCTGAAAGTGCTTTGGAGCCTCTAGTGTCTTTTCTTTTCTTCTTTTAGGAGGTGCTAAAATTAAGAAATTTTTTGAGGAAAAAAATTAAAATATTTTAGGGATTTTCTTTTTAAATAATGTCGCAATGATCTGTGAATCTGTCACAATGACAAATTATCTATACTGACAAAATTAAAACATTTGTTTGCTTGATTAAAAAATTGCGTCTAATAATTCTGATCTAATAAATGAAGTGGAAAAGTGGCAATCCAGATCAAAGCAAATGTCAATCAGACGACTGACATCAAATCAGTTTATCCAACTTAAGAAAAAATATCAAAGCCTACTTACTATATAAAGATCGTGAATGGATAATACTCAGGTCATTGAAACGTTGAAAAGGTGGTGTGTCATTTTTGTATATAACATGTTTACTTTATCTCTTTATGATAACTAGAGTTGTTTAAACACGTGCCGAGTGATCATTGAAAAAATATTTTTAACAAAATTCCGACCTTGGATGTAGTATATAGTTTTGTAAATTAAATAAAATAGGATATTAAACAAGAGATACGAATATATTTATTTTTATATTGATACAAATAGTATACACCAAAACATCCAAACTAATCTACGAACTGTTCAAATTACCTTTAAATAAATTTGTACTTGATAAAATAACAGCTCTTACAAGGATTTAACAATAACTTGCAAAAATAATTTGCAAGAATATCCCAAACTTTATTCACTTTACAAAATGAGCTTACCAATATTCAGACTTTTAGTCAGTTAATTTGTAAATATGTATATACATTAGTCGTTCATTTGTTGTATCTAAACCTTAATTAAAACTCACTGCCATACAACTAAATTCTAAAATAATTTCACTGAAACTTGCATAAAAAAGCTCGGACTTTTTTAAGCAAAACGAAGAGAAAAGAGATCAACGTAAATCATAAATGAACAACGTAACTAGAGTTTGTGATGCTCGTTAATAAGGCAAGCGCTCCTTTACGTTTGTTATCGAAAACAGAATCGACGAAGCTGCACAAAATAAACTAAACTTTGTTAGCTTTGTAAGCAAAAATAAGAAACAAAAGAAAACTAGAAGTATCAGTGTAAAACAGTTATATTTTCAGATTGTTCCTTTAAAAAACTACAAGCTATCATGGTGTAAAAAGCTAGGCACAGGTAATAGGCTGGGGGGTAAAAAACCGCCTCGTACTATCAGTGCATCGAACTGTACCTTAAAATGCACGATCACCGGTGTGAATCGAAAAACAATTAGCTGGTTCTCAAGCGTAGGTACAAAAATACATACAATTCATAATTCGGACTCTGATTAATCAAAAAGGTACTCTGCAATAGTCCACAAATAATCAAAACCCACCCGCTTTTTCGTCGTCCCTAACTCACATCGTCCACTAACCACTGTGTACAACTTGTAAAAAAATATACATTTCATAGGCTATCATCAATCATCGTCGCGAGAGGGTTTTTGCATGCGACAATTATTTTTGGACTACCCTCACACTTTACGCTCACAAACATAACACCAATTTTCCGATTTCGGTAAAATAAAGAAAACAACTAAGGAAACAATTACATGATTTCAGAAATCATAAAACAATGATTAGCGCCACTAATATTCCAAAAAGAATATAATTTATCACAGACAATCTTGTATAAATTTTTCTTGTCCACAAATTCATTAAAACCTAGCTATTGTTTAAAACGACTTGAAACAAAAAAACATATTAAAAAGCCTACAAGTATGTTTTCGGTAGTTTGGAACTACGCCGCCCCCGACTCGAACCGAAACCAACACCAGTTCCACAGGCCCAACACATTTAAAGCCAAATTAACGTCAACATATATTGCACATGTTCAGTTACGTATCCGAATTGTTACATACTTTAAATGACACATCAAAACAGCAAATATATAGTGATTTCCTTATGTACACGAGCGGCGGTCTCGCGCGAGAAGTCGGGCCACCCCCACCAAAAACGGCTTCAAACAATTTGGTCCTAATATCAGATTACTGACCGCTACATCGCCCCAAACTGGGAAAACTATCACACATCCGAAGCCGTTTTCCCCCATTTATTCTTAATATCACCCAAAATTTCCCGAAAATTTCGACCGTAACTGTGATGGGCTCCGCAAATATAAATAAATCCGTAAAATTATAAAGACTAAAATCCCCCCCTTGGGCGTGGCCCCTCCTCGCCCCGCCGCTAAAACAACAAACAAATTTCGCCAAAAACACGTAAATCAGCTCAACTGACCCTAGCACCAGCAACAAACAAATTTAGGCTCCGCCCCCGACTGGCCGTAGAAGTGGCATTCGGTACGATTCCGCGCGATCAATTGTTATAGGTCTGCTCGGCGATGAGGACGCCGTTCTCGTCCATCAGAGCCTGCTCGTTCTCGACGATGGCGAAGTCGTTACCTTGGAGGCCGCGCCCTATGCTGAACTCGTCCTCGGCCCCCAGGTGCCGCTCAATGTTATTGTCTTCGTTGGCCTCGTTCAAGTTCATGAAGTACGTCAGGTCCTGGTCCCGCGCCGCCCCGTTGCTGCGGATCGGCTGCCCGTTGAGCAGGCAGTCGCCGTTCACGGTGTAGTTGAAGGCCGTCTCGGCGACGAGCAGCGGCGTCGACGGGTACGAGCGCGAGCTCTGGCTGTTGAAGTTCTTCGCCGGCTGCGGCTTGAACGACAGCGGCGTGCTGGGCACCGACCGCGACGGGTTGCCCTTGAGGTCGTAGCAGCTGTTCACGTCGATGCTCTGGGAGCGGGCGAGGTGGCGCGGACCGGGCGCGTACGGGATGCCGCCGTCGCCGAAGGCCGGCGGGATTTCGAGGTTGTTGTCGACGATGAGATTGAAGCTGGGGATGCACTGGCCGGTGGGCGCGATCTCCACGTTGTACATGTCCATGTTGTTGGCGCTCTCGCAGGCCGGCTCGTCGAGGGCGTCGATGATGTGGTTGACGGAGACGGACTCGGAGATCGGGTCGAAGTCGTTGAAGTCGTTCTGGTTCGTCAGGTTCGGCAAGAACTGAGCGTCTTCGCTGAAGTTGGACTTGATCATCTGGTTGATTGGAACTGACTGGGACCTACTACAAACCAACGTACTGTGTGAGAGAGAGTGAGAGAAAAAAACCAAATAGTATATTATAACAGGTCTTTGTATTTTTTTAGAAATATTACATATATCGGTCAGCAAGAACCAACTTTTGTCGGGACAGGAAGGAGGATAACAATAAAATAAACACTGAAAACAAAAACAACATTAAAAATTCCAAGCGAAACGAATAATAAATCCCCAAGATACCACAAAATTAACATGCAAAAAAATTCAAATATTCTGAAAATAAAAATAAATAAATAATGTTTAAATTATTTCACACGTCGTTAACCTGGAAAACGAAGTGTTACTAATTTAGTTACTTTGTTTGTAAATTACCTCAATTATTTTTACTAAGGATGAAGTTATCTTACAAAAATTTTATTAAATTCCTTTCAATAGCTACTGTTGCCGAATTACTTAAGGTCGATTTATAAACTTGTCGCCATTGACGTTGGGTTTTCAACCAATCAAACTGCAGTTGTGTGCAGTGCTGCCAACTTACGATACTCAAAAACATGTTTTTAATTTCTCGTTTTCAATAATAAAATACTTAAAATATCACGTGGTGAATTCGAGGTTAGAATTATATTTTACGTATTATGTTGTTGAAAGTAAACTCTATACATTAAGAAAAAGAAGCCAATGATTAAGCCCCGCCCACCCACCCCTGTCTCAATTGTGGACGGAGATTAATTACAAAATCCACATTTCTTTGGAAAAAATTATCATTTTCAACTTATTCGTTGAACAATTAAGGGAAATATTGGTCCAAAGTCGTTTCTACAGAACTTCCCTCGCACCTAAAGTACAATGAAACACAAACGTAGTCGTCTTTTCAGAACAAGAAACTTACAACATATTTGTAATTGTAAATTTGTATAGGGAAATGTCGATTTTGCAATTACGCTCCGCCCCTCGGTCTGACAACGAATGAAAAATTCATCACGATTGAGACCGAAACAGATGGGTGGGGCTTTTGTTTTGGTTTTCTTTGTATAACACGATTGCTTAAGAACATATTTCACTCACTTCTTGGTTTTCGATTTTTTGGTTTCAAAATTTTTCGATTTTTTTAACTTCTCGATTTCTCGATATTTTGATGTTTCACTTTATTAATGTTTATTTTTTGAATTTTTCGATTTTTCGGCTTTTCGGTTTTCCAATTTTTTTGTTTCGATTTTTCAATTTTTTAAATTTTGAATTTTCGATTTCTTAATTTGTCGATTTTTTTATTTCGATATCTCAATATTTATTTTTTTTTTGAATTCCCAATTTTTCGTCCTTTCAGTTTTGGAATTTTTCAATTTCTCGATTTTTAATTTTTTAAATTTTGGATTTTGCTAAATCCTTCGATTTTTTCGACTTTTCGGATTTCGATTTATGAATTTTTGAAAATTTTCAATTTCTCGATTTATTTAGTTTTTCAATTTGAATTTTGCATTTTCGATTTCTTGATTTCTGCTTTTTGATTTTAAATTTTAGATTTTTGAATTGTACAGTTTTTCGAGTTTTTGATGTTTCGATTTCTCAATTTTTCGATTTTTCTATTTTTCAATTTTTGGAATTTTTAAATTTTTCGATTTTTAAAGTTTGTCGGCTATCGATTTTTAAATTTCTCGATGTTTTAGAATTTGTTTTCATGTTTCGATTTAAAATCCTTCGTCTTTTCGATTTCTTGATGTTTCGATTGCTCGATCTTTCGATTTTTTGATGTTTGGATCTTGATCTCGTTTTTTCGATTTTAAAAATTTGTCGACTTTTCGATTTTTAGATTAGTCGATTTTTGAATGTTTCGATTGGTGGATCCTTCGATTTCCCGACTTTTCGGAATTCGAGTATTTCAATTTTTTGAATTTTTAAATTTTTTGATTTTTCGATTTTTTTGATGTCACAATCTCTTGAAATTTCAGTTTCTCATTTTTTTCAATTTTTAGACTTTTCGATCTTTCGGTTTTTCAATTTTTCGATCTTTAAAATTTTTGATTTTTGGATTTTTCAGTTTTTCGATTCTTGAATTTTTCAATTTTTCGGTCTTTTAATTTTTTTGACATCTCAATATTTCAATATTTCGATGTTTCGATTTTTTGTTTTTCGGTTTTTCTATATTTTGCTTTTCGATTTTCCAATTTTTTGATTTTTAACAATTTTTGATTTCCCAATTTTTCGTCATTTCAGTTATGTAATTCTTCAATTTCTCGATTTTTCAGTCCTTCGATATTTCTATTTTCCAATTTTTAGAATTTCCAAATTTTTGACTTTTCATTTTTTTTTTATTTTAGGATTTTTTGATGTATCGATTCAACATCTCGGTTTTTCGATTTTTAAAATTTGTCGGCTTTTCGATATTTAGATTTTCCGATTTTTTGTTGTGTTCTGATTGCTAGATCCTTCGATTTTTAAGACTTTTCGGATTTCGATTTATGAATTTTTGAAAATTTTCAATTTCTTGATTTTTTTAGTTTTTCAATTATTTAAATTTTAGATTTTCGATTTCTTGACTTCTGTTTTAGATTTCAAATTTTAGATTTATGAATTTTTCAGTTTTTCGATTTTTTGATGTTTCGATTTCTCAATTTTTCCATGTTTTAATTTTTCAGGTATTAAATTTTAGATTTTTCGATTTTTCTATTTTCAATTTTTGGAATTTTTAAATTTTTCGATTTTTAAAATTTGTAGGCTATCGATTTTTACATTTCTCGATTTTTCAATCTTTCGGTTTTAGAATTTGTTTTCATGTTTCGATTTCTTGACATCTCGTATTTTCGATTTTTTAAATCTTTAGTCTTCGATTTCTGGATCTTAAAAATAAATAAATTATCAATTTTTCCATATGTAATTTAATTTTCGATTTCTTGATGTTTCGATTGCTCGATCTCTCGATTTGATATCTCAATATTCTCAATTTTTCGATGTTTCAGTATTTGGATTTTTGATTTTTCGATTTTACGATTTTTTGATGTTTGGATCTTGATCTCTCATTTTTTTTTCGATTTTAAAAATTTGTCGACTTTTCAATTTTTAGATTAGTCGATTTTTGAATATTTCGACTGGTGGATCCTTCGGTTTTTCGACTTTTCGGATTTCGATTTTTCAATTTTCGGAATTTTCAAATTTTTTTATTTTTCGATTTGTTTGATGTTTCGAGCTCTTGACATTTCAGATTTTCATTTTGTGACTTTTCGATCTTCGGATTGCCATCTTTCGGTTTTTCAAATTTTCGATCTTTAAAATTTTTGATTTTTGGATTTTTCAGTTTTTCGGTTCTTGAATTTTTCAATTTTTCGGTTTTTAAAATTTTTTGATATTTCAATATTTCGATGTTTCAATACTGCGATTTTTGATTTCTTTTGACATTTGGATTTCTCGATTTTGCAAGTTTTTAATTTCCCAAATTTTCAACATTTCAATTTTGTGAATATTTCGATTTTTTGAAATTTCGCTTTTGGGATTTTTCAATACATTGTTCGATTATTCAATTTTTAAAATTTTCAATTTTTTAGTTTTTCGACTTCCCAATTTTTCGTCATTTCAATTGAGGAATTGTTCAATTTCTCGATTTTTCAGTTTTTTGATTCTTCAATTTTCCGATTTTAATTCTTTTTAAATTATGGATTTTCAATTTCTCTATTCTTGTTTTTCGTTTTTTTAATTTTTAAATTTTAGATTTTTGAATTTTCCACTTTTCCGATTTTTTGATGATTCGATTTTTCTATTTTGCAATTTTTCGATTCTTCAATTTTTACATATTTTAAAGATTAGAATTATGTTGTTGAAAGTAAACTCTACACATTAAGAAAAAGAAGCCAATGAGTAATAAAAATAAAAATCCCGGGCGGCAGACAGACGGACAGACAGACAAACGGAAACGAGAGACCAATTTTTTCGTACTCTAGGAGAAATAAAAGGTCGCCAAGTAAAAATCATAAGAATTGACATAGGGCGGGTGGGCGGGACATATATTTTGCCTTAGAAGAAACTTAAAACATGGTTAAAATGGTAGTTTTTGCAAGGAAATATGGATTTTGCAATTATGGGGCAGAACGTAATTGTAAAATCGATATTTCCTTATACAAATTTCCAAACAAAAAGGCAAGATGTAAGCCCGCCCACCCGCCCTGTGTTAATTGTGGTGATTTCTTTTATTCGTCGTTAACCAAGGGGGCGGAGCTTAACTGCAAAATACGTATTTCTTGACAAGAAATCAAAAACATGTTTATGAGTATCGTGATGTCAAAGAATACAGTGTATATTAAGAAAAAAAGGCAAAATATAAACCCCGCTCACCCACCCCATCTCGATTGTGATGATTTTTTTTTTATTCTTAGAAACTTAACATACGGTTAAAATGGTAAATTTTTGTAAGAAAATATGGATTTTGCAATTAGGCTCCGCCCCTTTGGCTCTCGACCATTAAAAAAAATCCCTTTTTTCTTAATATACGTAGTCGTCTTTTCAGAACAAGAAAGTTAAAACATGTTAAAAGTGTTAAGTTCTTGTAGATAAATATGGATCTTGCAATTAAGCCCCGCCCCTCGATCTGATAACGAATGAAAGATTCATCACAATTGGGTGAGGCCTAATCTTTGGCTTTATTTCTTTCTTTATATACGTAGTTTTCTTTGGACAACACGATCCTCAAAAACATGTTTTTAATTTCTCGTAGAGAAACAAGGATTTTGCAGTTAAGCTCCGCCCCCTCGGTCTCACGACGAATAAAAAAAATCATCACAATTGAGATGGGGTGGGTGGGCGGGGCTTATTCGTTTCAGTAATAAAATACTGAAAATATCAAATGGTGAATTCGAGGTTAGAATCATGTTTTAAGTATTATGTCGTTGAAAATAAACTACATTAAGAAAAAAAAGTCAAAATATAGACACCACCCACCCATACCATCTCAATTGTCATGATTTTTTTTTAATCCTTAGAAACTTAAAACACATTTAAAATGGTAAGTTTTTCTAAGGAAATACGGATTACAACAATTTTCAGCTCTATGAAAGCAACGTCAGCGGGAACAGCAAGTTTATAAATGGTTTATAAATCCCACTTTATCTAGACTGATTTATGGAGCTTTCGGTGAAAATCAAATTTAAAATTGAACTTGACAATCCGCAGCAGTACCAACTTACAAACAAAATGCATGGCCAACTAAGATTTGGCTCTAACTCTGATTCTAACCTCAAAAATGCACTGGATTATTATTTTTTTTAACGAAAAATGGTAAAATTTCGTTATTTTCTCTTGAGAGTGACACAATTTGCTAGATTTGGCACGTTTGAAAGCCAAACTTTTTGTTTTGTCAATGATAAATACGCAACGAATTTGTGAGGTTAGGTTAACAAAATTTTACGGTCATTTGGCAGATTGATGATAAGAATTTGGTTCTTGGTCGTTTCCCCACCTGTACGTGAAATCCGAGAACCCGTCGACGTTCTCCTCCAGCATGTCGACCTCGTTGGAGACGTCCTGCTTGATGGAGGTGACGTAGTCCGGAGTGTACGCCACCTTGCTGTTCGAGTGGAGCAGCTTCTCCAGCACGGACTTGTTGTTGTACAGCATGGGGCTGGCCGGGGCGCTCATGTAGTTCTTGTTTTCGGGGATGTCGACGCACAGATCCGGCTCCCGCTTGATCTTCCTCCTCACGCCGATGCCGGCGTTCTGGTGCGTGTTGTTCTTGGTCCGCGGCACCGGGGTGTTGCGCGGGCTCACGAACGGGCTCACGTTGGCGCTGGAGCACTTGGACTGGCGGCCGTTGGGCGACTGCGGGCCCGGCGATATGGGCGTGAAGCTGAAGTTCTTGCGGCGAGTATTGGGACTCGGAGGGACCGTGTCCTCCTGTAAGCGCTTCAGTTTAACTGCTGGTCCTTGATAGTCGGTAATTTACCTGGAAGGGGGTTTCGAAGCTGACGCGACGCCTGGCGCTGCCGGGGGTCGTCGCCGCGCTGGCCTGGGCGCTCTGGACCGGCGCCGGATATATGCCCACGGTCTGTGCAGATACGGGATCGATTAGGGGATTTGTCAAGGTTACGGTAGGGCTATTGTCTATTACGAAGTTTTTGTTGTCGGAAATGCCGTTCTGCTCGAGGAGTTGGCGGAGCTGAGAGATTTTTGTTGTGTTGTCTTGGTCCGCGGTCTCGATGTTGTTGCTGAAGTATTTTGACAGTTCTTCTTCGTGCTGACTGTTGTTTGTACCTACACAAACATTGGTAAAGTCGTTTAGATAGAACAAGACCATGATATAATAATTCTTTAGGTATGATACTCGTGCGGCTCAAAATTAAACCAGTTCGCGCAGTGACGTCACTCGGTGAGTAGAACTAGTGGAATTTCAGCATAAAAACACGAAGAATCGCTAATATTTTTTAATTTTATTGTTATAATTCGTTACAAGAAAAAGTAACCACTAAAAATAAATACATTGTACTATTGAACTGTAATCTACATGTTAATTAACAATTTTTCTTGGAGTGAAAATTGTTTTCATAGCTTGATTTTCGTCAAGCTATGAACACAAGTTCGTCGTTTTGTTTTTAAGATAAGCAATTTTTGCTTCTAGATCTTTTCTCTGTATCTTGATCTGTATTTGTACTATGTATGTAAAACATAATTAAATATTGGATATACTACGTCTTCAAATAATCGTTTCCATTGAGACAGAAATATACATCATGCAAAAAAAAAACGTGCAAACATAAAAGTTATTCTTCAAAAAAAAACACTTTCCTTGAGTAAATACAATAAATAATGTTCAATATAGCCAACAGATTTACTTGTAGTTTCTGTTTTATCATCCAAAGCAGCACTTGCGTTATTGGTTTCAATGCTATAAAATAAATGAAAATATTAAATATTTGCTAAAAAAGAGTCCTATAAGATGTTCTTTGAAAACATTTTTTGTAGAGATGTACCGACTGTAGGTCTGGCCGACTAACCGACTAGCCGATTGTTCGGCCAGTAAAAACCGACTAGTCGGCCGACTGTTCGGCTTTGCTAAATATAGACAGACCCTCTTTTTCTTAGAAGGTATCTCATCTGCCAAAATCGGTTTTACTTTAGTAGGTACTATTTTGAAAAGCCAAGAATTGAAAAACTGAAAAATCGCAAAATGTAGTCGAAAAAATTTTAAAATCCAAAAAATTGAAAAACCGTAAATTAAAAACTGAAGTATCGGAAAATTGAGAAATTAAAGAATAAAAAAATCGGGAAATCGAAAATGTGAAAAGTCGAAAATTGAAAAATCCCAAAACTCAAATCTCGAAAAATTGGGAAAATGAGGAAAAATTGAAGAATCAAAAAATTGAAAAATCCTGCAACTGGAACATCGAAAAATGTAGAAATCGAAAAATGGACAAATTAAAAAATCGAAAAATCCAAAAGTAGAAAAATCGAAGAGTCGAAAAATGGAACAATTGATTAAACGAGAAATCAATAAATCGAAAAGTCTAACAATTTAAAAATCAACAAATTGACGAATCGAAACATCGAAAAACCCAAAAATTGAAACATCTTAAAACTCAAAATTTGAGAAATCAAAATCATCGGAAATTCGAGAAATCAAAAAATGGTAAAATCAAAAATTGGAAAGATCTAAAAGTCGAGAAATGGAAAAATCGAACAATGGAAAAACGGAGAAATTAAAAAATCGACAATTTTGAAAAGCCAAAAATGGTACATTGAAAAATCGGAAATTTTAATAATCGAAAAACTGAAAAGTTGTAAAACTGAAATATTGGTTAAAATTGAGAAATCGAAAAATGAAAAAATCGAGAAAATGAAGGAGCAAAAAATGGACAAACAGACATCTAAAAATTGAAAAATTTTAAAAACCAAGAAATTAAAAAGTCATCTGCCAAAATCAGTCGTATTTTATCAGCTACTAGCTTTCCCTCTCTTTTCTTAGAAAGTATGTGACTTGCCAAAATCAGTTTTATCCTAGCTAATAGCTGCGAAGATAAAACTGATTTTGGCAGATGACATACCTTCTTAAAAAAGAGAGGGTGGGTGGGCGGGGCTAGTACCTGCTAGGATAAAATTGATTTTGGCAAATGAGATCTCTCTTAAAAAATAGACGGCGGGTGAGCGGAGCTAGAACCTGCTAAAATCGGTTTTATCTCAGCAGCTACTAGTACTCCACCCACCCACCCTCTCTTTTCTTACAAAGTACTTCATCTGCCAAAATCGGTTTTACTTTAGTAGGTACTAGCCCCGCCCACCCACCCTCTCTTTTCTTGGAAGGTATCTTATTTGCCAAAATCGATCTTTTCTTAGCCCACCCACCCTCATTTTTCTTAGAAGATTGGGTTATCTGCCAAAATCAGTCTTATCTTATCAGCTACTAGCTCTCCCTCTCTTTTCTTAGAAAGTATGTCATTTGCCAAAATCAGTTTTATCCTAGCAAACAGCTGCTAAGCTAAAATTGATTTTGGCAAATGATATACCCTTTAAGAAGAGAGAGGGTGGGTGGGCGGGGCTAGCATCTCCTAAGGTAAGACCGATTTTGGCAGATGTGATACATTGTATGAAAAGAGAGGGTGGGTGGGAGGGGTACTAGTAACTGCTAAGATAAAACTGATTTTAGCAGATACTAGCCCCGCCTACCCGCCCTCTATTTTCTTATAGAGATCTCATTTACCAAAATCAGTGCTATGTTGACAGCAACTAGCCCCGCCCACCCACCCTCTCTTTTCTTACAAGGTATGTCATTTGCCAAAATCAGTCTTATCCTAGCTAGTAGCTGCTAAGATAAAACTTGTTTTACCAGGTACTAGCTCCGCCTACCCGCCCTCTATTTTCTTAGAGAGATCTCATTTGCCAAAATCAGTGTTATGTTGACAGCAACTAGCCCCGCCCACCCACCCTCTCTTTTCTTACAGGGTATATCATCTGCCAAAATCAGTATTATCCTAGTTAGTAACTGCTAAGCATTATAAAGATTTCAAAAATTCCAGATGTTCAAAGATTCCGCGGTTTTAGAAATTGGAGAAGTTCTAGTGGGATGGAACGTTTAGAAATTCAGAGATTCCAGAAAAATTTGAGATCGTTGACCTAGAAATGCTAGATGTAAAAACTTCAAACTCCAAAGCTTGCACTTTTTGAACGTGGTATGGATCTGAGACTTGTTCTTTACGTACGATGCACTACAAACTGTGAAACTCCAGCTTCAGCTTCAACAAGAAATACTACCAGTGACGTGTATAACAATTTACCTATATATTTATTATTGTCTATACCGGTTTATATATGCGACAGACAGTGTTTTTTTTCTCTATTTCTCTGAATACCTTAAAAATTGGTTTTATTTTAATAAAAGGAATAACTAAAGTTCCTTTGTTTTCCAAAAAATGTGTTAAATTTGTTGGGATAATTTTAACATTTAATTTTTTTTAGTAACTCAGTACAAAAATAAAGAATAACACAATTTAGGGCCAGTTTATACAATATTTTAAGTGAGATTAAGTTGATCGCGCATTTAACAAGGCCATTAGCGACGTCTGATTGGCGTAGAGTCGGTCACATGGTACTTTAACGCGGGGTTAAAAAAGAAATCGCAATTAAATATTTAATTGAGGTTCTGTAAACCGGGTTTAATTGTTTTATATATTATTTTAATTTTAATAAAAAAAGCCGACCGATCGGCTGTTTAGCCGACCAGTCGCCGACTGCAGCCGACGATGAAAAACGGCCGAATAGTCGGCTTATCCGACCGGTCGGCCACTAGTCGGTACATCTCTAATTTTTTGTAATTGAATTTGTTTGATTTATATCAATATTCAAGTAAAATAACCCACTTAATTTCTGTGATTTTATCCCTAGAACAAATTTCTTTAACTAACTTGGCTGATCTCCAGACTTAATTTTTTTTTCTTTTTTAGAAAGATAATTCAGAAGTTCGTGCTGCAAATTTCGTTCGAAATCGGCTTCACTAAAAGACTGTGAACACACTCTTGCATTTTTTACTATAAAAGAGTACGAACGACAACAAGAAATAACCCATACTTGTCCCTTGGAAACGAATAAAATTGTATGTCTTTCTGAAAATGCCTTGATTGTTTATCGCTATTACACCCAAAAACGCCACAACGCATCGTTGTGACTTTATAAAATTATTAAAACATAACGTATAACCACTAAATCTTCTAAAAAATACGTGGAAGACAGAAAATCGTCGCAGAATATGCGCGAAATGCCTGTGTTTACTCACCGAGTGACGTCACTCCCCCACTCCGTACGTGCGCAATATCATACCTAGTATTTATTGTATCATGGAACAAGACAAAGAAGAAGAATGTCACCTAAATATTCGTCCATGGCGTCCTTGTCCACATTGCTGATGCTTTCGAGCCTCTCCCTCGGCAGGGGAAAAACGGGAGCATCCTCGTCATCACTTTTTCTCTCCTTAAACCTATCTACGTTGTGTAGTACACCTTGAGATCTGATGTCCGCAGCGGCCTGCGGGTTGTACGATGCGTTATCACATGGTTGCGGTTTGGGTTGGATGGCTTTGTACTTTGCATTCTTCACTTGCTTCTTCGGGGACGACAGGGGCGATCGTTGCTGTTGTTGAGCTTTCAATCCGGAGGCGGCGAGGCGGGGTATCGCCACTTTGGCGGCGGCGGCGGCTGAGGCGGCGCCGACGCCGTTTTGCTGCTGCTGTTGCTGCTGCTGCTGTTCACAGACGGGCTTTTGGAAACTTTTGAAGTCAGGTAACGCTGGTAGTTGAGTGAAATCTAACGATTTATCACAGATAGGTTTGCCCTGAGTGGGACTCGTGCTGGTGCTACCGGTACTTGTGCTGGTACTGCTCTCGCCGGCACCCGTCAACGTTGGAGACGTCTCCTCGACTCGAACCGACGCCGGCGCCGTCTTCGACTTCTTGCCGCTCGGCTTTGGATCGCACTTTGGAGACTGTTGGGTACCATAATACATTATGATCGTTTGCTGGACAAAGTGTTGTCAAATTTTGCATAATGAACAATATGATGGCATCTCCAATTTTCAGAATAGTAATTATTGTTATTTAAATTTTGTACTTGTAGTTTATGAATCCGTGTTGAGTTTTTACCCTAGGTATCCAGATTTTTGTTAAACAAATCAAAATTGTATAACATTTTAAAACTGAACTTTGAAATTGCAAAACCGAATGCTCTGAAACCTTGAAAAAGGTTTAAGGTTATCGGAAATATGGCTTACAACTCCTCTAAAAACTGATGACGTCATCTCAAAATTTTGCCACATAAATCCTATCTAAAATGTGCAAAATATGATGAGTGACTTATCATTCTATTCATATTTTTTAGAATTAGTCAATTTATTTTATTGATTAAATCCAAAACTCCGGGAGCTTCGAAAACGTTTTAAAGTTACCGTGAGCATGGTAAACTTGTAATCAAAATATAGTGTTTATCTGCTACAAAAGTTATCGAATTTTCATTATTCAGTTTTTCAATTCTTAGATTCGTCGGTTTTTCAGTTTTCAATTATTGAATTTTCAATTTTTAATATCTCAATTTTCTGATTTTTCGGTTTTTCGATATTGTAATTTTTCAATTTTCAGTTTCTCGATTTTCCAACTTTTAAATTTTTCAATTTTTCATTGTTTCAGTTTTTTTTGTGCAGTTTTTCGATTCCTAATTTTTCAAATTTACAATAAATTATTCAGTTTTCAATATTTAAGCTTTCCGTTTTGCAATTCTCGATTTCAAATTTTTCAAATTCCGGATTCATGTTTTAAATTTGAATATGTATTTAAATTTTTCCATTTTAAATTTTTTAATTTTTTAAATTTTTGGTGTTGCAATTTTTTTCTTACACATTTAAATTTTTTAAATCTCAATTTTTTGATTTTTCAGATTTTTGATATTATAATTTTTCAATACATATTACGATTTTGAAATTTTGTTGAATTTTATTTTTCAATTTCAGTTTCTCGATTTTTCAACTTTTAAATTTTTAAATTTTTCGATGTTTACTTAATTTTTCATTTTTTCAGTTTTTCAATCAGCAAGTTTTCGATTTCCAGTTTTTCAAATTTTCTGTTTTGCAATTCTCGATTTCAAATTCAGGACTCATTTGTTAAATTTTCCCATTTTTTAATTTCTAAAGTTTTAAATTTTTTGACGTTTGAATTTTTTTAATATACCAATTTTTTGATTTTTCAGTTTTTCCATATTGTAATTTTTCAATATTAGGATTTTGAAATTTTCTTGATTTTTATTTTCTCGATTTTTCAACTTTTAAATTTTTACATGTTTAATTTTTCATTTTTTCAGTTATTCATCTGCAATTTTTCGATTTCTAATTGTTCAAATTTTCAATAATAATCGATTCAGTTTTTTCAATTTTTAATCTTTCCGATTTTGCAATTCTCGATTTCAAACTTTTGAAATTCTGCACTCATTTTTTAAATTTGAATATTTTAATTTTTCAGTTTTTTTTTTTATTTTTCATATTTTCGGTGTTGCAATCTTTCGATTTTTCAACTTCACATTTATTTTTTAATTATCAAATTTTCCCATTTTTCAGTTCCCAAATTTTTGAATTTTTTGACGATTGGAATTTTTTAATCCCAATTTCCTGATTTTTCAGTTTTTCGATATTGTAATTTTTCAATATTATGATTTTGAAATTTTGTTGATTTTTATTCTTCAACTTTCAATTTTTCGATGTTTCACTTTCGATTTTATCAGTTTTTAATTTGTAATTTTTCGATTTCCAATTTTTAAAATTTTCTGTTTTTCGAATTTTGAATTATGTATTCAGTTTTCAATGTTTAATTTTTCCGATTTTCCAATTTTCGATTTAAATTTTTTTAAATTCAAGACTCATGATTTAAATTTGAATATTTTAATTTTTCCATTTTTAACTTTTTAATTTTTGAAATTTTCGGCCGATTTTTCAATTTTTTGTGTAGAAATTTTTTTACTTTATACAATTTAAATTTTTAATCATTCAATTTTTCGATGTTTACTTAATTTTTCATTTTTTCAGTTTTCCAATCTGCAATTTTTCGATTTCCAGTTTTTCAAATTTTCTGTTTTTCTAATTTTCAATTATGTATTCAGTTTTCAATGTTTAATCTTTCCGATTTTGCAATTCTCGATTTCAAATTCTTCAAATTCTGAACTCATTTTTTAAATTTGAATATTTTAATTAATTTTTCCATTTTATTTTTTTTTTATTTTCCATATTTTCGCTGTTGCTATCTTTCTTCAGATTTATTAATTTTTTAGATTTTTCAATTTTTCAATTTTTAGATTTTCCGATTTTTGATGTTGCAATTTTTTTAACTTACACATTTAAAATTTTTTTAATCATTCAATTTTGCCATTTTCAGTTTCTAAACTTTTTAATTTTTTGACGTTTGAATTTTTTTAATATCTCAGATTTTTCAGTTTTTCGATATTGTAATTTTTCAATATGTATTACGATTTTGAAATTTTGTTGATTTTTATTTTTCAATTTTCAGTTTTTCGATTTTTCAACTTTAAAATTTTTCAATTTTTCGATGTTTCATTTTCCACTTTTATCAGTTTTTCATTTTCCATTTTTTCAGTTTTTCATTTGCAATTTTTCGATTTCCAATTTTTCAAATTTTCTATTTTTCGAATTTTAAATTACGTATTCAGTTTTCAATTTTTCATCTTTCCGATTTTCTAATTCTCGATTTCAAATTTTTTAAATTCTGGAATCATTTTTTAAATTTGAATATTTTAATTTTTCCATTTTTAATTTTTTAATTTTTCAAATGTTCGGTGTTGCAATCTTTCGATTTTTCAACTTCACATTTATTTTTTTTTTTCAATTTTTAGATTTTTCGATCTTTCAATTTTTAAATTTTCCGATTTTTCAATTTTTGGTATTGTATTTTTTTTTAATCTTACACATTTAATTTTTTTTAATCATTCAATTTTCTCAATTTTTCAGTTTCTACATTTGGAAATTTTGATTTTTATTTTTCAATTTTTTGGTTTTTCAATCTACAATTTTTCGATTTCCAATTTTTCAAATTTTCAATTACGTATTCAGTTTTCAATGTTTAATCTTTCCAATTTTGCAATTCTCGATTTCAAATTTTTCAAATTCTGGACTCCTGTTTTAAATTTGAAAATTTTAATGTTTTCATTTTAAATTTTTAAATTTTTCAAAATTTCGGTGTTGCAATCTTTCGATTTTTCGATTTTCCAATTTTTGTATCTTACACATTTAATTTTTTTTAATCATTCAATTTTGCAATTTTTCAGTTTTTAAATTTTTAAATTTTTTCACGATTGGATTTTTTTAATATCTGAATTTTCTAATTTTACAGTTTTTCGAGATTGTATTTTTTCAACATTACTACGATTTTGAAATTTTGTTGATTTTTATTTTTCAATTTTCAGTTTCTTGATTTTCAACTTTCAAAATTTTTCAATTTTCCATTTTATCAGTTTTTCATTTGCAATTTTTCGATTTCCAATTTTTCGAATTTTAAATTACGTATTCAGTTTTCAATTTTTAATCTTTCCGATTTTCCAATTCTCGATTTCAAATTTTTCAAATTCTGGACTCATGTTTTAAATTTGAATATTTTAATTTTTCCATTTTTAATTTCTTAATTTTTCAAATTTTCGGTGTTGCAATCTTTCGGCTTTTCATTTTCACTTTTTTTTTTCAATTTTTAGATTTTCCGATTTTTCAAATTTTTGGTGTTGTATTTTTTTTATCTTACACATTTAATTTATTTAATTTCAATTTTTCGGTTTTTCAATCTACAATTTTTCGATTTCCAATTTTGCAATTCTCGATTTCAAATTTTTCAAATTCTGGACTCATGTTTTAAATTTGAAAATTTTAATTTTTCCATTTTAAATTTTTTAATTTTTCAAATTTTCGGTGTTGCAATTTTTCGATTTTCCAATTTTTGTATCTTACACATATAATTTTTTTTTAATCATTCAATTTTGCCATTTTTCAGTTTCTAAATTTTTAAATTTTTTGACGCTTGGATTTTTTTTTAATATCTCAATTCTCTGATTTTTAGTTTTTCGACAGTCTAATTTTTCAATATTACGATTTCGAAATTTTGTTGATTTTTATTTTTCAATTTTCAGTTTCTCGATTTTTACCAACTTTTAAATTTTTCAATGTTTAATTTTTCATTTTTTCTGTTTTTCAATCTGTAATTTTTCTATTTCCAATTTTTAGAATTTTCAATTATGTATTCAGTTTCCAATGTTTAATCTTTCCGATTTTTCAAATTGTGGGCTCATTTTTTAAATTTGAATATTTTCATTTTCCCAATTTTAGGCTTCTAAATTTTTTGACGTTTGCATTTTTGGATTCATCAGTTTCTCAATTTGCAATTTTTCAAATTTTCAATAAACAATGATTATTTTATAAGGGTATTATTAAAAAAAATGTTCAATTTAACGTCTTCAGTTTTTAATTTTTCTATTTTACAATTTTTCAAATTGATGCCGTCAATTCAAAATTGAGTCTAGACTTGTGTTGTAATTTTTAAAATTTGCTTATACAATGTGACTCAAAAAAATAATATTACACTGCACCTACCCAAATTGATGTGTCCTTGAAAAACTGTCGATTTTTTTATCATCACAAAATTTTGTAAAAATCAATTTTATAATTTTTTGAAAAAATTGGATATCTTTTGTACTTCAGAGGCGAGGAAAGTTAAGAAATAACCTTCGACCAATTTTTTGCGGAGCTTTATGAAGATTTATCGTGTAACATATTTAGAAGGACTCCAAGTCTAATTAATTACACAATTTTTCAAAGATCAGATAATTTCGGTTTTTAATAAAAAAAATAGCACGGTTTTTTTCCTAATTTCACGATCAATCTATAACCTGACCTAAGAAAATAGGTCAAGGTTGGGTTATAAGAGATAACACCGGTGCCGAACGAAGTTTTTTCGGTCATAATTGTTATTTTTCCGTTGTTCTAACATTTTATATCAATTTTTTTTTCAACATTTAATACAGAATTTGTTTCTTCACCTCACAGTTCTTTCAGTTAATAGTTATTTTTCAAGCAAATGTGGTCAAAACCTTATCACAGCCATTCTTAATCGTATTTCCTGATATGCCGCGAGTTATGCAATTTGTTGTTAAATTCAATAACACGCGATAATTCCAAAGTAATTTTAAATCATCAACAAGCAACGAAATTTTCGTTTTCGCCTTCCACCCAGCGAACGAAAAAACTATAAACACAACAAAGTAACGACTTCCAACACAGAAAACGCGCGTCCTTTGATAACTCACCACTTCCACAAATAGCTTTCGTGTAATTCCTCACTCATAAAAGTACACAAACTCGTAGGTGCAGGTGTAAATAATTATAGCTTCAAAGTCAATACGACGATGGTTCAATTATAAAGTTCAAGGATGAATGAATTAAGCGACACCCACCTGCATTTTCCTCTTTCTCTCTTTAACTTCGTTCTTCTGCTGTATTTTTTTCTGTAGCTGTAACTGCATTTCCCTGTGCTTGGTTCCGCCCTTGGCACCGCACACTTCTCCTAGACAAAAACACCTAAACCTCGCGCTCACAACCCCCGTCCGGTTACCTTTCATCTGCGCCTCCGTCGCCGAAGTCAGCTGGTTGGCGGCGTCGGTGCCCACGCCGACGGCGTGCGAAACCACCAGGAACCTCGCCAGCGCCTGCAACGACGGAAACTGAACCTTGAAGTGGAACTCGGACCATTCCTTCACGATCAACCAAGCGGCCGCGGTCAGGGTGGACTGGGTGCAAGGGGCTTCAGTACTCTGGAGAAGGCGCCGACAAGTTTAAGCGTCGTGTTGCGATAATCACGTGCTTACCAGAGGCTTGTCGCCGAGGTCGGGCAATTTCGGAGGCTTTAACTTGAGGCATCTCCGCAAACCTGAGTAGCAATAGCGAGAATTGCCGCGAGTACCCAAACGCCTAGCCCTCACTTTTGGATACACTTGCTTCATCACTTTGCCAAAGTCGGCTTGGGAAAGCGATTTGATTTGGTTTTGCGAACAATATAACCTGGAAAGGGTTCAAATTTAAAAAAAACTGAGCATCTCCAGAAGTGTTAAAATGGCGACTTATTGGTGATATCTCCGCTAAGGCACGACAAGAATCTCTATAAAAACAATGACTTGGAAGAAATCTCTACCCATCTTAATTTAAGTGGCACTTTTGATTAACAAAACCACTTAAGTTTTATAGTATAAAATTAAACCACGCTTTGATCATCACTTGACGTGTTTGTTTTCGTTTTATTATCTTTCTGTTATCTTAATAACTTAACTTAATCACGATTAAACTGATCTGATCCTGGTCAATCTAAGACGAACAATACACACGAGGCACGAAAAAATATACAAAAATGAAACGAATCTTGGATTTTTCTGGAGCGAACTTACGTATATTCTTCGTAAACCTCCTGCTTGGGAAGGGAAGTTTCTGCGTCTTCTTCTAAGTGTGTCTTGATCCATGATATGGTCCTATTGATTTCCGAACGGCTACCCAATGGGTTCAAGGGTTGCCGCAAGGGGTCCACGACGTTGCTGATTTGAAAGAGTTTCAAGTACAGGAGATATTTTTCGGCGTTCGTTAATTCTTTCATCTGATCGAGGATCAGCGCTATTAACTGCCTGGCTTTCTCACTGAAACAAGCGCCAACTGAACTTTAACTAATTATTAAACCCAGAGTGCACTGGACGACGGGCTACTTTTATGTTTTCTCGACGCTTCATGACCCCAAGGGTACGAAAAATAAGTCTCCCATTTCTGAATTTTAATCAATCATTTTAACAATTTTTTTTATATAATTGTTCAAAGCAGGGAAGTTCTGTCGAAATAAACAAAAAAAAAAACAAATTTCATTTTTTTTTATTGTAGTAGCAACCTGTTTGGAAAGATGACCCCAACTGCACTAAACTTTGTTGTTTGAATTTACTCCACTCTACCCCTGGACCACCGGGCTAAGCCTAAGGCTCCAATATCCAGTCCGGCCCTGATCGCCCCTCAAACCACCCCCAACCACCACACACAGCCCCCGCGCCCCCTAAATCCGCCACCCAAAGCCCTTTGCTTCCCCCGATTCGCAAAATTCCCCTAGCGCAGATTTAGCGGTTCGGGGGCCCCCGGGGGCCGCAAAGCCGCGGTACGCAAACCATACTGACCTAATAGTAGGGCTCTCGTGCTCGTCCCTTTTGTCGTTGTCGTTCTGGTCCTTGGCGGCGTTGTGCTCTCCATTGTTTAAACTATCTTGTGTGGTGTCGGTCCCGGCCCCAGATTGTTGGTATTTAGTGGGCCATGGTGGGTTTTCCATCATCGCCAGCGCTTTTCCCGGCCGTTTCACTTGGTTTCCGTGTGAACCGCACAGTTTTTCGACACTTTACCAGCCAATACGGGCTGACAAGACCGGAACATTTTATTGTCAACTTAAATCAGCTGGTCTCCAATGGACGACAATCCTTTCCTTCTAAACGTTTTTTATCCATTGGCTGATGTGACGTAAGATGGCACATATGTGGCCACCAACATAACGAAAATTATGCACTAGCGGAACGGGGCGAGGACGCCCTCGGAACGGGGTGACGCGGCGCGAAAAGGTCGCAGCTGCGGCGAGGGGTGCAGATTTTAAATAATAATCGCGGAAAGTTCGGATTTTCATGAAAAATGCATGGGTTGGAGGAGACGTGGGTTGGCAGCACTGGAGACGTGCATTTCAACTACTCGGGAAACATTTCAAGCCTACTTGGTGTGTGCGGGAAAGCGCGATTTAACCACGAAAAAACGGAAATTCGGCCGGAAATTAATGAAAATTAATTTTTGGAAACGTCCTCGAGGTAAGTTAAAATCGACGAATTTTTTTAGTACGAAGAAAGTTAGTGGATGATCTTCAATGTCAAGGACACTGCGCATGGCAGGCTTGCGCGACGTCATGAACCAGTGGCGTGCAGGAGTTATTACATAATTTTTTATTGTGAAGCCCGGGCTGAGAACTTTCCTGAAGTGGGAAGCGGACAATGTATCACTTTTTTAATTACGTCATATTTACCGGAGTAAAATTGATTGTTTTCAGATGTTCACGGTTCAAAGTTAACGAGTCCATTATACATCAAGAGAACAAGGGAAGCATGAGCGATAAGATTTACAAAATAAAAGTATAAGCGAGAAAAATAAAAGCCACAAATACATGAGTATCTTTACTGAAGCCAATTAAACAATGATTTTAAAACACAAAACAAAAAAGAACGCCAAGATAAGACTGACATTGGCCAATAACATAGCCTCCAAGAAAATAAAGGGTGGGTGGGCGGGGCTAGCATTTGCTAAGATAAGACTGATATTGCCAAATAACATACTACTTTATTCAAAAAATATTAGGCACATAATATAAGATACAACTGATTTTGGCAAATGAAATCTCTATAAGAAAACGGAGGGCGGGTAGGCGGAGCTAGGACCTGCTGAAATCAGTTTTATCTTAGCAGCTACTAGTATCCCACCCACCCACCCTCTCTTTTCTTACAAGGTATCTCATCTGCCAAAATCAGTCTTACTTTAGGAGGTACTAGCCCCGCCCACCCACCCTCTCTTTTCTTGGAAGGTGTCATTTGCCAAAATCAGTTTTATCTTAGCAGCTATTAGCTAGGATAAGAGTGATTTTGGCAAATGACATACCTTCCAAGACAAGTGAGGGTGGGTGGGCGGGGCTAGTACCTGCTAGAATAAGACTGATTTTGGCAAATGAGATCTCTCTAAGAAAATAGAGGGCGGGTGGGCGGGGCTAGTATTTGCTAAGATAAGACTGATGCCAAATAACATACCACTTTATTCAAAAAATATTAGGCACATAATATAAGATATAACTGATTTTGGAAAATGATATACGTTCTAAAAAACTAGAGGGCGGGTGGGCGGGGCTAATACTTGTTAAGACAAGACTGATTTTAGCAAATGAGATCTCTCTAAGAAAATAGAGAAGGGGTGGGCGGGGCTAGTATTTGCTAAGATAAGACTGATGCCAAATAACATACTACTTTATTCAAAAAATATTAGGCACATAACATAAGATACAACTGATTTTGGCAAATAATTTACCTTCTAAGAAACTAGAGGGCGGGTGGGCGGGGCTAATACTTGTTAAGACAAGACTGACTTTAGCAAATGATATACCGTCTTAAGAAAATAAAGACTGGGTGGATGGGGATAGTACTTGTGAAGACTAATTTTGGTCTAATTATTCCAATTTTCTTGAAATTTTTTGGCACTGGAAAGGTTCAGAAAAAATCATTTTGTTGTGGTATTAACCAAATCAAATTTCATATACGAAGTGTTTATAAAAAAAACTAAAACTTAACAATTTTCAAAACCCGCCCTGTATTTTCTTAAAAAGTATGTCTTTTGCCAATATCAGTCTTATCTTAACAAGTACTAACCCCGCCCACCCGCTCTGTATTTTCTTGGAGGATATTTAGTTTGCCAAAATCAGTCCTATCTTAGCAAGTACTAGCCCCGCCCACCCGCCCTCTATTTTCTTTGCGGATTTGTCATTTGCAAAAATCAGTCTTATCTTGGCTAGTATTAGCCCGCCCACCCGCTCTTTATTTTTTTAGAAGGTACTGTTAAATTAAAATTTAATTTAGGCACTGTCATTCTATCATTTATGACAAATCATGTGATTCAAGCTTTACTGTCATTTTGACAAATATTAGCACTTCTCAAAAATCTATTTTGTCAAACGATGTCTTTGATATTATTAATATCCGACACACATGACACTACTGTCATAAATTAAGGTTATCTAAATAAAGCATATTTTACAAGTTATGTCATTAGTAAATGACAACTGCCCAATATTTTTTGAATAAAACTATACCTTCTGAGAAAATAAAGGGTGGGTAGACGGTATAGTTTGCCCAGTCCTAATTCGGTTTTATGATAGTACCCCATTGTGTAAAAGTTCATTTTCTTAACAAGAGGTTGCTACGGTCGGTGATGGGACAGTCATAAAGGATTGTTAAGGAAGTTAATTTCTATACATCATAAAACCGAATTAGAACTGGAGAAACTATATTAGTACTTACCAAAATAAGACTGATTTTGGCAAATGACCTACTCTACGAAAATAATGGGTGGGTGGGTGGGCAGGGCTAGTACAGGGTCATCAAAATTGATTGAGAGAGATGGTACCCCCTGTTTTTGTCGTGAAGTTTGTCAACCTTATGACAGATTTGTTTAAGGTTATATGGCAATGAATTCAGTGGCGTGACAAAAACTCGAAACTTCAAATCTGACAACTAATATTTTTACCAAAAAAAAAAATCGAAAAAAGACGCCACTGAGTTTTGAAATTTGAAACTTGAAACTTCAAATCTGACAGCTAATATTTTTATACAATTTAATAAACCAAATTATTCAAGTTCAGGGTTACCAACTCTCTCAATCAATTTTGATGACTCTGACAAAATAAGATTGATTTTGGCAGATGACCTCTCTAAGAAAAAAAAGGGTGGGTGGGCGGGGCTAGTATTTGCTAAGATAAGACTGATCTTGTCAAATAACATACTACTTTATTCAAAAAATATTAGGCACATAATATAAGATACAAATGATTTTGGCAAATAATATACCTTCTAAGAAACTAGAGGGCGGGTGGGCGGGGCTACTACTTGTTAAGACAAGACTGATTTTAGCAAATGATATACCGTCTTAAGAAAATAAAGACTGGTTGGATGGGGATAGTACTTGTTAAGACTGGTTTTGGCCTAGTTATTCCAATTTTCTTGAAATTTTTTGGCACTGGAAGGGTTCACAAAAAATCATTTTGTTGTGGTATTAACCAAATCAAATTTCATATACGAAGTGTTTATAAAAAAAACTAAAACTTAACAATTTTCAAAACCCGCCCTGTATTTTCTTAAAAAGTATGTCTTTTGCCAATATCAGTCTTATCTTAACAAGTACTAACCCCGCCCACCCGCCCTCTATTTTCTTTGCGGATTTGTCATTTGCAAAAATCAGTCTTATCTTGGCTAGTATTAGCCCGCCCACCCGCTCTTTATTTTTTTAGAAGGTACTATTAAATTAAAATTTAATTTAGGCACTGTCATTCTATCATTTATGACAAATCATGTGATTCAAGCTTTACTGTCATTTTGACAAATATTAGCACTTCTCAAAAATCTATTTTGTCAAACGATGTCTTTGATATTATTAATATCCGACACATATGAGACTACTGTCATAAATTAAGGTTATCTAAATAAAGCATATTTTACAAGTTATGTCATTACAGTAACGGTCATTTCTACGGAACCACTCGATAAAAAGTCAAGTTGGTAGCCCTGTCATCTAGTACTTTACGCCGAACGCGGTTGGTAGCGGTAGTTGACATGGCAATCGAAACTAGCACAACACGAATGTTTCGGTTGCCCTCAGCTATGCCTCATTGTATCCCGTGCAGACTGTATGTTCTGTTCATATATTTATTAAAATAAAATATCCACATTGACAATGGAGCTATCTAACCCGTCAAATTTTTGACACATATGTTTTCCCCCAGAAACCCGTCAAGGTCACTTACACCAAACAAATTTTGAAAATTTACACTAGGAAGTGGTTCTATAGAAAAGATCGCGACTTTAGTAAATGACAACTGCCCAATATTTTTTGAATAAAACTATACCTTCTGAGAAAATAAAGGGTGGGTAGACGGTATAGTTTGCCCAGTCCTAATTCGGTTTTATGATAGTACCCCATTGTGTAAAAGTTCATTTTCTTAACAAGAGGTTGCTACGGTCGGTGATGGGACAGTCATAAAGGATTGTTAAGGAAGTTAATTTCTATACATCATAAAACCGAATTAGAACTGGAGAAACTATACTAGTACTTACCAAAATAAGACTGATTTTGGCAAATGACCTACTCTACGAAAATAATGGGTGGGTGGGTTGGCGGGGCTAGTACAGGGTCATCAAAATTGATTGAGAGAGATGGTACCCCCTGTTTTTGTCGTGAAGTTTGTCAACCTTATGACAGATTTGTTTAAGATTATATGGCAATGAATTCAGTGGCGTGACAAAAATTCGAAACTTCAAATCTGACAACTAATATTTTTACCAAAAAAAAAATCGAAAAAAGACGCCACTGAGTTTTGAAATTTGAAACTTGAAACTTCAAATCTGACAGCTAATATTTTTATACAACTTAATAAACCAAATTATTCAAGTTCAGGGTTACCAACTCTCTCAATCAATTTTGATGATTCTGACAAAATAAGACTGATTTTGGCAGATGACCTCTCTAAGAAAACAAAGGGTGGGTGGGCGGGGCTAGTATTTGCTAAGATAAGACTGATATTGCCAAATAACATACTATTTTATTCAAAAAATATTAGGCACTGTTGTTCTATCATGTATGACAAATGATATGTGATTCAAGCTTTACTGCCATTTTGACAAATATTAGTACTTTTCAAAAATCTATTTTGTCAAACGATGTCTTTGATATTATTAATATCCGCCAGATATGACACTACTGTCAGTAAATTAAGGTTATCTAAATAAAGCACATTTTACAAGTTATGACATTAGTACAGTAGCGGTCATTTCTACGGAACCACTCGATAAAAAGTCAAGTTGGTAGCCCTGTCATCTAGTACTTTACGCCGAACGCGGTTGGTAGCGGTAGTTGATATGGCAATCGAAACTAACACAACACGAATGTTTTGGTTGCCCTCAGCTATGCCGTACTGTATCCCCTGCAGACTGTATGTTCTATTCATCTATTTATTAAAATAAAATATCTACATTGACAATGGGGCCATCTAACCTGTCAAATTTTTGACACAAATGTTTCCCCCAGAAACCCGTCAAGGTCACTTACACCAAACAAATTTTGAAAATTTACACTAGGGAGTGGTTCTATAGAAAAGATCGCGACTTTAAATGCTAAGTGCCCAATATTTTTTGAATAAAACTGTACCCTCTAGGAAAATAAAGGGTGGGTAGACGGTATAGTTTGCTCAGTCCTAATTCGGTTTTATGATAGTATCCCATTGTGTAAAAGTTAACTTCCTTAACAAGAAGTTGCTACGGTCGGTGATGGGATTGTTAAGGAAGTTAACTTTTATAAAACCAAATTAGAACTGGGGAAACTATAGTTGTACTTACCAAAATAAGACTGATTTAGGCAGATGACATATTCTCGAAGAAAATAATGGGTGGGTGGGCGGGGCTAGTACTTGCCAAAATAAGATTGATTTAGGCAAATGACCTCTTTAAGAAAATAAAGGGCGGGTCGGCGGGTCATCTTAATTGCTAACATTGAACTGGTATTAGCAAATGGCATATAATAATAACGAAATTTACTGTTTCGCCATTTTTAAAAATGGAACCTTATAACCTTCAATATTTTTCCTTTTTCGAATACAAAATTATGCAAAGAACTGAATCTAATCTACGCATATTTTGCGATTTGATGTAATAAAACATTATTTCATTGCGTTTTTGACTAAACTTTTTTTAAGCACTGGTTTCACTAGGAAAGCAATGACTACTACAATAAAAAAATCGAACGATTTATTTATCGCAGTTTAAATTTCAAAATAAACGCTGACTTTCCGCTCTTGCCTCCGCCACTGGCGCGCCTAACCTTACCCGGCTGCGAATTTCCTAACCTCACATTTCGTTGAATTTTTATTCTCGTCGAAAAAAATCGCCCAAAAGCCAAAACATGTTGGTTCCTTCGAGCGGGACAGGCCAGTACGCGGCGCTGTCGGCAAAAATAATCCGATTCGTTCGTCACGGTTGCACGAATCGACCTTTTTTTCACATTGTTGTTGCAGAGGTAAAACTAAAATTATTGTTAGCGATCTGTTTCAAAACCCTATTTTTAGCGGCGGAGGGAACAGTTTGAACCAGTTATAGAACAAGTAGGGTCCTATGATCCCATGCCAAATGAAAGAAATGAAAAGCTGGTCTCTCTTAATTTAGAACGAATAGCGTATTGGCTTGGAAATGGGGCTGATTGCACCAAGCCAGTCCAGGAATTATTAGGTTGATTGTTGTTGGTTTTTGTATGGGTTTTGGCACGTTTTTGCAGGTTTGTCTGGATTTCTGCCCATACATCCGTTGAGCTACATGGCGGCGTGGAAGAACCGACAAGTGGCTGAGGCAGCAGTTGTGGAGGAGAAACCAGAAGGCGACCATAAATGATTAGTTTAAGTAATACATTGTGTTTTGATTTAAACGTTTATTATGGACCAACAGACAAAGCACAGCACATATTTGAACTTTGCGACAACCTTACAAGAGATCTTAAAATGTGGTGAAATACAAAAATAGTGAGATTCAAATGGAATTTTGTAAAACAAAACCACCCCAAAAAGGCACTAAAATAAGATAAAATGTAATACTATAATTACCTCAAAGGAATTCTAAAAAACACTCCTCGAAAGTCTCAAAAAAAGAAGGTAAAATATTTGAGATATATGTTACTAGGTGATAAACATCCCACAAAAACCCCCTAATTAATCGGACTTGTCCAATAGTTTAGTAGCTGAAAATACACCAGTTATGCTAGGTTCACTTTCATCAACCTTGTTACCTGAATCCTTGGCTTTGGCCAAAACGCTGTCCACCCCACTGTGGTGTTTGAGGAAATAAGGGCGCACTAATTTTCGGTACAAAATCAGCGAGCCATTGAGCTCAGTGGGGATCATAAGCCATATTAAGAAAATGCACTACAAAGTCAAAAAAAATTAAATCAGCAACCCCCATCAATCGCCATTTTACCTTGATGAGCCAGTACAGCGGGAACCACCCCACGATGAGATCCGCGAAGAACTCCATCAACGAAAAAATGGCAAAAACGACCCAGTACGTCAGCCACTTGGTGTCATCATCCTTCTGCTTAGTCTCGATGGCGTGAATCGAGGCATAGGCCGGATACAAGAAACCAACCGAGTTGCAAACCAGCTGCGCCGCGTAACCGAACACCAGCCACAAGCCGGTGAACGCAATCGAGCCTACGTCCACAAAAATCACTTATTCATTCACCAAGATGGACCTTAACCCTTACCTACGAAAACGTATAATCTGTCCACGCCGGTCTTCGCTTCAACCATCGCCAACAAACTAGTCCACGGCTTCGACCCATCGTGCAACGCTTTGTTCAATTCATCCTTAAGTTCAGCTACTCGTCCTGCCATTTCTGTTAAATTTCGGTGACAACACAAAAACAAAGGCCGTTGCGGTGTTCAAGGCCAATTTTAATTTTAGAGGTTGATTGAGGTTATCAGCACAAGCCGCCAACTGAGCCAATTCGTAGACGAAATGTTATCGCTGGACTTGCTAATCTAAGGTTTCGGCGGCCCCCAGTCGAACAGCTGGATGTGTCACCGGTTTATCGCGGCGCCGATAACGACAAATTGGCGTAAAGATAAAATTTATGTGACCTTTCGGGAAATTTATTCGATTTGGTGACAAAACGAAAATCCCTGAATCGAACGAGTCGCCATATTGAATTGGTTACCTAATCTTGCTAGGCAATAATTCGGTAAAATAATTGGAAATGGTAGTCGTGGTAAGGTGATTTTAGTGTGTCTTTGTTGTAGATATGTTTCCTGCGAGAGCTTTAGTTAAGGCTGCCCCTCAAGTGAGGCAAATGTCGGTGCTTTCGGGGCCCCCACGAGTCCGCATTTCCTTGGCGGAAAAAACCGCCCATGGTCTCGTCATCACTGGGGCTATTTTAGCCGTACCATTGTGGGTGCTTGCCAACATCAAGAACTACAGGTCTCACGATTAAGTACCAAGGTGTTAACACAATAGTCTTTTTTGTAATTTATGTTTATTAATTAAATTGTTTAAATAGTAAAATGCCTAAGCGAAAAAGCAAGAGTTTTCTTCCTATTTATTCCTTAACATTGAATAGAAAGAGACAGTTTATTATGATCTGTACACACAAGATAAATCATATCAAGGACACCTGACTAGTTAGTTACATAAATATCATCTCGAATCATAGGTTAAATGCCACAATTTAATTACTTACACAAATACCATTGGCACAGTCAAATACGAATTTGATAAGTCCTAAACACAAGAAAACAATCGAGGGAAGGCACATACATGACATTAAAACAAAGACCAAGCTATCTACTTTATACAGTGTGTGGACCCTTTTAAATTTCATCTAGCTGAATGTCTTGGTGCATTAGTTCATAAATTACATTATTACCAACGACGTACCTAATTGGGATCGAATGCCTTAAAACACAAGTTTTTACAATTACGCTATTCCTTAAAATAACGACGATATAATGCAGTAAGGTATCACATATGTAACATCAAAGTATTCGAACTTAGAGTAAATTTAGTTAACTTTGGTCTTACGCAGGGACGTTTTATTAAAATTACAGATGGCCCCCAGTAATGCCGACCGGTCTTTGCTGGCTTCCGGGGGCGGCGGGCACCCGCTCGATAGTGGCGGCGGGGGAGGGGGCGGAGGAGGCGAGGGGACACTGGAACCTGCAAAAACATCGCTCTTAGCGCGGCCAACACAAAACCAAAGCGTGAAATAAGACTCGGATTTTACGCAAAATGTATCAAGGTGCCTGGGAGAAAACGTCAAAAATCGAGTCGCCATATTGTTTATTTAATCACATTTTATCGTGTCACAGAAAAATTGTGATGTTTTCCGGTAGCGCTTTGGCTAGAGCCCCTCGATTGGGGTTAGCTGCGAGACAGTACCACAGAATGAACGTGATTTCGGGGCCCCCACGCTTCCGCATGACTGCGATGGAAAAAGCGACGCACTTTCTCATCTTCACGGTGGTAATGATATCAGTGCCCTTTTTTTGCCTTGCCAACATCAAGAACTTCAAGCCTCGTGAGCACCCACAATGATTATAAATAACCAACTTTGTGTCGTTCGTTTTCGTTAAATAAATTTTGTTTGTTTCAGAAAAATATTACATTTTTCAGTGCATATAATCCGAGCTTACTAATGAAAATCAGTGCTAAGGTGTTGCAGGATTTGAGGAAAAGAACATTTAGCATGCTACATTGAGAATGCAGATGATTGTACCCTATGTAATAATTCCTTAAAAGCTTCTCAGGCCTAGGAAAAAGCAACGATTTCATTTTTTCATACACGTGAATTGCGACAAGGCGAATTTTTTTTCAGTGCCTTGACCAACTTGTGTTTCAGAGTGATCAGCGCCTCACCTGATATCGAAGGAGGTGTTGCTGTCCCGACAGACGTCGCCGTACTGCTGTTCACACTGTCAGGTCTATCACCATTTACTTTATCATCTTTTTCAGATTTGCTCTTTTGTCTCATTTGTTCCTTGGCGAGCTGACGTTGTTCTTGTTTCTGTGCAACAATACAACACAAAATTATAAAGCGCCATCTATGAGAAAAACCACCACAACGACGCTCAAACGTCAACTTAAAGCGTCCTCACCATTTTCTGTCTTTGCTTCTTCTTCTCCTCCTCAGAACTCATCATTTCTTGCACCTTCACCAACCGCTTCTGGCTCCTCACCATCTTTTGTTCTTCTTTCAGTCTTTCCTCCATTTGCGCACACGTCGCCTTCAGCCGCTCCTTAGTCGAATTCGGGATTTTTAAATGCGCTTTGTCGTCCGGTAGTAAAGTTACCACAACCGAAGAGAAAAATGGATGATTCAATAAAGATTCAATAGTAGGCAGGCCTGATTTACAAGCTTCAGATGAGAGTATTGATTCGAGAACGGATTCTAAAACAACCAAAATTAAATAAAAACTCCCGATTGACGCAAAAAATTACTCAATTGTGAAGAGCAACTGGGAATATTGTCAGCCACACTCTCGTGAAGGGGCGACCCGAAAGTCATTTCATACAGAGTGTGACCGAAGCAGTAGACGTCTACAGCCTGTAAAGTACAAATTTTGCGATGCTGCATGAAATAGGGGCGATAGAACGACGGCACGCCCAAGACGCCGTTCTCTATATCCAACAACTTAACTCTGTCATTATCAACAATGACATTCCCAGTGTGCAAATGACCTGAAACACGACTGTTTAAAAATTTAGCCAAATTGGGTCAGTCGAGTACCGTATGGCAGCCCCTTGTCCATTAAAAATTTCAAACCTTCGAGAATTTGTCTACCATATAAAGCCACATGGCTCGCTTCGAGCGGTTTGTGCCCTTTCGGATTCCCGTACTTTTTTAAAAACGACTGTCGCGGTTTCGAGCCACATATAATATCCCTCAGAGATCCATTTTTGTGGTTGGATCTGACTACAAGGCCCCCGATATCCGTGCACAAGCACAGTTCAATGGAATGTATGAATGGGTGCTGAATCTGATTCAAGCTTTTAAACAAAGCGTGCATATCCTTGTCGTCCAAGTATTTATCCGGACCGTAGTCAGTCCACCCCCCTAAGAGTTCATCCTTCGGTGAAGTTTTACACCTGATTTGATAATAGTGCTTCCTGAGCCGCCACCCTATATCCTCGAGCGGCCCCACAACCTCCCAACCCACTTCTCCACGTAAAGCTAGCGACACATGCTGGAGAGCCAACTCGCCGAACGGCTGGCAATAATTCGCAGGATCCACGAAAGACCGTGCCGGTAGCGACGACACTAAAATCGGATTCATGAGGATGCTGTTTAGATATTTCTGCAGTCCTTGTTGTCTCTCGGTGATAAATTCCGGGTCCATGTTCCCGATGAGCTTCTTTGGTGGTAGCTGGAGAGAGATTCCCGATGTTTGTAGGTAAGTGTGCAACTTGTAGAAGTCATTGTATCGTTTGTACACGCGCCACGTCTTGTCCGGAAAGGGTCCTCTTTGTACTTTTATAACGAATTCCTGGAAGGTATGCGTTATTTGCGGGTTCTTGGAATTTCGGGGTCTTACTGTGTGTCCGTTGACGTTTCGCCAGTTCTCGATTACGCAGCTAAGAGGTTCTGTATCATCTAATACGACCTTCTTGACGGGCTGACGCTCAAATATAGCCATTGAAATGGGTACATTTGCTCACTTTCTCGTTTTAAATCCATTAGATCGTGGGATTTGCCGATTAAAATTCTTTAAATCTCAGACATCCTCTTCGTTGACAAGTTGTCATAATAATGTCAAAGATGTCAAAGGGCGACCTTGGCCAATCCACCGACACAAAAGTTACTGGATTTTGCACCAGTCATTTAATAAGTATTATTCTCGTTTCAGATTTATTTAGCAAATAGAGCCACATTTATCCATAAAATAGTGATGTAGAACAGAAATAGAATGTTTTGCATAATATAAAACTGAAACACCCACAATAACTCAATTTCAAAATTTGTATACGTATGCAACCAACATTACACATACTTCACAAAACTGATAACGTCATAAAATGGGCTTGAACAGGAGTTTGAAACTGGGTAAAAATTAACGAGACACTTTGCCACTTAACTAGAGAAATTTTTCTATTAAATTACGCTCTCTGACACATTCAAATCACCAACAGTCCGCTCTTTAATAGCACGCATTATGTAGGGAATTCTCTCAAAGTCTGGTAAACCTTCCCAAACTTCTAAGTTTACGGGGACCACCTGATACCCCTGTGACTCTAAAACTTTGACATTTAGGTTCGTCGAACTCCTCGCTATCCTATTATTTAAAGTATAACTGAAGTGTCGCAGTCCTAGAATGGCAACTCTGAAACAAAGCAGTTAGAATTTTTGACAACTAGTCATTAACGAGAATTACAGCTGGTTGTCTGGTGGCACTTCAATCTCCTCAATGAACTCAACATCTTCTGGAAAATTCATAGCCACAGGATATCCACCCTTCCTAAAGACTACAGCGTGATCTAAACCAACAATACAAAAATTACAAAATTATTAGATAAACACGAACTTGACCCACCTATTTGGACCCCCGATTTCGAGTGGAGATCCGTTTTGACGTACCCCTCGCCCCCCAAAGCCTTATGCAACGCCGCCTCCAACGGAAACTCCAACGACTGCCTAAAATTCTTCACCAAGGCCTCTGGGTCATACGCTGGTGTTAACAAACAGTTGAACTCGGGCCTAAATAACTTGATAGACTGCCAAACGGTGACGTAATTCTCAAAGTCAGACATAAATTCTAAAAATGACAATGAAAAACTGCGTAATAGACAGTGGCGTAACATACTTCGTTTGCTAAATAACTGCTGCAAAAAACTCGCGTTCAAACATTTGTTTAAAACGTCGAGCTTAAATATGTCTAGGAGGCAAAGCGAAGCGGCGAATTTAATCCAGATTATCTCTTTTCGGTCCGAGTTAGCCACATTTTCCGATCTGGCGATGATATTTTTAACGGTGTCCCAATGCGGTGGTTTGTAGTCGGTCATAGATGTCGCCACTGCAATGCTATAAACGTCTACGGGGTCTGCTTTGGCTAGAACGTCGGGGTTTTCGTGGACTTTCTTGCACATGTAGTCGAGGAGATATTGGTGGAAGAAATTCTAGAAAAAGGGGTTGAAAAAGTGGTTGATTTTTTCGGTAGCGACGTACCAAACGTCCGAACTTTCGTAAGATATAGATTGACTGCTTGAAACCCAGATCTTTATCTATGACGTGGTTGGCGCACGATTCGTAGAACGTTTGGTTGTAAAAGTAGCTGTGTTTTCTGGTAAAGCGCGAGATGAGTTTCGTCAGGGTCGTCTCCATATCGTTGAAACTTAAGTCGTCTAAATGCACAACTAACGAATCGATTGCTTTTTTCATTAATGGTCTAAACATCTCGTGACCTTGCATTTCGCAAACCGACCACACGATACTCCTGGCCGTTTTAACATCAAACTCCGGATGCTCCAACAACGCGCTAACAATTCTTTCAACCGAGTCTTCACTCAGGTTATTTCGCGACGCGAAATACAAATATTCGGCTAAATGAGCCGGATTAGGATAATCCATCTTGACGGGTAGATGAATCTCAAAAACCATTGGAAGCGCGATTTTTAACGCTTCGACCAGAGGCGACGCACCCGCTTGAGACAACAAAAACTCAAGAAAAATGATTTGTTGCAAATTGAGCTGGTTCACGTTGTGTCTGATTAACTGAAGCAACACTTGAAAAATTGTGCTTTCAGCTGAAACCCCTACGTAAGACACTACTTTCAACGCTTCTATGGTGTCCCCGAGCTCGATCCCCGGCGCTTGAGTCCGCAGCTTCCGACACAGTTTCTTAAAGTCTTTGTGAGCTAGAATTTCGTTCGTTGATAGCTCCGAGCTGCAAGAAAACTTTACTTTGGTGCTAAACACACCAGCGTTTACCTACTTTCCGTTCTTCTGTAACGTAAACAACGTCCGCAGCGCCTGCATGATGTGCTTGTTGTTCATGATGTTGTTGTGCTGCGCCACCATCTCCAGCACGGTCCTCGTGTTCGGCGCGCTCTTGAGATTCCCCAATAAGAAATCCGTGGTCGAGGCGAACTTCATCAAGTCTTGATTTTGTTGATTCCGGGCGAAGCTCCCCAGCAATCGCGCCCCGCATAGACTTCGCAGCCGCGCGGTGATCGCCCCCTTGATAGCCTGTGCCATTGTCCTGCTAAAAATAACCCGACTGAAATAAACGTCCTTCGTTCGCGGTTCGAATTTGGCGGCTTGGCGCCGGTTGCTTCCATTGGCTGGCATGAGATGGCAGTTTACGAGCTGCGACCGCATTGGTTGAAAGAGTGCCACTTTGCATGAAACAAATATGTCCGCAAATGACTAGTACAAAACAATAAAAATAGCAAGTTGTTAAACAATCGTGCATTGTTAATCTGTCGTTGTTGTTGTTAGTGCCGTGCTCGTGTGTGTGTTCGACCAACTTCACTAATCCATGCCATGGATGAAGATGTTAACAAAAGACGATATGCGAAACTGGGTTTTAAACCGCAGAAGGAGAACGTTTACAACAAGCTGCTGCCCTACGCCGACAAGCTCGACGAGGAGTCCACGCAGCTGTACGCCAACATCAAAACTAACCTCGTCAAGTCGGTTCTAGCACGTGAAATGAGACCGGGATGCGCCTTATGGACCTCGCGCTTGAACAAGTATGCAGAATGGGATGCTTTCCCTAAATTACACCTTCTTCATCGTCGAGTGCCTTTTTTACACCCGATTTCTTCGTTTTTTCGGGGGTTGAGGGCACTAGGCGAAATGTCAAATGCGGGTTTTGGCAGACTGGCCGAAATGTCAAAATCACGTGACGGGCCAGAGGCGGCGCATCCGCGCCTGAAAAGGGCCAAAACGATTTTTTTCGCCATTTCGTTGCACCCAAATTCCTACGCGCTTTTTGTACTCTTATCGTTACTTTTTTTTACCGCTTATCGTTAACAATGACAACCGCATTTGAGGTTACTATGACAATTCATTTTGTCAAACCTTGACAGACAAAACGTCGATCACGTGACTTGCCATAGGCGGCGCACTCACAACTGGTTTTTGTTTTACAGGTACATAAAAATCTACGGAATGAAATTTTCGAAGGAGGACCACATCGGCTTCATTAAGTTGTTCTACGAAATGCTGACCATACCGGATTTAGAACCTACTAGAATAAATAAGTGTGCGTCAACTCTGACACAATTGCTCAAGTAATCTTTTTTGTTTTTTTTTTTTTTTTCGAACGATAAGATAAACTTTGTTTGTAGAAAGAGGTATTTGATTTCGAGGGATGAGTTGCAGCTTGACTGGCGCCCCCTATACACACTTTGTGTTCGCGTGACTGAGAAAAGCAAAACCGACATAGGGATGTATCGTTGCTTTTCCACTCTCGAAGGAACGATAATGCATGTAATCAGACTGGCCAGGATGTGAGTTCTAGTCTGTCGTTGTGGCGCGAATAATCGAAATTCGTAGATATTTTCCGGCTTCGGCGACTCAAGAGATTTTGGACGAGTTCAGACCCAAGTTGTGTCCAATGAGTAGTCCGACGATTCTTTCAGCCATTCAGTATTTAGAGATTTTCTTGCCCGTTTGTGTTAAGCCAGAGGAAGCACCAGTTAGCTATGAGTTGTGGTTTGAGGAACTTATGACTTTGTGGAATGCTTGTCACAATGCAAGTGCATGGGAAGATGTATGTTTTTTAAAAAGTAGAAATTTTGAATTTTATAATTTGACTCTTGTAGCACATGATGTGGATGATGGCCCGTCTCAGCAGCTTCACCATGGGCTACCTCAACTGGGAGCCCTACATCCCGATGATGTTCGTTCGATTTTCGCGCAGTTTCCAGCTGCCGGTTGCCTACAGACAAAAGCAAACCGGCAAGCAATACAAAATCGAGATTTCGTCGATGGCGATGTGGATCTCTTGTGCCTTAAACGGCGACAAAAACTCCACCTTTTTCCACCTAGAGAAGTTCATGCAGGCGTTAGAATCGTACTACTATCCGGCTAATCTAGGTCGTTGGTCCATGAAACTAAGAGAACTCCTGCGAAAACTCGCCTACTACTTCGTCCAAAGAATCCACTGGGAACGTTTCAAGAAAAAAACCTGGGAGACAAACATTCCAGACCACTACAAGCTCTCAGATCAAGACATAGACCGTTTCGTCAATATTTTAAAACCGTGCCTTGAACAAGCCATGTTTTCACGACAAGGGGGACAGGACATCAGTCTAGCTTTACAATATTTGGGGTCGTTAAGACCGAACCTCATCATACCGATGACTCTGGACAAGCTTTACTCGTCCATGGACAGTCTGACTGAGCCGCACAAGCTGACGTCGTCGATGATGGGCGTGACCGCTGTGGCGAGGTAAGCCACGCCTATCGCACGACGCGTCGCTTCATGATTGGTTGCAGGTACATGGTGCAAGGGGCACGCAGCAACTATCCAGAGGGTTTCACCCACGTGTTGCCCCTCCTCATGGCGCTCCTCCCCGGCATAGACCCAAACGACATCCGAAAATGCTTAGTAACTTTCAATTTCATGGTCCACTTTATCAACATGATACCACTAATCAACTGTTCGGAAGCCAGTACATATCACGACGATCTCACCGAAGAAGAACACATAGTCTGTGAAGCGACTGACGGTTTCGAGGACTTCGTTTTACAATTCTTTGACAGATTGTGTCTGTGGGTGGAGTCTAATTCGTTGGATTTCGTGCGATTGGAGCAAGCCGGGAGCACCAACAACAATAAAAACCGAGCCGAAGTGATCGCCGAGAGCGCCCTCTTTTCGATCATTTCGACAGTTTTGCATCAGTGCTCACCACAAATCTTTACAGTAAGTAACCACGCCCACTTGTTCGAATGTTATTGGTTAACTTTGGCAGGCCGCCCTTAAAAAAGTCTTTAATTTCGTGTGCGACAAAGTCATGGAGATACACGTATCGGGGAAAATGGTCGCCATTATATGTCAAGGGTTTACGAAAGTTAACCCTAAAGAGACTTTAAAACTTTTCATTCCGCACCTGTGTGATATTATTGAAAGATTAATGAACGAAAATCCAAATATAGAAAAAGAGGAACACTTGGATGACGAGTTGCTTTACAATTTACAAATTCTGTCGGAGTTAGTGGACGCCAGGACCGAACTTTTGAATTACTCTGAACGGTTGATGAATATTTTGGATAGGACTTTACACATGAATTCGTTGAGTGGTAGCCAGATGGCGGCACGTATGCTCGAGGTTATGATGACGTCATTGACGTACGTGTTACCGACGGAGTATAGGAGTTGTTCGACGCCTTATAACACACCTGTTAAGGATTTCCTGTCGATACGGTGAGACGTGATTGGTGCTCTTTCGGTTACTCACGACTGGTTTTTAGGGAGTGGGGTAAAGCTCAAAATATTAAAGATCTGAAAATATCCTGGTACGTCCCTGGAGACAAAGAAATAGGTCTGGTTCAGTCACTCATTAACAAATATTTACTGCCGGAGATCGACAAACTGAACAAGTACGCCTCTGGAACTTTGACGTTAAGCAGAGAGGAACTCAGGAGGTCCCTAAAAATAGTAATTTCTATTTTATCTTCTCACCCAGTGTTGCCAATATGGGACGAACCTGCGATTCAATTGTACTCATTTTTACTATTATTTCCACAATTAATGTCAATTTTGTAGAGTGAACTCAGTTCTAGACCCATGGGCTTTTAATTTAATAGTCAGTGACTCGCATGCTGTCAGCATGCCAGATGGTACCAACATTAGGAAAATAATTGCAGACTTGATGCATAAAGTGCAACAGCGCGTCCTAGAAACGGACGAAGGTGACACAAAAAGCATACACAACATAGTCCACGTAAGATTTACTCGTCAATCGGAACACCCCACGTGAACCAATTGATTTTCAGGTTTATAATATTCTTCTGTTTAATAAGTCTCGCGTCCACGATTTCGAATACCAATGGAAAAATTTCCACATAGTGAAAAAACTTCTGGAAGACCGTTTACACCAAAACAAACTCCATTTGCGCCACATTCTCATCAATAGAGTGATGCTGCAGCAAGAATTCAGAATCGAGAGTCGAAGTTGCTCGTTCACGGAGACACACAAACGGATTCTTTTGGATTTGTTCGAACTGAGCGTGTCCCGATATAGTGAAGTAAGTATTGACATTGTCAAGTTGACAACTTTTGAGCACCGCTGACTTTAACGGGCGCCAAATTCAAATCGCGCGGTGTGATTGGCTGCTCAGCAACGACGCGCGTTAGTCAGCGGTTCTCAACAAGTTACACATTTTTGACTGTGATGGATTTAGGTGAGGATTTCCGCTCAATCCAAGCTGTTCTCAGTCGTCTCCTACTTCCCCTACTCCTACACGGTCCTCAATTCACGAATCTTCGAAATCCTGCAACTCGACTCCGAGCAACACCACGAGAAGTTCAAGGGTTGCTTATACATTTTGATTAGTCCGAAAAATACACCAATCGTGGCGCGCCACGACTGGAACTTCATCCGCCAATTGTGGCCGCTTATAATCAAATCCATGCCCTCCGAGAAACCCTCGATCGTCAATTTGATAAACGCGGTGCTCGACGCCGTTAACCGATTTTTCCCCACCATCGCTATCAATTTGGTTTTCCCCCAAAACTGCCTCGACACTGCCAACGTCCTCGCCCAAAACTACCCCAAGTGCGACTTACGTAGCTTCCAGAAGTGCATCGAGGAGAGTGAGAGGGCGCTCCAAGTCAAGTGTCAGAATCGAGCGGTGGCTTATAATGAAACCGTGGACGGGTTACTGGATGCTTGTATAAATGGGAACTTGTGAGTTGGTTTTGGGTGTTGGCTAAACTGATTCGGTTTTTTAGACACTGGAGGTACCACTCTATGGCTGTGACTTTTTTGAAGGTTTTAGTGCATTATGACGTGAAATATAACGTGAGGATTGTCAGATATTTCCTCCAAGCTTTAATTAATGAGTCTATAACGATACGGAAGACGGCTTTAAGGGTGTCTTTGTTTATTTTGATTCAGAATAAACCGAGATTTAAGAAGATTGAGATTAGTCCGTACGGTTTCGGGAGTTGTAAGGGTGGACAGGACAAGTTGAATCCGGGTATTAGGGAAGACAATAAGTGGTTGTTGTATGATAGTAAAACCATTCCAAAGGATGCTGAAGCGTGGGAACAGTCCAGGTTTCTGCATGACCATAGTACGGGTTTTTATGCGTGGCCGAAGAAGTTGGAGATTTATGCGCCTTCTGAGGACCAACCCAACATTGACAAACGATTTTCGAATCTCACTGAAGAGGAACAGGAAATTTATAGTTTCTTCAGTAACGCGGGCAACTTGGAACAGTTCATTAAGTACTTCTCTATGGAAGAGAAAAAGGGAAAGGACCAATTCAACGCATACAAATTCCTTTTGTTTAAGGTAAACACTACCTCAACTCGTTAAATAAAAATTATGATTGAATAATTTCAGAACCTTTTCAAAATCTTCGAAGACAAACTCCTCGACCCGCTCATTCCTCATATCGAGAAGCTCGTCGCCGACAAGAATGAATCGAGTCAGCGCTGCGCCGCCGAGATCATCAGCGGCTTGATTCGCGGCTCCAAGCACTGGAGCTACGACAAAGTCACCAAACTGTGGTCCCTCCTCCTGCCTATTCTGCACACCGCCATCGTCAACATGTGCGGCGAGACTATGACGGACTGGGGTTTGAGTATGGCGATGGCGCTGGATTCGCGCGACCCCAACCGCCACCACTGGATCCTGGAGTTTCTGGTCAACGACCCCCTCTCCGACCAGACGTCGTTCGTGGCTTGCGGCCGCCTCCACATGCTGCACGCCGCCCTCAACCAGCAGACGTGGCGCAACGCCGAGCTGGCGGTGCGTCTGTACGAGTACTTCAAGCAGCACCTGTCGCACCCGTTCCAGAACATCCGCGACAAGATCAGCAGCTGCCTGACGATGATCTTCTCCAAAGATTTGATTTTGCCGAGCGACGAGGAGATGAATCCGCCGAGCATGAAGGGGTTCTTTAGGGAGATCATGCCGACGCTGCACAACTTGTACAGTTATAGCTTGAGTAAAGTGAATGCGAGGGAGGCGGCGGACGCGGCGAAGGTGTCGCAGGAGATGCAGACGCTGACGTTGGATAATGACGAGGCGAGAGAAAACGCGATGAGACTATTCAAACTAGGTGAGTAGTCGCAAAACTCGGGTTATAGTGTCATGATTGTTAATTTTAGTGTCAAAATATGTGACGTCTAGCGTCGTCCGCATGAACTACTCTACGCTTCCGGAGTACTTTGAGGTTCTACCTCTTTGTTGCGTGCTCCAGAGTAACGACACCGACGACGAAGTTGCCCCGATTTGTTCCAATTTACTAGCGGTGTTGGCGTATACTATAACGATAGACCAGGTTATGCCCTCTGCACTCCAGGCTATGCGAAAAGTGGCAACGTGTCCGTTCTGGTCGGCCCGAGCGGTTATAACCGAGTTCATGTCCGGGTTCGTGTTCCACAACATGGCCACCATCATCTCCAAAAAGGAGTGGGTTTTGGATATACAACAAATGGTGCTAGAGCTTTTAGAAGATATACAACCTGAAGTTAGAATAAGCGCTAGTCAAGTTTTAAGCGGACTTTTACACTGCCAGTTTCTTCCAAACCCGGAAGAGCTATTAGTAAGTTGGTGCGTTGTCCCGGATGGCGTTACAGTGTTTGACTTGTAGGCACAATTCAAACAAAAAGCGAAAACCAAAGTAAAGCGGAAAAATAACGACAGTTCAAGTAGCTTGAACCTAGTGAATAACACACTGAGATTTAGACATGCAGGGGTGTTAGGTTTGTGCACGTTTATCAACAGCCATCCATACGATGTACCTGATTATTTGCCCGATATTTTCGGGCAGTTGGGACCGCATCTGAACGACCCACAACCCATTCCGGTACGTACGAATAATTCCAAAATTGTCTCCTATTTTTGTTTTTTCAGACAACAATTCGCAAGACATTAGGCGACTTTAAGCGAACCCACCACGAGAATTGGGAAATCCACAAACTAAAATTCACAGAGGAAGAACTGTTAGTTTTAAGCGATCTCACAGTGCCTCCCAGTTATTACGCGTAGGGCAATAATTTTCCATTTCCAGTCAATTTACAACAAGAATAAAGTAATTTTTTAATTAGAGATAGGTGAAGGAAGGTTCAGGTAGTATTGTTTTACATACACCATTCTGTAGTGTTTATATAAAGATATATTTCATTTCTATTTTTAACCTGTTGATTAAAAGCCATTGTTTTGTGGTTTGATAAAATACAATAAAATCCTTTATACGTGACTTAGTTCATCCAATAGCGAAAGACACTTGTCTTTTAGGATTTTCACAGATTCGGTGAAGATGACGTCGGGTCGGAGCGCCCCCACTGACTCAACGGTAACTATAGAAACCCATGAGACTCACAACAACACAACGAAAAAAATACTTACAAATGAAGTGGTCTTGAATTTTTGTCATAGCCACGGCGTCTTTAAGATCTTCATACCTGAACACGTTTCTGCTACCAGTGTCATACCTAGCGTCATTCACCACAGCATATTGTCTACCTTTTTCGTGTCGGATTGAAATAACGCCGGGTGAAAAACACTTCTGTAGTCTTTCGGCGGCCTCACCTTCCACCTCCCGCAATAATTTTATATCAGGGAGTAATCTATAAAAGGCGGTTGCTACTGGGGAAAATTTGGCATGATCACGACCCACACTTTTCACCGCGATTAATTTTAAGTCCAATTCGTGCCCAGGACGCATTTTTGCTATCAATATATCGGGGTGAATGGGGCCTACGTCAGTCAATCGCTCCTTCTGCTTACCAATAGGCACCCACTTTATGTGTTTTGAGTAAACTATAACCAAATTTCCAACTAAAGTGGGTTAAATTTATAAATAATTCTTACCATTGTTGTTTTTATACATATCTTCAACCCTCAGAGAGTCCTTACTGCTGTCTTTATTATTCGTACACTTGATTTTTAAAGTGAATTCTAATGTATCCTGCTCGGTGCCTTCAGCTGCAGCTAAAAACAACAATGTGACTTGAAGCTTTTATTATTCAGAAACTTACGGTCTGCTTTCATTTCAAATAACCTAGGGTCAGCCTTTAAGGGTATTAATCCCAACCTATGAGCTAAAACCTCGTCTTGAATAATAGAAGTGTTATTCAAAATGTGCACTTTCTCTATAGCCATAGTTGGAACATCACTGAGCATTAACCTCCGAAACGCGTTTGCCAAAAACGGGTGGATCCCTATCAAATCAAATTCGAGTTCGTTCTCGTCGTAGCGAACCATCACAACTCTAAACTTCTTCTTGAAACTCCGTAAACTCCACTTTTCGTCTAAAACTGTAGGCTGTGAAGGCAAGTTCTGGAAATAAGTTTGTAATTAAATAAAAATATAAAAAATCGCGTTAAACGTACCTGTGTGATTTTATGTTCACCCAGAATAACACGGGGCTTTTCATCATTAACCACTCTATCCATTTTTATTAATGTTTTCCGAGTGCTTAAATTACGATCAACATAACCTCGAAAAACTTGAGCATGCAATCACAATATGTCACTAGTGATAGTGCCGCCACACACGACACAAAATTCACTACGTTTGTCACCAGACGTAGTAACTTTTCGCACTTTTTTTTGTTGGCAGCGATTCAACCGACCGTTGAGGTTATGTTCAAACCAAAATATAAATAAACTCATTTAAAAAATGACTAAACCCGAGTCTTCTAAGAAGGAGTCCACCGAAGAAACCGGCACAAAGTCGGAGCCACCAGACGACCCACAAACCAACCCGTCCCCCACCACCGCCAAAGACCTATTCGCAGACTTCGCCCCCGACGAATCCGACAGCAGCGACGACGACAGTGGCAAGAAAAGCGAAAACTACGAGCCGGCGTCGAAAAAACCCAAAGACAGTTCAAAAGTACGCCTCGTCACACTTAAAAATCACACTCACCGTCGCTTTTCAGAAATACATCCCCAAATACAAAAAAGAATGGGAGAGCAAACCCGAACTGAAATCCTGGTTGTCAGAGAGCATCCACGGAAACACCTACTTCTATTGCAAGTTTTGTAAAAAAGACTACCGCTGCGGCATTTCCGACATCCACAAACACATGTCGTCGAAGAAGCACACTTTGCGGGCCACCATGCCCGAGTTCCGGGCGCAGAAATTCAAGTTCAGGGGGCTGCTGTGCCCGGTGTTCACCCCGTTCGTGGCCATGAAGAGCGTAGCGCCTAACGTGAATCTCAAAGCGGTGCCTAAGTACGCCAATTTTTTGTCGGCGTGTGGGGTCAGAGGCATCCTAGGTATGATTTCTGGAGCGCGGGTTTGACATTAATGATGTTTTGTAGTCAATGATGTTGTGGGTGAAGGCATGTCGTTAACCATTCGTGAGAGAATAGATATTGCGGATGCGTGGGCTGACATTTGCGAAAAAACTAATCAGTTTTTGATGGTGCAAATCGGGGGGGCGCCTCTGAAGGACGTCGTTGAATTGGTAAAGTTAGTGAGTGGTTAAACCCAAAACAGATTTTGTTGTAGGCTAAGCATGCCGCCAAGCGGGAAGTGGGGGCTGTGGTGGTGCTCCCGGATTTGTACACAAAACCTAAAAACCACCTGGATCTCATCAAGTACGTCAAGTTGGTGTCGGAATTCACAAGAAATGTACCGATTTTGTATCATCATTATCCGAAATACACGGGGGTTGAAAGTATGGGGTTGAATATTGATTGCTTAAAATAATTGAGGGTTTTAGTTGATATTGGGGCGTTTCTTTTGGATATTATTGGAGAAGTGGATAGTTTTGTGGGGGTGATTTACAGTACAAATGATATTCAACAAAGTATGGCGGCGGCGGCTGTCAATAGAGAGAAGTTCACGATTTTTATGGGGACTGATGAGGTAATTTGGGTTAAGAAAGACATGAGAAGTTGTAGCTTTGTTGTGTAGGGGATTTTAGGTGCCGCTGCCAGTGGTTTCACCTGTATTATGGGAACTAGTCTTAATTTCCTCCCAAAGCTGGTGGAATCAATCTGTGAGGCTGTGCGAGAGGGTAATTTAAAGGCGGCTCAGACGTCACAAAACTTACTCATAAAAACGATAGATGTCGTCTTGAAAGAAGGTAATTTGTAATTTTATCACGGTACTTGAGCATCCGTGTGTGCGCGCCTTTACTTAATTAACACTTGAACCTTATCACACTGTTAATCTATTACGTAAATAGTCATTGATATCCAACTTAATTTAATTTTTGCACAATCGTTGATATGATGAGTCATTGCTTTTCTCCGAAATTCGTCCTTTCAGGAGACTCTATAGCAGCTTTTAAGGCCGCGACGGACATCATTACTGGAACCTGTGGTACCACGACCCGAGAACCTTTACAAACCTTCTGGGACGGTACGATAAAGAAGATGCAAGTGAAGTTGCGCGAGCTAGGCGTCATGTAAATTTTTATAACACCATGATTTTTACAGTCTTAAATAAATTTTAATGCCGTAGTATAATTTTATTATACCTAAACACCATAATCTAGGAACAGCAGCAAGATTTCCATCGGTTTTATTTACTCGGTGTAATCTCTAAATGTAGAGGATGATAATTTTTAAACAACCTGTGAAAAATAAACACGAAGGAACGAAATCTAGTCTGGTTGATTAAGAATGATTATAAAATATCGCACATCAAGTTGGTTCTGAAAAATCTGTCACTACATTAAAAATTGGTCGAAAGTTATTTCGAACCTCCCTCGCTTCTGAAGTACAGTCCATATGCTTCTCTGAAAAATTATAAAATTTGATTTTACGAAATTTTACATTTTCGGTGTAACTTTATGGAGTACAAACTTTAGGTATAGAATCTACTAGTTATAGTGTAATAAAAACGTAAGTTTCACCTTCATAAAAAAAATCAGTTGGGAGCCCTGAGGAGATTTCATATTCTTAAAAAAAAGGACACTTGCCCCCCCGAGAAGGTTTCACATTCTTAAAAAAATACATTTGGGGCCCCCGAGGTTTTACATTTTTAAAAGAGACACTTGGGGCCCCCGAGAAGGTTTCGCATTTTTAGAAAAGAACCGTTGGGACTCCCGAGAAGGTTTCACATTCTTAAAGAAAAAGACATTTGGGGCATCCGAGAAGGTTTCACATTCTTAAAAAAAAAATACATTTGGGGCCCCCGAGAAGGTTTTACATTTTTAAAAAAGCCAGTTGGGACCCCCGAGAAGGTTTCACATTTTAAAAAAAATACATTTGGGGCCCCCGAGAAGGTTTTACATTTTTAAACGAGATACTTGGGACCCCCGAGAAGGTTTCACATTAAAAAGAAAAACGACATTCGAGGCCCCCCAGAAGGTTTCACATTTTTAAAAGAGATACTTGGGACCCCCGAGAAGGTTTCACATTAAAAAAAAAACGACATTTGGGGCCCTGGAGAAGGTTTTACATTTTTCGAAAAGAACCGTTGGGACTCCCGAGAAGGTTTCACATTCTTAAAAAAGTACATTTGGGGCCCCCGAGACGGTTTTTCAATTTAAAAAAAGCCAGTTGGGACTCCCGAGAAGGTTTCACATTAAAAAAATATATATATTTGGGGCCCCCGAGAAGGTTTTACATTTTTAAAAAAGCCAGTTGGGACCCCCGAGGTTTCACATTTTTAAAAGAGACATTTGGGGTCCCCGAGGTTTCACATTCTTAAAAAAATACATTTGGGGCCCCCGAGAAGGTTTTACATTTTTAAAAAAGCCAGTTCGGACCCCGGAGGTTTTACAATTAAAAAAAAAAAAAAAACGACATTTGGGGCCCTGGAGAAGGTTTTACATTTTTAGAAAAGAACCGTTGGGACTCCCGAGAAGGTTTCACATTCTTAAAGAAAAAGACATTTGGGGCCCCCGAGAAGGTTTCACATTCTTAAAAAAGTACATTTGGGGCCCCGGAGAAGGTTTTTCAATTTTAAAAAAGCCAGTTGGGACTCCCGAGAAGGTTTCACATTTAAAAAAAAATACATTTGGGGCCCCCGAGAAGGTATTACATTTTTAAAAAAGCCAGTTGGGACCCCCGAGAAGGTTTCACATTAAAAAAAAAACGACATTTGGGGCCCTGGAGGTTTTACATTTAAAAAAATATATACATTTGGGGCCCCCGAGAAGGTTTTACATTTTTAAAAAAGCCAGTTGGGGCCCCCGAGAAGGTTTCACATTAAAAAAAAACGACATTTGGGGCCCTGGAGAAGGTTTCACATTTTTAGAAAAGAACCGTTGGGACTCCCGAGGTTTCACATTCTTAAAGAAAAAGACATTTGAGGCCCCCGAGAAGGTTTCACATTCTTCAAAAAAAAAATACATTTGGGGCCCCCGAGAAGGTTTTACATTTTTAAAAAAGCCAGTTGGGACCCCCGAGAAGGTTTCACATTAAAAAAAAATACATTTGGGGCCCCCGAGAAGGTTTTACATTTTTAAAAAAGCCAGTTGGGAGCCCCGAGGTTTCACATTAAAAAAAAAACGACATTTGGGGCCCTGGAGGTTTTACATTTTTAGAAAAGAACCGTTGGGACTCCCGAGAAGGTTTCACATTCTTAAAGAAAAAGACATTTGAGGCCCCCGAGAAGGTTTCACATTCTTCAAAAAAAAAATACATTTGGGGCCCCCGAGAAGGTTTTACATTTTTAAAAAAGCCAGTTGGGACCCCCGAGAAGGTTTCACATTAAAAAAAAAATACATTTGGGGCCCCCGAGAAGGTTTTACATTTTTAAAAAAGCCAGTTGGGAGCCCCGAGGTTTCACATTAAAAAAAAAACGACATTTGGGGCCCTGGAGGTTTTACATTTTTAGAAAAGAACCGTTGGGACTCCCGAGAAGGTTTCACATTCTTAAAGAAAAAGACATTTTGGGGCCCCCGAGAAGGTTTTACATTTTTAAAAAAGCCAGTTGGGAGCCCCGAGAAGGTTTCACATTAAAAAAAAACGACATTTGGGGCCCTGGAGGTTTTACATTTTTAGAAAAGAACCGTTGGGACTCCCGAGAAGGTTTCACATTCTTAAAGAAAAAGACATTTGGGGCCCCCGAGAAGGTTTCACATTCTTAAAAAAAAAATACATTTGGGGCCCCCGAGAAGGTTTCACATTCTTAAAAAAAAAAAAATACATTTGGGGCCCCCGAGAAGGTACTACATTTTTAAAAAAGCTAGTTGGGACCCCCGAGAAGGTTTCACATTAAAAAAAAACGACATTTGGGGCCCTGGAGGTTTTACATTTAAAAAAATATATACATTTGGGGCCCCCGAGAAGGTTTCACATTTTAAAAAAAATACATTTGGGGCCCCCGAGAAGGTTTTACATTTTTAAAAAAGCCAGTTGGGAGCCCCGAGAAGGTTTCACATTAAAAAAAAACGACATTTGGGGCCCTGGAGGTTTTACATTTTTAGAAAAGAACCGTTGGGACTCCCGAGAAGGTTTCACATTCTTAAAGAAAAAGACATTTGGGGCCCCCGAGAAGGTTTCACATTCTTAAAGAAAAAGACATTTGGGGCCCCCGAGAAGGTTTCACATTCTTAAAAAAAAAAAAAAATACATTTGGGGCCCCCGAGAAGGTTTTACATTTTTAAAAAAGCCAGTTGGGACCCCCGAGAAGGTTTCACATTTTTAAAAAAAAAACGACATTTGGGGCCCTGGAGGTTTTACATTTAAAAAAATATATACATTTGGGGCCCCCGAGAAGGTTTCACATTTTAAAAAAGATACATTTGGGGCCCCCGAGAAGGTTTTACATTTTTAAAAAAGCCAGTTGGGAGCCCCGAGAAGGTTTCACATTAAAAAAAAACGACATTTGGGGCCCTGGAGGTTTTACATTTTTAGAAAAGAACCGTTGGGACTCCCGAGAAGGTTTCACATTCTTAAAGAAAAAGACATTTGGGGCCCCCGAGAAGGTTTCACATTCTTAAAGAAAAAGACATTTGGGGCCCCCGAGAAGGTTTCACATTCTTAAAAAAAAAAAAAAATACATTTGGGGCCCCCGAGAAGGTTTCACATTTTTAAAAAAAAAACGACATTTGGGGCCCTGGAGGTTTTACATTTAAAAAAATATATACATTTGGGGCCCCCGAGAAGGTTTCACATTTTAAAAAAAATACATTTGGGGCCCCCGAGAAGGTTTTACATTTTTAAAAAAGCCAGTTGGGAGCCCCGAGAAGGTTTCACATTAAAAAAAAACGACATTTGGGGCCCTGGAGGTTTTACATTTTTAGAAAAGAACCGTTGGGACTCCCGAGAAGGTTTCACATTCTTAAAGAAAAAGACATTTGGGGCCCCCGAGAAGGTTTCACATTCTTAAAGAAAAAGACATTTGGGGCCCCCGAGAAGGTTTCACATTCTTAAAAAAAAAAAAATACATTTGGGGCCCCCGAGAAGGTTTTACATTTTTAAAAAAGCCAGTTGGGACCCCCGAGAAGGTTTCACATTTTTAAAAAAATACATTTGGAGCCCCCGAGAAGGTTTTACATTTTTAAAAAAGCCAGTTCGGACCCCGGAGGTTTCACAATTAAAAAAAAAAAAAAAACGACATTTGGGGCCCTGGAGAAGGTTTTACATTTTTAGAAAAGAACCGTTGGGACTCCCGAGAAGGTTTCACATTCTTAAAGAAAAAGACATTTGGGGCCCCCGAGAAGGTTTCACATTCTTAAAAAAGTACATTTGGGGCCCCGGAGAAGGTTTTTCAATTTTAAAAAAGCCAGTTGGGACTCCCGAGAAGGTTTCACATTTAAAAAAAAATACATTTGGGGCCCCCGAGAAGGTATTACATTTTTAAAAAAGCCAGTTGGGACCCCCGAGAAGGTTTCACATTAAAAAAAAAACGACATTTGGGGCCCTGGAGGTTTTACATTTAAAAAAATATATACATTTGGGGCCCCCGAGAAGGTTTTACATTTTTAAAAAAGCCAGTTGGGGCCCCCGAGAAGGTTTCACATTAAAAAAAAACGACATTTGGGGCCCTGGAGAAGGTTTCACATTTTTAGAAAAGAACCGTTGGGACTCCCGAGGTTTCACATTCTTAAAGAAAAAGACATTTGAGGCCCCCGAGAAGGTTTCACATTCTTCAAAAAAAAAATACATTTGGGGCCCCCGAGAAGGTTTTACATTTTTAAAAAAGCCAGTTGGGACCCCCGAGAAGGTTTCACATTAAAAAAAAAATACATTTGGGGCCCCCGAGAAGGTTTTACATTTTTAAAAAAGCCAGTTGGGAGCCCCGAGGTTTCACATTAAAAAAAAAACGACATTTGGGGCCCTGGAGGTTTTACATTTTTAGAAAAGAACCGTTGGGACTCCCGAGAAGGTTTCACATTCTTAAAGAAAAAGACATTTTGGGGCCCCCGAGAAGGTTTTACATTTTTAAAAAAGCCAGTTGGGAGCCCCGAGAAGGTTTCACATTAAAAAAAAACGACATTTGGGGCCCTGGAGGTTTTACATTTTTAGAAAAGAACCGTTGGGACTCCCGAGAAGGTTTCACATTCTTTAAGAAAAAGACATTTTGGGGCCCCCGAGAAGGTTTTACATTTTTAAAAAAGCCAGTTGGGACCCCCGAGAAGGTTTCACATTTTTAAAAAAATACATTTGGAGCCCCCGAGAAGGTTTTACATTTTTAAAAAAGCCAGTTCGGACCCCGGAGGTTTCACAATTAAAAAAAAAAAAAAAACGACATTTGGGGCCCTGGAGAAGGTTTTACATTTTTAGAAAAGAACCGTTGGGACTCCCGAGAAGGTTTCACATTCTTAAAGAAAAAGGCATTTGGGGCCCCCGAGAAGGTTTCACATTCTTAAAAAAGTACATTTGGGGCCCCGGAGAAGGTTTTTCAATTTTAAAAAAGCCAGTTGGGACTCCCGAGAAGGTTTCACATTTAAAAAAAAATACATTTGGGGCCCCCGAGAAGGTATTACATTTTTAAAAAAGCCAGTTGGGACCCCCGAGAAGGTTTCACATTAAAAAAAAAACGACATTTGGGGCCCTGGAGGTTTTACATTTAAAAAAATATATACATTTGGGGCCCCCGAGAAGGTTTTACATTTTTAAAAAAGCCAGTTGGGGCCCCCGAGAAGGTTTCACATTAAAAAAAAACGACATTTGGGGCCCTGGAGAAGGTTTCACATTTTTAGAAAAGAACCGTTGGGACTCCCGAGGTTTCACATTCTTAAAGAAAAAGACATTTGAGGCCCCCGAGAAGGTTTCACATTCTTCAAAAAAAAAATACATTTGGGGCCCCCGAGAAGGTTTTACATTTTTAAAAAAGCCAGTTGGGACCCCCGAGAAGGTTTCACATTAAAAAAAAAACGACATTTGGGGCCCTGGAGGTTTTACATTTTTAGAAAAGAACCGTTGGGACTCCCGAGAAGGTTTCACATTCTTAAAGAAAAAGACATTTGGGGCCCCCGAGAAGGTTTCACATTCTTAAAAAAAAAAATACATTTGGGGCCCCCGAGAAGGTTTCACATTCTTAAAAAAAAAAAAAATACATTTGCGCCCCCGAGAAGGTATTACATTTTTAAAAAAGCTAGTTGGGACCCCCGAGAAGGTTTCACATTAAAAAAAAACGACATTTGGGGCCCTGGAGGTTTTACATTTAAAAAAATATATACATTTGGGGCCCCCGAGAAGGTTTCACATTTTTAAAAAAGCCAGTTGGGACCCCCGAGGTTTCACATTTTTAAAAGAGACATTTGGGGTCCCCGAGGTTTCACATTCTTAAAAAAATACATTTGGGGCCCCCGAGAAGGTTTTACATTTTTAAAAAAGCCAGTTCGGACCCCGGAGGTTTCACAATTAAAAAAAAAAAAAAACGACATTTGGGGCCCTGGAGAAGGTTTTACATTTTTAGAAAAGAACCGTTGGGACTCCCGAGAAGGTTTCACATTCTTAAAGAAAAAGACATTTGGGGCCCCCGAGAAGGTTTCACATTCTTAAAAAAGTACATTTGGGGCCCCGGAGAAGGTTTTTCAATTTTAAAAAAGCCAGTTGGGACTCCCGAGAAGGTTTCACATTTAAAAAAAAATACATTTGGGGCCCCCGAGAAGGTATTACATTTTTAAAAAAGCCAGTTGGGACCCCCGAGAAGGTTTCACATTAAAAAAAAAACGACATTTGGGGCCCTGGAGGTTTTACATTTAAAAAAATATATACATTTGGGGCCCCCGAGAAGGTTTTACATTTTTAAAAAAGCCAGTTGGGGCCCCCGAGAAGGTTTCACATTAAAAAAAAACGACATTTGGGGCCCTGGAGAAGGTTTCACATTTTTAGAAAAGAACCGTTGGGACTCCCGAGGTTTCACATTCTTAAAGAAAAAGACATTTGAGGCCCCCGAGAAGGTTTCACATTCTTCAAAAAAAAAATACATTTGGGGCCCCCGAGAAGGTTTTACATTTTTAAAAAAGCCAGTTGGGACCCCCGAGAAGGTTTCACATTAAAAAAAAAATACATTTGGGGCCCCCGAGAAGGTTTTACATTTTTAAAAAAGCCAGTTGGGAGCCCCGAGGTTTCACATTAAAAAAAAAACGACATTTGGGGCCCTGGAGGTTTTACATTTTTAGAAAAGAACCGTTGGGACTCCCGAGAAGGTTTCACATTCTTAAAGAAAAAGACATTTTGGGGCCCCCGAGAAGGTTTTACATTTTTAAAAAAGCCAGTTGGGAGCCCCGAGAAGGTTTCACATTAAAAAAAAACGACATTTGGGGCCCTGGAGGTTTTACATTTTTAGAAAAGAACCGTTGGGACTCCCGAGAAGGTTTCACATTCTTAAAGAAAAAGACATTTGGGGCCCCCGAGAAGGTTTCACATTCTTAAAAAAAAAAATACATTTGGGGCCCCCGAGAAGGTTTCACATTCTTAAAAAAAAAAAAAATACATTTGGGGCCCCCGAGAAGGTATTACATTTTTAAAAAAGCTAGTTGGGACCCCCGAGAAGGTTTCACATTAAAAAAAAACGACATTTGGGGCCCTGGAGGTTTTACATTTAAAAAAATATATACATTTGGGGCCCCCGAGAAGGTTTCACATTTTAAAAAAAATACATTTGGGGCCCCCGAGAAGGTTTTACATTTTTAAAAAAGCCAGTTGGGAGCCCCGAGAAGGTTTCACATTAAAAAAAAACGACATTTGGGGCCCTGGAGGTTTTACATTTTTAGAAAAGAACCGTTGGGACTCCCGAGAAGGTTTCACATTCTTAAAGAAAAAGACATTTGGGGCCCCCGAGAAGGTTTCACATTCTTAAAGAAAAAGACATTTGGGGCCCCCGAGAAGGTTTCACATTCTTAAAAAAAAAAAAAATACATTTGGGGCCCCCGAGAAGGTTTTACATTTTTAAAAAAGCCAGTTGGGACCCCCGAGAAGGTTTCACATTTTTAAAAAAATTCATTTGGAGCCCCCGAGAAGGTTTTTCAATTTTAAAAAAGCCAGTTGGGACTCCTGAGAAGGTTTCACATTTAAAAAAAATACATTTGGGGCCCCCCATAAGGTTTTACATTTTTAAAAAAGCCAATTGGAACCCCCGAAAAGGTTTCACATTTTTAAAAGAGACACTTGGGATCCCCGAGTAGGTTTCACATTAAAAAAAAACGACATTTGGGGCCCCCGAGAAGGTGTCACATTAAAGAAACACATTTGGCCCCCCGAGGTTTTACATTTTTAAAACGACAATTGAGACCTCTGAGGTTTCACATTCCTAAAAAACACATTTGGGGCCCCAGAGAAGGTTTTGCATTTTTAAAAAAGACAATTGGGGCCTCTGAGAAGGTTTCACACTCTTAAAAAATAGATTTAGGGCACCCGAGGAGATTTCACATTTAAAAAAAGACATTTGGCGCCTCGAGGTTTCACAATAAAAAAAAGATATTTATAGCAGAGGTTTTACATTTTTATAAAGACAATTGGGACCTCTGAGGTTTCACATTCCTAAAAAACACATTTGGGGCCCTCGAGAAGATTTTACATATATAAAAAAAACAATTGGGACTACCGAGGTTTCACATTCCTAAAAAAATTTGTCGAAAGTTGTTTCGACAGAACTTCCCTCGCTTCTGAAGTATCTACAACGAAAAATTTTGAGATGACATCATCAATTTATTGGGGGGAATAAACAGACAAGTTTAAAACGTCTGCAAGGTTTCAAAGTATTCAGTTTTTGCAATTCTTGGTTTATTCAATAAAATAAATTGACTTGAGTCATTAATTTTTTTGCGTCACTCTGTATAGTCAAATCTAAAAAATATCAATGCAATGATCAATTATAAGTATCGACTGATATTTTTTGAGGTTGATATACAGATACATTTTATTTGCTTACAATAACTTCAAAACGTTTGCAAGATTTCAAAGTATTTGGTTTTGCAATTCTTGATTTAATCAAAAAAATAAACTGACTGATGAGTCATTAATTTTGAGACGCCTGTATAAGCAAATCTAAAAAAAGTAATGCAGTGATAAATCACAATATTGAATGATCATATTTTGCACATTAAGATTTTGAAATGACGTTATCAATTTTTTCGGGGGGATGAGCAAATACATTTTGATCAAAAATTTACCACGATTTTTTTCTCAGAGGGTATGTAATTTGCCATAATAAGTCGTATCTTAGCAAATAGTAGCCCCGCCCACCCGCCCCCTTTTTTTTTCAGAGGATATGTCATCTGCCAAAATAAACTTATCTTAGCAAGTACTGGCCCCGTTCACCCGTCCACTATTTTCTTGAAAGGTATGACATTTGCCAAGATAAGATTGATTTTGGCAAAAATTTACCAAGCTTACGATAACTTTAAAACATCCCCAAGATTTCAAATCATTCGGTCTTGCAGTTCCTGATTAAATTAATAAAACAAATTCATGCATTCATTCATTTTTTTGAGTCACCTGTATATGCAAAGGAATGATAAATTGCAAGGACAGACTCATCAAAAGAAAGTAAAAAATTTGCCGCTCTTCAATCTCTGCTGCTGAAAGTTGGGTTATAATTGACATTTGTGACACATAATGAATAGACATCAATCATAACGAAGCGGCAAATTCGCGCGGTGTTAAAAGCCAACTTGATGTATGACTTTTGGTAGTCACGTTGAGTGTATAATAAGAGAAACACCGATAAGATTTCCATCACTTTTATTTACTTAGTGTAATCTCTAAACCTATAGGGCGATAATTTTAAACAATTTGTGAAATGTAAATATACAAACATACAAAATCTAGTCTTCCTTTAATATCTTTGTTTGTCCACTTTTGCAACTAAGGTGTTTTTGGATGTAGATGAATCGCGCCCTGTCGAATTTCTAAATAATACTTGAAAAATATCAAAATCTGTACACAAGAAACTTTGCTTGTTCGGGCTAGCGGAGTAAAACAAATTCAGACACAACTGGTAAAAAAATCACAACAAAGAATCGTAACAATATTCTTAATGCCAGTCGAAAGCAGTAATTGACTTTAGTAATGGGACGTCCGGACTGCCACCAAGAATACAATTGTCTTTAATTTAATGTGCACACGTATAAATATACCTATAAATTATCTAAAAAAAATACAACGGTAAAAAAATAATTACCCTTAATCACATAAGTATTATCAGTCGCCGACATACCGTCCGGTGCTCTGTGAGGGAAAGCGGGGCCTTCGAACGAAACAACGAAAAACCGAAAAGTGCTCGAATCAACGGAAAGTTGGTCCCTTTCGCCTGCTTTCTTTGCTCTATTTTCGATCAAAAAATAACGTACAGGTGTCACAGGACACAGGACGACATGTCGCGCCGACTATCTTACACACCACACCACAACCTGACGACCTCCGGTTTCGAAGCCTCCCCCCGCGCAAGAACGTCTCCTGTCCGTCAGGAAATGAAAAGAACCGACTCTCCCATAAGGCTGTGATGTGAACGATTAGTATAAGGGCGTTTAAACTCCGCCGATTGGTCAGAGCAGGCTGCACCGGGACAACCAGTTCGTGGGCTTTCGTTGTGGTTCTGAGGCCTTGAGTTGGTGGCCGCCTTTGGGGGGATTGCTGGCCTCCTAGACGCACACACGCACATGGTTAGCCGGCACTTCAAGGGGGCTCAAGCGGGGGTTAAACCGGTGACGCGCACGCGCTTTTTCCTCAACCCCAAAAATACAATTTAACAATTTTCAAAAATAAATTTCACGTCGGGAAAAAACGCCCACCGCCACAAGCCATATTTTTTCATGCAAGCACCTCAACGACGTCATTGTTTAAAGTGATTAAAAGTTTGATAGCGACACAAAAAATCTCATTTACTTTTAAGTGCTCCAGTCGTCAACTAAATGGTGGAATTGACATAAATAACTTAATGTTTGAACCGTGAAACGATTATTATTCATTCGTTAGTACGAAGCATGACTACAACATGCCCACGCTTGATCATCATACCAGACTTATCAATTACCGTTTAATCGGTTTTTCCGCTTCGTTTTGATTATGAACACAGAAAAAACAGAATTCAAATCGCATGCAACAGCGGAGCGGAAGTGGTTGCCAAAGTCGCATTCTTTCCTCAACCCAGCGTCATGCTTCCACAAACACCCTGTATCACACGACGAATCGCGAATTTAAACCTCCGTCCGCTCCGCGCAAAAGCACGTTTTCAAGCGCATGCTTATCCCAACAAAAAAAACTATTTACCTTCTGCCAATTAAAGGGTGCAAGAAAAAAGGAAACACATTAATTAATAATTAGTCTCGAAATATTTGCTTCACTTTTCGCGCGACCGTAGAAAAAAAATCGCGCGCACGAAAAGTGAAACGAGTTCGCCGCTCTACTCACCAGCTTCTTCTCCATTTTCGCTTTTATGTCCCTGGCTAGCGTGAAGAAGGCCTCTTCGACCCGTATGCTGGCTTTCGCGCTCGTTTCTATGAACTTAATACCGTATTCGATGGCCAACTGTTCGCCCCGTTCTTTCGACACTTGTCTTTTCTCTTCTAGTTCGCACTTGTTACCCAACAACATTTTTTCTACGTCCGCCGAGGCGTTCTCTTCGATGTTTCTGATCCAGTTTTTGATGTTTTCGAAACTTTTTTCGTTTGTTATGTCGTAGACGAGCATGATGCCCATGGCTCCTCGGTAGTACGCCGTCGTGATCGTCCTGAAACGCTCCTGACCTGCTGTGTCCCTGTGGAAGGCAGCGTTGACGAAACGTCGCGAGTTTAAAAGGGACTTACCATATCTGTAGTTTTATTTTTTTGCCGTCGAGGTCTATCGTCCTGATTTTAAAATCGATACCTGCGACGAGAATAATTTTGTTAGTGGGGTGTAGGTTGGTAGTCGTTGATGTATAAATTAAATAAGTTGGGAGCTGACGGAACCTTGAAGGACGCCATAACCTATGACATCAGATGCCAGTTGTGTTACCTGAGTAATTTTCTAATTTTTTAACTTACTATTTCCTGTACATGTCATTTTTTAGCACTAGCTTAATTAGTTAATCAACTATTGAGAGCAGAGTTGTTATTTGAAAATTATATCATTGACCTCATAACCTTGACAGTTGACTATTTTCAGGTTTTTTGAAATCATAGATCAAAGTGATTTTTCGATTTGTTCTCATTTTAGAGTAAAATGAACGCAAGGTTGAAGCTAATGGCAATTTAAAGTACAAAAAAACGCACTTTGTACCTGTCTTCGGGTTTTATTTAAAATATTTTCGTCTATCATGGTAGGCATTGACTTGTGCCGCCTTGTCGACACCAGGGACGGTAACTAAATTGTCGAACAGTACAAGCCGCCTGCGACCTGTAGTAATAGCCACTATAAAGATAAGCCGAACAGCGAAGAACCGTAACTCGATGGCCAACTACCAGTTAGTGGTATTTCGTTTCAACATTGTTTACCCGCTTCAACAGTTAATAGCGGCCTCATTTAATTGCTGACACTCTTTAATTAATGCTGTCGCTTCTAGTCGCTCTTTCCCACCGGAAGTGGCCCCCAGTCCGGCGCATCTGACAGGTGTCAAAGGGCACGCGATCTAGTCGCCCCTGACAACGTGACGTTTGACACCTGTCAATCTCCCGCGACTGTCATCGTTGATGTCATCTCGTTCTTAATTAGCACATTAGTCACGATGTGGAAGCGCAAACGGCATTTTTGCCCACAATCGAATTACGGGCCGGAATAGAGGCGGCCGGAGCGAGCTATTTCGGCGTTAGGTGTGGTTAACGAACCGCCCGTCGCCTCGTCAAAAATCATTTTCAAACGTCGGCCCGATTTAGCAGCGGAAGGTTACGGTTAAAAAAAACGAGATTGTTAAAATTACGCCTGGAGGTTCGGTCAAAATAAATTCGCACTCACCGATCGTCGAAATGAACGTCGTGTTGAAGGCGTCCTCGGAAAAACGAAACAACACACAGGTTTTCCCTACGCCCGAGTCACCTATGAGTAACAATTTAAAAAGGTAATCGTATGTTTTTGCCATCTTTTGCCACACAAGACACTTTTGTTCTCCACCGGGACACTTTGCGATACGTCTTGACGAGAGACATCAGCAACCTGTCGACAAAGACACTAGGGAGTGAGAAAGTCCCTAGATGTGTATAATGGGTTGCATAAAACGCAGGCGCGCAGGAAATCGTTTATTGCTAACTTTTATGGTACAATTTATTACACGAAATGTAAAGATTCTTTCTTTTTGGATGGTGTTAGAAGTGATTAACACCACGTGGAGTCCAGCTGGCACTTGCCCAAGAACCACCGATAGTGCAGCTGGTTTTCGGCGGAGTATTCCTCCAAATTGACGTCGCTTCCGGGGTTTAACTGCAAAAATAAAACCACTCTCATTTTTATTTAATTAAAAGCGACATACTTATAGCATTGTTTAAGTATATTATAGTTGGACAACCTATACGGAGAATCACTTTCCTATGTAGAAAAGAATGAACATATATTTTACATCTCACTCGCTTCACTGTGAAGTGGCGGTACCTTACGAAAGGAGGTAAAAATAGTCTGTAAGCACGTGATGTCGATAAGGTAGTAAACGGACGTATTAGTCAGTACGTTGTACGGGGAGCAGTCACAAAATAAGCGAACGTACGTGTTGAAGACTACATATATGTAATATATTTATATGTAGTGCATACCTGTTTCATGTGTGTGGTAGCACGTATATTTGCACAAAAACAAATAAAGGTTAAGGTAATAAAAATTTAATATTATCGCAGTATATTGTCCATGAACACCACTACTTTAATTAATAATAATAAGTAACAAGTCATCTAATTTGCCTCCAGAATAACTATGGGTTATCATCAAATTATGAACACCAAATTAATTCAGTATGAACATCTTACGTATTTTTTTTATTAACAGTAGTCAAATCACTAAATACATATTATCTTTGAAACTAAAATGCATTTTATCACAAAATATTTACCACCATTTAAATATATACGATTTAGACATCAAGAAATGAATTTAAAATCGCAAAAATTAAATGTAGCAGACTTAAAACAGCCTTAAATGCGTCTTGTATGTACGTGCTCAATTCTAATATGGAAAAATTGTAAAATCGAGAAATCGAAACATAAAAAAAAAACTAATAATTTAGAAATTGAAAAGTTAAAATTGAGAAATCGAAAAACTGAAAAATCACAAAATTGAACGAAATATCCAAAAATTAGGAAATTAAAAAATTGAGAAACAAAAAAGTCAAAAAAGCAGAGTCGAAAAATCGCAAACTTAAAAAATCGAAAAATTGAAAAATCAAAAACCTGAATAATTGAAAAATTGAAAAACTGAAGAACTGAAAAATCGAGAAACCGAAAAATCTAGAAATTTAAAAATTAAAATATGGAAAAGTTGAAAAATTGAGAAATTGAAATATAAAACAATCGAAAAATTGAAAAGTTTAATGTATAAAAAACGAAAAACTGAAAACTCAAAAATAAAAAATCGAAAAATCTAGAGGTCGAAAAATCAAAGAATCGAAGTATTGAAAAATATCAAAACTGAAAGTAATATCCAAAAATGGAGAAGAATCAAAAAAATAAAAACTGGAAAATCTAAAATTTAAAAATCGAGAAATTGAACAATCGGTTAATTCAAAAATCGAAATATCGAACAATTGGAAAATCGAAAAATAAAAAAAAATTGAACAATAGAAAATTTAAATATTCCGAAAATTGGAAAACTAAAATATAGAAGAACTCAAAACTCAAAAAATCGAAAAAACTAATAATTTAGAAATTGAAAAGTTAAAATTGAGAAATCGAAAAACTGAAAAATCACAAAATTGAACGAAATATCCAAAAATTAGGAAATTAAAAAATTGAGAAACAGAAAAGTCAAAAAAGCAGTCGAAAAATCGCAAACTTAAAAAATCGAAAAATTGAAAAATCAAAAACCTGAATAATTGAAAAATTGAAGAACTGAAGAACTGAAAAATCGAGAAACCGAAAAATCTAGAAATTTAAAAATTAAAATATGGAAAAGTTGAAAAATTGAGAAATTGAAATATAAAACAATCGAAAAATTGAAAAGTTTAATATATAAAAAACGAAAAACTGAAAACTCAAAAATAAAAAATCGAAAAATCTAGAGGTCGAAAAATCAAAGAATCGAAGTATTGAAAAATATCAAAACTGAAAGTAATATCCAAAAATGGAGAAGAATCAAAAAAATAAAAACTGGAAAATCTAAAATTTAAAAATCGAGAAATCGAACAATCGGTTAATTAAAAAATCGAAATATCGAACAATTGGAAAATCGAAAATTTAAATATTCCGAAAATTGAAAAATTAAAATATAGAAGAACTGAAAACTCAAAAAATCGAAAAAACTAATAATTTAAAAATTGAAAAGTTAAAATTAAGAAATCGAAAAACTGAAAAATCACAAAATTGAACGAAATATCCAAAAATTAGGAAATTAAAAAATTGAGAAACAGAAAAGTCAAAAAAGCAGAGTCGAAAAATCGAAAACTTAAAAAATCAAAAACCTGAATAATCGAAAAATTGAAGAACTGAAGAACTGAAAAATCGAGAAACCGAAAAATCTAGAAATTTAAAAATTAAAATATGGAAAAGTTGAAAAATTGAGAAATTGAAATATAAAACAATCGAAAAATTGAAAAGTTTAATGTATAAAAAACGAAAAACTGAAAACCCAAAAATAAAAAATCGAAAAATCTAGAGGTCGAAAAATCAAAGAATCGAAGTATTGAAAAATATCAAAACTGAAAGTAATATCCAAAAATGGAGAAGAATCAAAAAAATAAAAATTGGAAAGAAGAATTGAAAAATCTAAAGTTTAACAATAAATTGAAAATCCAAAAAGTAAAAATCGAGAAATGGAAAATCCAAAAAGTAAAAATCGAGAAATGGAAAATCCAAAAAGTAAAAATCGAGAAATGGAAAATTTGAAGAATGGAAGAATTGGAGAAGCCCAAAATTGAAATATTGAAAAATTGAGACATTTAAAGTTGAAAAATCGAGAAATCGAAAAGCCTAAAAGTCTCAATAGCGTATTTATAAATCACAAGATTAGGACTATGCTATTTTTAAAATTTAAATAACATTATAAATTGGAAAATGTTCTTTTTTTTTCCAAAAATCTTGACGTTCAAGGTGAAAACTCAACACAGATGCATAAACCGTAAACGGAGGATATAGTATTGTAAAATTTGGAGATTGCGTCATTTCATTGTTGGTGACAAATTTTGGTGAGTGTTTTACCATTTGATAATACAATTTGAAATGTAAATTTTGTCATTCGGAAACATTATGTATTAAATCGTTAAGATGTTCAAGAACTTTGTTCACTTATTCGTTGTAAAGTCCAATGGTCCAAACGGGTTCGTTCTTCGTAGTGGATGTGTATCAGATCAACTCTAACGCATGTCGACTTATAAATAAATCGCTTAAAGCCGATATTGGCCTGAGTGTGGTTTGGTCTGTAGATCAAACAAGTTCTCAGGCGACGAAAAATTGCATGTGGAGGGAGACTTCGGATTACAAATCGTGCCAAGAAAGTAATAAATTTATATCGGTGTAAAATATTTGGGAGAGATGGATTTTCATTCAGATGGATTAAAATTATCATAATCACTATTGATATTAATTAACACAAAATGGCGCGCAAGTTATCAGTTGATTTCGTTAATAAATTCATAGAAACCTATATGAATGCCTTAGAAAATTAAAAAGTAAATTAAAAAGTAAAAAATACAATAACAAAAATTTTAAAATGCGATTTACGAAAAAATACTTGACCTGTGCAAAGAGGAAAATTTTGGAAACGCTGACAAATATTACATCTTAAAAAAATTAACACTTGAAGGAGTGTTTTCGAAATATAGTAAACATTTCAAACAATGTCTGTAACTTATTTTAATGTAAATTATATTCATGTGGTTGACAAAATCAGATGTAATTAATATCACATCTGATTTAATAATTTAATAGTAAGGTCAAAATCACACTAATGTGTGATTTTGACCTTATTCTAGATTTTATTACAGCAGAATGCCGTATCCTTTTTAAATTTTAAAAGTTACGGAAACTAGTTCAAGAAACAATTAGTTATCTCGTATTTTTGGAACAAAATCTACCAAAACGTCGGATTTCATCAATTGTTTTTCATAGAAACAAACAGTCTTCAAAGCAGCCTTTAACAACCCGGTATTACAAACATGCGTTTTTTTTTCTGTCTTGTAATTATTTGTAATGTCAACGCCGAAAGTTTATGTCATTCTATTATTTACTTTGAATATATATTTTCATTTTGTGTTAATATTTTTGTAACACCACGAATCAAAATTTTACGAAATCTTGTAAAACTAAACAATTATACCAGTTTAAAAACCCTTTTTAAAGTTTCTGTCAGTCTTCAGATATAGTCAAATAAAAATAGGCGTCAAATTCATTTAAATACAATTCTTTCGTATCACGTTACAACGCGTTGCTTCATATTTTTTATGTCAAGTATATTTTCATATTTTGTATATATATGTCTATACACATTACTCCTTACGGAACAATGTTAATTATGGATTTATGGATAACTCCTCGTATAAGAGCAGAGTGAAGGGTGTTTGCCTTTGCTAATGTTTGATGGCGCCATCTGAAGTAGAGTAAAATAAACCTAATACGTTCGCTTACTGTAGTGAAAATGCGCGTTGACTAAAAATTTGTCCCACGCCCCCTGGATTCCTTGTCCTAAAGCTCACTATTTAGGTGAAGTAAAATTTGTATTAGGTTGTCCAACTATAATATACTTAAACAATGCTTATAGTTTAATGTTCAAGCTAAAAGGAACAATCGATTTTACTGAAAATTACATTTAACTCCAATAAAACTTTGTGTTTCATTAATTACATTGGATTACCTTATCACTTACCTGGCTAGGGGGAAATATCCTCTTGCACTCCCCCCGATTAACGTGCTCCTTGTACGCCCTCACCAAATCCTCCCGAGTCTCCCACGACAAGCACGGCCTACACAGCTGACAAACCGGCGAAACGCAGCTACTCTTGCACACCACACTGCTGCACTCCTTGGGGAACGTCGCCAGCTGCTTATCAGAAACAATCATGTCCTCCTCTGACTGCAATCTGCAAACAATTTTGTGTTGGCAGTTCTGAATTATTGGTCGCAAAATTACCTGACGGCGAGAGAGTCCTTGCGGACGCGCTCCCCCAGCCCCAGCAACCCCATCATGTTGTACAAGACCTGCTCGTACAGCAGCTGGTTGGGGGGGTAGTGCGCCGACGACAAGTTGGGGCTCATGTTGGCCTCCAGCAGGTACACGTTCAGGTCTTCGTCGACGACGAAGTCGATGCGCATCATCTCGAAGAAGTTATGCTTGGACTTGAACCTGCAAACTTTGGGGGATTACAAAATGGGGGCGGGGTGGGGGGTTACTTGTTGACAACGTCGACGATTCGGGGCTCTTTGGCGAGGGCGAGGGTGCGGATGGCGTCTTCGATTTGGTCCCACATTTTTTGGGGGTTTTGGCCCTTGGAGCGCAGGAAGGCGTTGAGGCTTTCGCGCATGCCGAAGCCGAGGTCGTTGTAGTAGTAGTCGAGGGCGGGGATTTGCCAGATGGGGAGGTAGTCGTCGCCTACTACGTACTTGTCGAGGTTTTGGGGGTCGAAGGGGTAGTACTTGACCGGACAAAATCTAAAGTTTTGAAAGAGAGAAATTAAGTTGTTGGAGTGCAGGGGTTTGCACGCTAATTACACTAGTTTACAAATTTAAACTTTTTTTCGTATCCAAAAATAAAAAAAATATTTTCTACTTCTAAATTACTTACTGATAACAAATCCAAAAACGGATAATCCCTATCACGTCAGGTTTTTTCATAAATCCAAAATAATGAACTCTGCTTTTACCTTCTTGTTAGTGTTAAACTGATTCATGTTAATGCACCATTGTCGCATAAAAAATGTCTTCGAGATCGTGCAAAGTAAGTGCAAATCAGTTTTCTTACGTTTGTGTTAAAATTATAGTACCTAAGGCTGGAAGACCTGTTCAAATATGCTTAAAAAGAAGGTATCAAGGTTTTTGGGACGAAAATGTGTTATTGTTGGGCTATTATAAGGGAAACTGACAGTACTGCCAATAAAAGAAAGTGTTAATCATTTTTAATTTTCAGTCTTAATGTTGATAATATATACTGGGTGTTGCTTTTATTTAATACAACCCCTGTAACTTCTTTATTCTTAAAGATAAACCTATACTTCTTTGAGCAAATTTATATCATTTTAAAAAATCTTTGTGAGGCCAACCTCACATTTTTATTATCACTTCCCGTAGGAAAATCAAAAGCAACCAATTATTTTAAAATTAATAAGTACTTGTAAAATTTTAAATAAAACATTGATGACAATCTAGCTTGAAAAATTGACTCATGTTATTTATTTACGTAAATGATCTTTTAAAATGATACAAATTTGCTCAAAGAACTATATGTTCATATATATTTAAAAATAAAAAAAATACAAAAGTTGTATAAAAGAAAAGAAATACGGGGTATGTTTATATAAATATCTCAAAAACCTGACGTGATGGATTTTTTCTGCTTTCAGATTTGAATTTCCCGAACCCAAATCCTTTGGACTCAACTATTTTTGTCTTTGGATATAAAACCTTGTAAACTAGTGTCTACTGTGCTAGTGTTATCAACTAAGCTTATTTTGAAAATTTGAAAGTAATTGTGTACATTTGGTTTCAGGCACAGGCCATCCCAGCGAAACCCTGTGCCACCACTGGTGCCCCTTTAAATTAATTTTAAATTTTAAAAGAAAAGCAAATTCCAAATTTCAGATCAACAGTAAATTTTAGCTATGAGAGTAATCTTATATTCTTATCTTGTAATATAACTCTCTGAGTAAAGCGATACTGCTATGAACAGTTTTGTCGATACGTTTTTTAAGCAATTAGCCGATATAACTGATATTCCAACTCATTTCTGGTGAGATTTTATTAATTTTATCTTGACTACTTGCGAAGTTTTTTTTTAACTGCTTTTTGAATTGTTGGCATATCATAATAAATACTATATGTATTTCTAGTTTTAACAGGTGTATGTCAAATGAGGTTCGTGTACTAGCGTGAAAATCTTGAAAATTGTACATGTCTCTCAGTAAATAGTAGTAAGTAAATACTTGTCAGTTTCAACTATTTGCACCCCATTAAGTTTATATACTGGTTGTGATCCAAGTAAAATGATGATTTATACTAATGAAAACTTTCTCTAAAGGCCCCCTTATTTGAAATTAGTGCCCGGGCTGGGCCCCTCCAAAATAAAAGGCTGGTTACGTGCCTGTTTGGTTTAGTACTTGCCTTAAAAGCGCGTCTCCGTTGTAGATATAGACCCTAAGAGGATCCAAAGAGGTGATAATCGTGTAAATCCCTATATCAAACTTGTGCCCGCTCACTAACAACGGTCTATCGACAAACTCTTGCACAAAAGTCCCCTCTGAATCCAACTCAATATCCGACACATTCTTCACTTTTATATTTCTGTGGTCGTTGTTTTTCTGGACAAAACTGGCACTCGGGTGTGTCGTGGCGTATCTCAAAAACTCTTCTTTGTCTTCAGGTAGCCGGAACGCCGGTGGTATATATTTGAGTTTGCTGACCGCCAAATCCACCTTGTTTGTAATATAGCCACAACCAGGAAAATGATTAACCCTCTGATGCGGCCTCAGATTACTCAAAACCGGATACAATTTCCGAAACGGATAATCGTGGGCCCATAACAAATCCCAGTTCGTCGAATTCGGCTCGTTTTTGTATCCCAAACTGTCCAAAATCTTGAACACGTGCCTCAAGTACCCACTCTCGACGTTTCTGCCGTAAACCCAGTACGTCTTCAATCCTTCACCATTTATACCTTGCGCTTCTTCCAGTTTGTTGAAGCACGTTCTGCACTCGTCCGCTGCTATTATCAATATCGTAATTATGGAAACCACAGCGATTAGTACGGAGAGCCCGTAATATTTTTCATATTGGGACACGAAGGTCTGCACCGTCGTGGGACGTTCGGGTTGCTCCTAAAAATTGGGTAAAGTGGGTGAAAATAAGCGTCAGAACTCACCTCTTTTTGGGGTTTTGGGTTTTCGGACATCTTCACGACGCGCTGGAAATGTAGGTTTAACGGTATTCACACATGTTAACATTCTTAAAACGAGCATCTCGAGTGCGCTTGACTTTCTAGCCGTGACCTTGACTTAAGTCGACTTTCGCGTACGCTGCTAGCATAGCGCATGAATTAGGTATTCTGGGTTTCAGTTTTATCTGTTCAATTTATGGTTAAAATCAGAGTTTGGTGTAATTAAATACGAGCATACCATATGATCGAGAAAAAGTCGGCTGCGTTTTATTGTAACAAAATTATGTTGGTAATTGTAACGCGTTCTGACAGTTACGGTTTAACAAAGTCTGTAAACTAGAGTAATGTCAATACTATTTTAAAAGTAAATAAAAAGTCGATTACTAACTCAGTCGTTTATTAAGTAACAAAATTACCATTCTTTAGCGTAACTTTGCATTAAAACTTAAAATTAACACATAAAAATATTTGAACTAGGAGTATATAATTCTAAATCACATATGTAAAAAAATAACTCATTGTTTTACATTAAAACTTAAAATTAAATTATAAAAATACTTGAATTACATAATTCTAAATCACATATGTATTAAAAATAACTCATTGGTTTAATTTTGCTCTCTCGTTTCGTACTTCTGCAAATTTTCTTTGTGTTGTTTCTTGAACAAATGAAGCCTGACCTCACTGATCGTGCGCATCGGAGCAGTCGCGCACAGCTCGCACGCAATCTCCCGCTCCGGTGCCAACCTAAAACCCCAAAATCACCAACAATTCAACCAACGCCGAGCTCACCTTTTCGCGACCAGTAGCAACTCGTTCAAATTCTTGTCGATGGTCATTCTCGCCCCCACGTCGTCTTTCAAGTCGACGAACCACATCAGTGGCCAAATCGCTTCATCATCGCTCTCGATTCGCACTTGAGTCCCCTCTTGGTCAACCTTGTCGACTGTCATAACTGCCACTTCTCCACACAACGTCTTATTCCAGACATCAGCATACTTGATTCTAACCCGATCGACGCTCCTTTGCCTCATGTGCAACAACCTGAAAACACTAATCACCCCAAGTCTACCAATGTAACTATGTACTTACGAAAAAAGGTTTTCTTTCAGAAACATCTGGTATGTGAATAAGTCGCTCGACCCCGACAACCCATCGTGCATATTACTCATGGTTTTAACAGCCGCGTTCATGTAGTAGCGCAGTTGGTTGATTTTAGCCACGAGTTCCTTGTGGAGCTCGGTGTCAAGCACCAGCGATATGTCATGCATGGGGAAATTTGGTTTTCCACTGAACTCCTTGCAGCCCATACCGCACAAAATGGACGCCACTCTGGACCCGTCGGGGGTTAGTTTGGGCTCCATGTTCGGGCAGAATAGCAGCGTTACCAGCATGGGTAAGCCGGGGATGCTGGGCATTACGGTGGTTTGGGAAAGTTTGATGCTTTGACCTAACGCCGACTGCGAAACCGTCGCAGCGACGAGCAATCTAGCGTGGGGGTCGTCTGGGTTATCATCAAGCAGAACCGCATTGACGGAGTCGCCGTCGATGCGAACTGACGCACCCACGCTGGCTTGGACTAACCCACAAACTTTCATTTCAAGGGGGCTGAAAGGCCCCCGCAGTTCCACGATGTCGGTGGCGTCGCTGGTTGAAGGCTCCTCGAAATCGGTGTAGTTCCTGGCCGTGGTGAGCTGTTTGTATAGAGTACTTACGTTGTTGGGGTTCTCGGACCGGAGCACTTTTTGGCGCAGTTCGTGATCCATCTGTTTTATTAAGCGTGAATTATCGAGTTTTACAATTGTGAAGCACCTACCTTTGACCTTTGGCTCTCCTCGCACTTCAGCCCAAAACTCATATCAATCAAGTATTGGTTAAACGAAGTAGAACACCGCTGGCGGTACAACTCGAGATGGACAATGTCGTCAACGACCGAATAAACTTTCGCGTTGAGTAAAACTTTGTCTACTTTCTTTTTAAACGTTTCGTTGACTTCGTCAATCCAAAGCCCCTTGGGGTTTGTAACTAGATCTGGTTGCACTTCGCTCAGGACGCAGCACATGGCGATGGGTTTCACGTGACATTCGGGACAGTCCTGGGGTAGATGGTACAGACGGTTGGAGGGGACTTTTTGGAAGTTACCGTAGTCGACGAACCGGACCTTCAACGTTTTAACGGTAAAAAAAAAAAAAAAAAAGAAAAAGGAGAAAACTTACATGGGCAATATACGGTTTTCCGGGTTTGAGGTCGACGACTTGGCATCTGTAGAACTTGTTGTCTTCGTTGAACTTGGCGGCGTAGAATTTTCCGTTCAAGTAGACTTTTTCGTCGGTGTCTAGAGGTTCCAGGAAGACTCCCGGGTTGTTCAAGGCCGTGAAAATTTTATCGAGGAGTATTCGGGTTTCGTCGTTCCAGTTTTGGCAGTAGAAGTGGCTGGCGTCCACAATCTGTATTATTATTATTATTATTTTTATTATCCAACGCCATTGTAGTATAGTGTCAATAAAATGAGTAGGGAAAATTGCATGGCGACCGTGACAGGATCCGAAGATTCCAGGATGATTCCAGGATAATTGAAACTGAAACCCGTTGTCAGAGGAAAATAAGACATGGGCAGTAAAACGTCGAAAGAAGAAGTCATAATTGCGCAAACAGCAAGCGGGGATGCGACCATAACGAAGACGGATTGGATTTTAATCTGTTTGACGGTTGTGTTGGTAGTTTTATTACTATGGCTGGAAATCAAAAAGTGTAAGAAAATGCTAAGAAAAGTGGTACGTCAAGAAATCCATAAGAATGAATTGGAGCATTCCAGGGACGCTACTACAGAGGCATAGTGATGTAGTGTTACAGTGCAGTGATTGAATGGAAAGTGAAAATCAAGTTAAGTTTTAATCTATTGAAAGTGGGAAAAAGTGGTTAAGTTCGTGAAATTGCGCATAAGGTATTGTAACAGGTTTTCAAAAAGGAAATATGTCGGGTTAACATCGGTCAAAGGAAGTGCAAAGTACACTTTCACTCGTAGGAAATGAAAATTGGAACTTCAGCAAATTTAACTAGTTATTGCATCGAGAATTTTTTTTTTTTGCATGTTAGATATAAAACTTGGGTTCATTGTTATTGCTGATCGTTGTAATTATTGTTTGATTTATCGTAAAATGTTTGATATGCTAATTTGGTATGAAAGGTTGAGAAACTTTTGATGGAGTTAAACTTAACGGGCATTCATAACAAATTAAAAGAGATAAGAACTTATTTAATAAAAATCGGTCGGGATAGGCGCACTATTGAGTGTGTAAATAGGAAGATAAATGAAGCAAATCAAACTTATAAATGTTTAGATCAGGTAAACAAGCAGGTTAAATTAGAGGTAACAAATAAGGAGTATACTGACGAAGATATTCAAAAATTAAATGCACTAAATGGTGAGATACGAAAGATATACAAAGAAATTTTAAATTTTTCAAAAAGTACCAGTACGAGTGTCGGCCCCAAGATGGCATTTGATCTTAAAACGGCTGTTAGTCTATTACCTGTCATGAATGATGATGAGGCTGTAACAATGCAATTGATTGACGCAATAGAACTTTACGATACTATGTTAGAATCAACCGGTAAACCTTCTTTAATAAATTTTGTCTTGAAAACACGTCTTTCAGTTGGTGCGAAACTTCGACTTAAATCGAATTACGATAGTGTTGCTTTGCTCATATCGGATATGAAAACACATTTGATTACAAGGAAAAGCGATACCGCTTTGCAAACGAAATTAATGCGCGCCACACAAGGAAATAAATCCGTTTCAGATTTTGGTAAAGAAATAGAAGAAATATTTGTTAATCTTACTATATCACAAGCTAATGGCGATTCGACAGCATTTAATATTTTAAAATCAGTGAATGAAAAAAATGCTATTAAAAGATTCGCGGATGGCTTGCGTAATCAAAAATTAAGTACCATTGTTGCATCTAGAAATTTTTCATCTCTTAAAGACGCGATTCAAGTAGCGCAGGATGAAGAAATATCACGCTTCGGTCCAGAAAATCAAATTATGACAGCAAATCACAATAAACGGAATTATAATAACGCTAGCAAGAAATATAAATCAAACCAAGGTTCGGATTATTCACATAAAAATTGGAACTATTCACACAAATTTCGTAGAGATAATAACGCAAATGGATCAAATTATGCAAGAGGGAATACATCAAACACAAATCGTAATTTTAATAGAAACAAATACTCAACAGGGAAAGTTTTTAATCATAACCATAACAACAATTCATTTCGTAAATACCAATCAAATAAACAAATTAATCATGTCCAAGAAACGACGAAACAAAACACAGAAGTAGAAACCCGTAACCACCATTTTTTCGAGAAAGTAATAATTAATGAAATTTGTGAATGCAATGGCACCTCATGGGTAAATTGTGGAGTAAACGATAATAATTTTAGTTTTTTAGTAGATACGGGAGCTTCATTGTGTGCTATTAAGCATGAATGTTTATCTAGCGATAATGAAATAATAAAAGAAAAATTGAAAATTAAGGGGATTACAGGTTATATTTTTTCAGAAGGGTACGTTCATTTAAAATTGAAATATAATGGAAAATATTTTGTTCAAAAATTTTACGTATTTAAAAATTTATCGTGTTCAACAAATGGCATTATAGGTAAAAATTTTCTGAAAAAGTTTAGAGGAGTTATTGATTTTGAAAAGGATACTTTACTTCTGTCACATTTTAATAAAGAAACTATAATACCGTTACGTTCTGATAATGATGATATTATTGCAATTCCACCGCGATGTGAGTTTGTTTTTTGGTTATCGACAAAAATTAAAGAAGATTGTGTTATTGTGTCAAAAGAATTATGTTCTGAAGTCTTTATTGCCAACAGTATTGTTAGACCAAAAAATGGTAGAATTCCGGTCAAAATTCTCAATACAAGAGAAACTGAAGTATGTTTGAAAAACTGTGTACCTGAGTTGCAAAGATTATGTGAATATAACATATGTAAATTTGAGAGAAATACAGTTCTGGCTGATAGAGTAGAAAATTTATTAAATTTGTTAAACTTAAAGTCGTTAAATCCACAAGAACAGAAAACAATTGAAAATATTTGTGCTAAATACGCTGATATATTTCATTTACCAGAAGATAAATTATCGACTACTAATTTATATAAACAATCCATTAAACTGAAGGATAATACAAGTTCTATTTATGTCAAACCCTATAGGATTCCACAAACACAAAAACTAGAAATCGAAAAACAAATACGTAACATGTTAAAAGATGATATAATAGAAGAATCTAAAAGCGAATATTCGTCACCACTTCTTCTAGTTCCAAAGAAAAATGATAAAAATGGGGAAAAGAAATGGAGAGTAGTTATCGACTATAGGTTACTTAATCAAAAAATTGAGGACGATAAATTTCCCTTACCGAATATAACAGATATTTTAGATTCATTAGCGGGAGCGGTATATTTTTCTCATTTAGATCTGAGTCAGGGATACTATCAGGTAGAATTAGAACAACAAAGTCGACCTTATACAGCTTTTACTACAAACCAGGGGCAGTTTCAAATGAAAAGGTTGCCGATGGGTTTAAAAACAAGTCCCAGAGCTTTTTCACGACTAATGACAATATCAATGTCTGGTTTAAATTATGAAAAATGTTTTGTCTACCTAGATGATTTAATTGTATTTGGAAGAAATCTACAAGATCACAATTCTAATTTAATTAAAGTATTTAACAGGCTTAGGAAAGTAAACTTGAAACTTAATCCAGTAAAATGTGAGTTTTTGAAGAAAGAGATTCTTTATTTGGGACATATTATTACATCGAATGGTATTTTACCTGATCCTAGTAAAACTAAAATATTAAATGAATATCCTATTCCGACAACAGTTGATGAAGTAAGACGATTCGTAGCATTTGCTAATTACTACAGAAAGTACATACCAAAATTTGCTGAAAGGGCAGCACCCTTAAATCAACTTTGTAAGAAAAATGTAACATTTGAATGGTCTAAATCTTGTCAACAAGCTTTTCTAAATCTTAAAAATGCTCTTACGAAACCTCCGGTATTGGATTATCCAGATTTTTCAGAAAAAAATGAGTTTATTTTACAAACTGATGCATCTGGGATAGCAGTTGGAGCTATTTTATCAAATCAAAATAGTAAACCAGTAGCTTACGCCAGTCGAGTTCTAAATAAAGCCGAATTGAATTACTCAACTATAGAAAAAGAGTTATTAGCTATAGTCTGGGGAGTGAAACATTTTCGACCATATCTGAATGGTAGACGGTTTAAAATTTTAACTGATCACAGACCACTGGTATATTTATTCAATCTTACCAATCCCTCTAGCAGATTAACTAAATTTAGATTATGTTTGGAAGAGTATGATTTTGTTGTTGAGTATGTGAAAGGAGCAGATAATGTCTCTGCAGATGCTTTATCACGAGTGAGTGTGTCATCGAATGAATTGAAAAGTATGAATGAAAATTTGATTGCTGTGATGACAAGAGCGCAAGTAAAAAAATGTAAATCCAGTGACCAGAAATATGACAATTCAGAGATTACTGCAAACATACGGACTGATCACCCGAATATTGTAGAAATACTCAAAAAACCCAAAGATTGTATTGAATTGGTAGTTAATCCTAAGGCAATTTCCAAAAGTTTTGAGAAATATCACAAAGAAAAGATTGGAAATTTTACCTATATTCCTGCTGTGTCAACAATTTACACAAACCTAAAATCCCGATCGGCATCAGCGCGAGACGAGTTGTCGAGAGAATTAGCGTTAATTTGTAAAAAATTTGATATTACAGAGTTGACAGTTTTAAAAAATAATGATAATGCGCATGTTATAAGAGACCTAGCTAGGATATGTAATAATGAAATGAGCTCACAGGGTACCCAAAATACAAATAAGTTCAACCTTCCTTTTCCAAGGATTTATGTTGTGTCAGGAGCTCAACGTGTATTTAATAAAGATGAACAAACAGTAATTTTAAATGATTTTCACTTACTACCAACTAGTGGTCATGCAGGAATTAACAGAATGCTAAATAATATTAAAAAATATTACTTTTGGCCAGGATTAGGTAGAGACGTTACGAATTTTGTAAAAAAATGTGATAGTTGTCAAAAACAGAAATTTAGTAAACATATAAAAGAACCAATGGTAATTACATCTACACCATCTTCTTCGTTTGAGAAAATCTATTTGGATATCGTAGGCCCTATAGAAAAAGATTTATATGGTTTTAACTATATACTCACACTGCAATGCGATTTAACTAAATTTGTAGAAGCGCATCCATTAAAAACCAAAGATACGATAACAGTAGCTAAAAATTTTGTAGAAAACTTTATTTTACGGTTCGGAATTCCGAAAGAAATTGCTTCAGATCGGGGTACGGAATTTATTTCATCAACAATGGCTGAAATTTGTAAACTATTGCATATTAAGCAGTTGCATTCTACATCTTACCATCATCAGAGTATAGGGGCACTTGAAAATTCTCATAAAGTTTTAGGAGCTTATTTGAGAACGATGACAGAAAATAAAACGAGATCATGGAGTACATGGCTATCTTATTGGTGTTTTTCTTATAATACTACAGTACATACGGAAACAAAGTACACTCCTTATGAATTAGTTTTCGGGAAAAAATGTAAAATTCCTAGCAATTTAGTTAAGGAAGTTGAGCCAATGTATAATTTTGACGATTATTCTAAAGAATTAAAATTTAGGTTACAGAAAGCATATCAAGATGCACATTGTAATTTAGTTGCAAGTAAACTTAAACGGAAAGATAAGTACGATAAAAATGCTAATCCCATAGTTTATAAGAAAGGTGATTTAATTTTAGTGCAAAACGAAACAGGTGATAAATTAAGTGTTGTGTACAACGGTCCTTTCGAAGTTTTAGAAGAAGAAACACCAAATGTGAAAATAATTAAAAATAGTAGACAGGTAACAGTGCATAAAAATAGAACAAAATTATATCATAAAGATGACTAACGCTATGCACGGCTCACGTTGCATGTAGTGTAGCATGTCTTGTAAAGTCATCAAAAGGAAAATTTGTAATAGTAATAGTTAGCGTAGGTCATAACATGTTTAGATTTAATTTAAACCAAGTTTCAGAATGAATGATTGTGCGAATGTGTTAGTTTTAGACAAAAATTACATCTAAATGTTACCTAAATGTATTTTTTTTTTGTCCGGTAGAGGTGTAGTATAGTGTCAATAAAATGAGTAGGGAAAATTGTTAACGTAAGGAATATATAGAAGAGGTGATTGTACCGTTGGATAGTGTGGATTAGGTAGTGTTAGAATAAAGTTCTAAAACGCAACCTGCGTTTCTGTGACCCTCCCCCCCCGTACTCAGTGCCTAAAATGTAAGCAGACAACAAATATAACACGGCATATGAATGTTGAATATTACACCATCTCAAACTTACGTGTGTGACTGTGACCGTGATGTACTCGAGATCCAACGGCGGCAGCGGCGAGTACTCCACCGCCGTAAAACAATTCAGCTCCTCCTCCTCCTCCTTCTTCTTGTTCTTCTCCTCCGTCGAATTGGCGAACGCCCACGCCTTATGGTCCCTGCAACAAACTCACTCTCAAATCTCCACCAAGCACTCGCTCCGCCCCCTTACGGCAAAATCCTCAACCTAAACGGCGTATTCAGCTGCCGCTTCCGCACCGCCTCGTACACGTCGACGCCGATGTTCCCGGGAATAGTGGCGATGAACTGTCGCCCCTCCACCGTGACTTGCTCCGGCTGCTGCACGTTGTTGAACTCGACGAAAACCTTCGTACTCTGTGCGTCGAACCCGATCTGGACGCTGTCGTTGTGGTCGACCTGCAGCATCTGCTTGATCTGGCGCACGTAGATGTGTCCCGGCTGGTTGACCTTCATGTTACTGAAGTACACGGTTTTGTTGGGATCGCGGCCGTTCAGGATCTTCACGGCCTCTCGGGAGTCCACCTGGCCGTAGTCCGACGAGCGGACGAAGTAGTTGGGGTAGAAAGCGCCGCAGATGATGATTTTGAGAACCGTGGGCTTCTCGATGGCCGAGAGAGGGACTCGGTTGGGGCCCACGGCTTGCTCGATGGAGAATTTCTTCAGCCGGCCGTTGATTTCCTTGATGAGGAGATCCCACTCGCGGAGGCCTTTCAAGTTGACGAAGTTGGTCTTGCACCAGCCGTACTCCTCGCTGATGTTGCGGAAAGCGTTTTCGCGCTTTTTGTTCATCCACACGTTGTATAAATTCAGGAGTGTCATGAAGTCGCTGCACGATCTGTCAGCCCACAACAACTTTTTCCGGTAACACTTGATCCTGGCGTGGAAATTCTGCACGAATATGTTCCTGGTCATACAACCGGCAGCTGAAAGTCATAGTTAAGTTTGACCCAAAACGTCCACACGAACCTACCCATTATGACCGTTTCTTGCAAACAACTAAACATGTGACCTAGTATGATGAGCTTGGACAGCCGGATGTCGATGGGTAGCGAGCCCATGATGCGTCCGATGAAGGTAATGTCACCGTCGGCGGGTGTCTTATGACCGCGGCAAGTGGTGAGCAAAGCCCCGGCTTCTTTCAAGTTCCAAATGCAGGTTTCGACGTCTCTGAGGTTTGGGGGGCTTATGGCCAACGAGAGGACGTTCTTGGGGGTGTCGTTCAAATCTAGGAGCTTCATGTAGAGGATGACGTTCTCGAGAGGGGCTCGCTGGAGCTCCGGCAAGGTGCTTTCTTGCATCTGGCACTAGATAAGGTGCAAACTTAGTACGCAATGTTTGATTAATAATTAGTACTAACTTCGTAGAATGTACACGGTACTAGACGGTAGACTCTGCCGCTGGAGACGCGCCCCACGCGACCCGCCCTCTGGATACAATTGTTGCGGGAAGCCCACTGGAGACTCAACGTGGAAAATTTCGTCACCTCGTTCATCGTCATTATTTTGGTCAAGCAAAAATCGATCACTGAAATATATGACGTCATTGTTTTCTCAGAGGGGGTAACACACCAGTTTGCTTACCGTATTTAACATCGGGAACGGTAACCGAACTCTCAGCGATGTTCGTAGAAAGGATGATTTTCCGACACCCGGATTTGGGTTTCTGGAACGCCTTAAACATGTGTTCGCTTGTTAGCGACGAGTGCAACGGAACGATATCCCAATCGAGAGAAGTGTTCCTACAAAACAAAATTCAAATTCGGCTAATCCAAATACACACAAAATTACTTCTTTTCAACTAGGAGTTTGTGCATTTCTTCGATTTCGTGGTAGCCTGGCAAGAAAACTAGAACACTTCCGTGGAGGGTGTCGTCGCCGTTCGGTACTTCTTTCTCGTCTAATTCATCAAAGATCTTAATTAGTTTGGAACACATTTCGTACTGCTGGGGCATTATGCAAGGATCATCAATACTGTAAGATATTTGCTAAAAATACAAAAAGTGGGTGAAAATACGACAAATAAATCCGTGAATACCGAAAGTACAGACTGGGCGAATTGCTCGACGTAGTAAATGTTCGTTTCGTATTCGCTTTTCTTGTTTACGTATAAAATCGGGGCTGGAAGAAAATTATCGGGGTTGTTTCTCGGAATGCTGCGAAAGTAATAAGCGAAATCGTCTGCCTCCATTGTAGCTGACATCAAAATGACCTAAAACGAATTTTTATTTAAGCGAAAATGACGACAAAAAAGTCTCACTTTAACAGATGGAGAATTCGTGAAGAGATACTTCCTCACAATCAACAACAAAAAATCGAGCGACTTGTTTCGTTCGTGAACTTCATCAATAATCACATGACTGTACTTATTCAAATTTTTCTGCAAAATTAGCTTCTGTAGAAGGACTTCTGTAGTCATGTAAGTCAAAATCACATCCTCTCCTACGTTTCTATCCAGTCCAACCTAACAAATCCTCATTATAATAAAAAAATGACTAATTTTTAACTCCTACTTGATAACCGCAAACTGTCCCAATTGCCCATCCTCGTTCTTCACACACTCTCTGGGCTATATTTATAGCCGCTATTCTTCTCGGTTGAGTTACTACAATGTTGCATGGAGATTTGGTTTCCCTACACTGATCAAGAATGTACTGAGGAACTTGGGTGGTTTTTCCACAACCCGTAGGTCCCTGGATTATCACGACTGAGTTAGTGTTCATGGTATTGAGAATCTGGAAATTCGGGGGGTCATTGGTGGCGACGTTTCAAGTAAGAACCTACAGTGTTTTTGAATGAGTCAATTGGGAGTTCTTTTTTGTAGTAGGTGTCGAATCGGTATTTGCTGAACACCACGGGGACGTGGACCAGCTCCATAATGTCTGTACCCAGGAGGGATTCTTCATGGCCGTCTTCGATGTCTGTTAAACCGCCAGTTTCTTCCTATACAAAACGTGATTTACAAGGAGCCGGGAAGTTATTAGTCTAGATAAATGTTTATACATTTTTTATTGTATAAAGAAGCAACTATTTTTTTTTTTATTCAATTTTTCGTTAGGATAAATCAGCTACGGCGTTATCGTTAAAAAAATGATCACTTTTTTGGTCCACAATTGATTAAAAAAAAAATGAAAATACACGTGCTGCGTGTCAGCCAATCATACCAAAAACCCCCAAACACACGTTCCCTTAATTGCTTTACCTGCTGCCGAGGAAAATAAGTTTCAAACTCCTTCTGAACATACTCCTGCTGTTCCGTATCAGAGTCATCCTCGGAATCCCATACATCGTCGTCTTCATCGTCGGAAACCCCGTAATCCATGACCCCGTTAACTTGTCCCCGCGTGGGTACCGGTTCAATTCTATTATTCAACAGATCCGCTAGCAAATCACCCATTTTTGAGCAAAATTTCAACACACACTAAACATCAACATAACCAAACTTTCGTACGAAAATTCAAACCCGCTCACTGGGTTTGAAGACCGGAACTCGAAACCCTTAATTGTTATACCAAAACGAAACACCAACACGTGTTTTGTGACCGACACTGATTAACAACATCCACACCGAGTGTTTATCACTTTATCAGTACACGAAAAACAGCTGTAACCATTTTTCGCTACTTCCATTTTGTTATTTGGTGTATTTCGTGTCACAGAATTGCCAACCTCACACCCAAACACCCCAAAGAAATTTAACTTTTTTTGTTTTAGTAAAAATTTATTTAAATTTGTACAAAAAGCGTTAATCAGATTCCATTTCGACTTGCTCCTCCGTTTCCATTTCCTCTTCGGGCTCCCTGTCCCAGTCCTTCAACTTAGCACCCATCATAAAATCGTCGCGTAGAACGCTCCAAGTAGAGTCGCCCCCTTTTACACTCTCCTTTTCTTTGTCCGTATCTTCAGTGTGCGACTTTCCACCCATCAAAACGTCCAAAAACGCCCTCTTGTCGATATTTTTCAAAACCTTCTCTTTTCGGACTTCCAAAGGGCCTGCCTCCTCTAGTTTCTTACTAATGTCTTTCTGCTGAGTCTTCACCGCGTTGAACAGTTGCACCACACCTCTGGTCGCTATTTTCGCCAAAGTGCGCTCCCTATCTTTTTCGAGCACGTTGGGTTTGACACGTAAATTGGGCAACTCTTTTTTCCTCTAAAACGCAAAGTTAGACGTGTTGTTGCCAAACACGAACCCACCTTTTTCCGTGGTTGCGTTTCTTCTATCCGCTCGTCTTCAACCTCGACTTGTTCTTCTTTGACGTCACCATCTGCAGTTGCCACTTCAAACCCCGCCGATTTCGTTTTAGTTTTTTTTGTGTCTGTTAGTTTCTTCGCTTTTGATAACACTAGCGTCTTTTTTCCTTTGGGTTTGTTCGTTTTTAGGATTTTGGCGATGGAATCGGCCCACCCCGCGTTGGCGGTACCTGGAGTGTCATCATCGTCCGACAAACTTTGATCTTCGTCGCTACTTTCAGAATCTAAAACTCAAAAGTAATTTTTTGACGAGGTAATATCACAGTTTTACCCCTTGTTTCTACAACTTTTGCCATTATTGTCATTTCTGTTTTTGTTCAAAACAAAACTTTTAGGTTAGCAACGTGCTCGTTGACGTTTGGTTGGTGATTTTAGGGACTTTGGTTTTGGCGCTAGGAAAATCCCCCTGTCGACGTCCAGCGTCCCGAGCGTCGACCCAAATTCGAATCGATTTTGTTTATCAATATTAAAACAGCAATTAGTCGTGCCGCAATGAAAAGGCAGAATGTTCGCACATTATCTCTGGTAGTTTGCACGTTTACTTATTTATTAATAGGTGCGGCGGTTTTCGACGCTCTGGAATCAAAGGAGGAGAGCAGACGGGACGAACTTCTCAAAGGTTCGTATTACCTACTTTTCCGCTCTGTTTTAATTTATCACGTCGCTAGTGTCCACAAACGCCCTCAAGAGCAAATACAACATATCAGATGACGACTACAGGATGATCGAACTCGTCATTACTGAGTACAAACCGCACAAGGCGGGCCCGCAGTGGAAGTTCGCCGGGGCTTTTTATTTTGCGACGGTGGTGCTTGCGATGATCGGTTATGGGCACTCGACTCCTGTGACAGCCGGGGGAAAAGCGTTCTGCATGGGTTATGCCATGGTACAGAAATAAATCTAGAGTACTGTGACATTGTTGACATAAATGACAAGTGACACGGACACGCTTGATCACTGGTTTGTTTTCAGGTGGGGATTCCTTTGGGGCTGGTGATGTTTCAGAGCATCGGTGAGCGTCTGAACAAGTTCGCTTCAGTCGTCATAAGACAAATTAAAAAATATCTGCACTGTAAGAAAATCGAAGCGACTGAGATGAATCTCATGTTCGCCACTGGTATGCTGTCTTCTATTATAATTACCACGGGAGCTGCGGTTTTTTCTAGATATGAGGGCTGGACGTATTTTGATAGTTTCTACTACTGTTTTGTAACCCTGACGACTATAGGTTTCGGCGACTATGTGGCTTTGCAGAACGATAACGCCCTCAAAGACAAACCGGGTTACGTCGCTTTAAGTTTAGTTTTTATTTTGTTCGGGTTGGCGGTAGTGGCTGCCAGTATTAATCTTCTCGTGCTGAGGTTCATGACAATGTGAGTGCTCGTGCGTTTTTCGTTATAAATCTAGCTTGTCGGTTTTAGGAACGCTGAAGACATCCGACGCGACGATCCAGACATGCAGTCTTCCTCTCACCACGTTTTGACACTCGACGGCGAAGTTATGGCTGTCAACGGAAAACTGTTAGCCGCTAATCCATACCTAGGTATTGGTGAAAATCCAGAAATTGATCAAATGTCCGTCTGTTCGTGTAATTGTCTAGGACTGAATCACATTGATAATCAAGAGTGGCTGCTGGACACTAGCTACCACCCATCTCAGACTGTTTTGGCTTCCAATTTAAAAATAAAAAGGGCTTCTGTGTGACACAATTTTAAACACAAGTACAGCTTGGAGTAAGCCAATCCTGACCACCAAGACACAGTTGTGCCAACTTTTTTAGCATTTTTTGAAAGGTGGACGCCCCTCATTGTACCGAACGGTGTTATCAGTGTTATGTGCATGTTCCTCACATTATGACATCCAGACTGGCCGCAAACGATTTTTTATCGCAAAAAACAGACCCATATCAAGTGACCCATAGCAATTTAAACAATTAAACACGAACACCTTGTATATATTTTCAGAAACTAACAATCCAGTCGGTTTGGAAAGTCATCTTAATGTTATTTTTGACGAAAACTTTAGGTAAATGTACCCTTGTTTTTTTTAAGAGATTTATAGCGTGAATGTAGTGAGATTTGTTATCAACAATACTCGATGTTACGTAATCCTATCAATGTTTTTTACAAATGTGCCAACTTTTATACAAAAGTTTATAATAATTAAACGTTATTATAAAACGCGTCTAGATACTGAATGACTTCGTTGTTGTAACCTTCCAAGACAGGCCTGCCAACCTTGTAGCAACAAGTTTCAAAGAGCGGGAGTCTGCCAGTCTGGAACCACACGTTTTTCACACCACCTTCAAGATCAAGCGTGTTCAACTGGAAAATTCCAAAATGGAAAAACCTTCCATTGGTGTGGACACACTGTACGACAACCGGTTTCGGCAAAACTGTCACGTCATTCTACAACAAACAATTAGAAATTAACACCAAAAGTCACTAAATTCGTACCCCATATTTTTCTTTGGCGTAGGATGCAGCAACCGTGAATGTTTTCAAAAGCGAGCGACCAAATATCTGCGCCTCTGTCACCGGCTCCTCATACAGATTTTTCACTTCAGTTTCTACATGAGGGACGAAAATTGTGTGCGGGTGCGACTTAGCGAATTTTAAACTGATTGCTAAAAATTGTTGTTGGTTATTTATTCCAAAACTGGGGTCACGCTTACGGTAAATTCCGCGAACTTCATAGATATTTTCTTTGTTTAGGGTTATAGTGGGCTTGATTGGGTGAATGTCCGGTAATTGAAAAGACTCAGTTGGTTCCTCTGTCACAGGAGGCAGAGGTTTAGTGGATGTTAAAAGCGTGTCTCCAGTCAACTCAAACTGGATCAAATCGCTCGATTTTTCGAAATTGTACGAGAAATGGGTGTCATCAAACACATAGCGTTGCTTCACTACTTCCAAGTCACTTGAGTTTTCGATTAATTGGAGTAGGTTGTTTAAAAGTAATTTACTACAATTAATTGAGTGATTAGTACATAGTTGGTAACCAAACTCTTACATGACTCTCGGTTGCGTTATGCCATAAACCCTCGGGAAGTTCCACGCAGGCCGTTCCGGATCCTTCACTTTCGGCAATATCTTCTGTTCAGCGTCAAACACGTGCGACGTTAAAATTATTTCTTTCACTCTTCTGTCAATTTGCTTTGTGCTCTTTAAAGTAAAGTCGGGCAAACCTTGCTTGAGTTCTACCGTGTTTGTTAGAATCTTGGCTTGCTGGAGCCCCTTCAGAAGCACGTTGTTATCTCTATACGTTAAAATCGTCTTGTCGTGCCAATTTGGGTGCGTGTGATCGAAAACCACAGGCTTTGGTTTTAAACCAACAACTTCGATTCTGAAACACTGATATGAGCGTACACTCACTAAGAGCTAGTAGTTACTTTTCAAGGGGTCGTTTTTCCCACAGGATGTCTGCCGCTCTCACCACTGGGACGCCTTTTTCTAATAATTTTTGTTCGATTCCTGCGTCCCGGATCTTTCGAGCGCTTTGAGTGGCCCATAATTTTTTAAAATGCCAACCCAAGTGTTGCTTGCAGAGGTGTGGAGACGGACGCATTATTTATATGGCAATTTTTAATTTTTACCTCCCTCCTAACCTAAATCTGGTCACTTGACACGTGCGACATAACCTCAAACTTCGACCCCAATTACCATTTAAAAAGAGTCGTTCTATTTTCTACGACTATTACACACAAGGAAACAAGTTAAATATTTATAACCTTTATTACCGATAGCAATTATGTACATTATAAAAACTCAATTGTGTTTAATTTTATTGGATCATAAATTGCTGAATGCAGCTTCTAATTTTTCCAACTTATAATTACTGAGGCTGTAAAACAGGACAATTTTTAATTTTTTTTAGCGCCACCTAGCTTGAGGATATTGTGGTGATCCTTAAATTTGTCTAAATTATCTAGATTATCCCACCACAACTTCAATCTGTTTTTCAAAATTAAATAAAACCAAGGCGTTAAAGTCCCCAGGGTGGGTATATGTTGGTCTAGGTCGCCCCGCGGGACGAAACTAATTTCAGAAATTTCGTTCGGATTAGGCTTGACTGGCACGTCGCCTCTGAAAAACAGGACATAGTCGATTTCGTGTTCGCCCCACTGCCCATCGCCCTCGTCCTTATAGTGCACTCTGGTTAGATACGTGAATTGTTCTAAAGGTAGCTTATCTGTCGGAATTCCTAGTTCGTGGTTTAATCGTCGCTGGGCCGCCCTTTTTACCCCTAGAGCGTCCTTTTCTTCATCTTCGCCTGGAATATCGGCAACTGGATGACTGCAGCACGAGTTTGTATACTGATCAGGGTATGTAATCTGAAAAAACACAACAGTGATAGCTGCAATTGAACCGAAAACGTGTTTACTTACCTTTTCGGACGCCCGTTTCTGTAACAGTAAATCCCCATGGCTTGTAAAAAGAAACACACTGAAAGCTCTATGCAGCGGAATGCCGCCACACTTCCCCACTTGGTGACATTCCCGTTTGGAGGCTCGACCCACAACCGTATCGTTATCGTCCACAAGGAACAAATTCTCGTTCAGAGCTGCTTCTTGAAGCTTCTGACTCTCATTTGGCTCTTCTTTGGTCGACTTAGCCCTTATTAATAAATTGGTTTGTAAAGTCCTCTTCGCAGTCTTTGTGATTAGATTTCTAAAAGGTAACGTCAACATTTTAACCTATACACTAAGTAGGTCTTCGGAAGCCACTTTTACAATGAAACACATAAAAATCAGCCGGCGCTTAAAAACACAAGTGAAACACAAGTGAAGCAAGTATTTAAGACCCACTTTTTCTTTTTTTAACTAGTTCACTCTATTAAGCGAAACGTCAAGCCAAGACGTGACAAATGTCAAAATTATGCAACCCGTGCGACATCGTTGTAACGCGTTGTGCCTATTCCACTACCGCTTTACCAGTGTCGTAGACAAGGGGCGCCTAATAAAGACAGTGGCGGCGCGCATGCCCCGAGTAGTGACAAGCGCCTGCCACAAACCCGTCGTACTCCCTCCGGATTTGCCGCATTAAATCCTCCAAATTCGAAAGACAATGCGTCTTATTTTTACCTCGATTCTGAGTGTAGCCACGTGGGGTAAGACACTCCCTTGTGAGACCCACACTTCTACAACCCACCACCCAACTCTTATTTATTAATGTTGTTGTTGTTGTTGTGTTTTGTGGTCCCTTTCCGCTCGACTACCCCTTTCACACGTGAATAGCCCCAATAAATTCAAGCTTTGACGCACCCTTTGATGATAAAATTAGCACGACGCATCTCTTTATGACCATTAACATTAGTGACCTTTAATTGCAGATTTATGCTCAGCGGTGCAAATAAACTACGTTAAAGTACCGGGTGCTGTGAAGAACGATTCCGGAAGTCCGGCGGTTTTAGACTGCAATTACTCGGTTAGACCCGACGACACGGAGTTGGTGGTGAAGTGGCTGCTGAATGACGAGGTGGTCTACCAGTGGATACCCCCGCAAAAGCCACAGAGCCTAGGTTTGCTGAAAAACCGGGTCGATTTGAGCTATAAGGCGTCAGATGACCCGAAGAGCGTCTACAGGGCTATGAAAATCTGGAACCCGACTACTGACATCGCCGGGGAGTATAAATGTTTCGTGTCGACGTTCGCAGATGAGGATTTCAGTATCAAGAACATGATTGTGTTTGGTGAGTAGTCGCAAAGAATTCGTATTTTTTTTAATCGGGTTTTCAGAGCCTGAGAAGTCTTTCGTGATTTTGAAGGAGGAAGGGAACCACTACAGTGTTAATTTTACGTGCTATGCCAACGAAGTGTATCCAGCACCTAAATTGATTCTTTACAAGGATAGGGCGCACGAGTTTTATAATAAGTATGACGGAGTTTGTGACAAGGCGGGTTTTTAAAGGGGCGCTTTCAGGAATCCGTTGCAGGCGCTTGAGTGGAACACCAGCAGACATCCCAATGGACGGTTTTCCGTTTTTGTGATAGCGAACGCCTTGGTGGAGTCTTTGGCTCCGGGGTCCTTGATTCACTGCGAGTTGCGCATTCCAGGGACCGGGTACGTCAAAAAAAGGAGCTTACTGTATTATCCCACAGGTAACACTTATAACTTTGGTGTTTAGAAATACAGTGATGGATTTTGTTTTTCAGGTTCTGACTCGGGAAGCGCCTGCAGGGGCTGCAACCTCACCGTGACGTTGCTCCTGATGCTAATCCTTCCAGCGCTGCGTCTATAATCGACACTAAATTCTAACATGTGAAACCAAGAGACATTTTGATCTCAAGACGAGCGCTGCCATTTTGGACACAATTTACTAAATAAGAATTTAGATGTATTTACTCGCACACCTATTTTGACTGTCACAAAGAGGGGCATCGATCCGGCGCCCTAACCACTTCCCATTAATTTTCCTAAAAAACTACATTTCTTGTAATTTATTGTCGCCCAATTAGCGACTAACATCACGCCCTTGTGACGTCCGTATTTTACGAGCAAACTGTGTTTAAAACCCATCCAACTTCAAAGAGACATTTAAACTTCAAGTGTAAGACGGTACCAGCCACCACCCCATTAACTCACCCGTTATTTCAGGTGTGAATTATGAAACTTTCGTTTTTTGTAAAATAGAAACCTCGTAATTATTTATTGATAATAAATGTATAAATATAGTAATAAAAACGTTACAATGTTATCTTCACGTATCACTATTATTGGAAAGTTCCTCGCGAGAAGCCTCCACCACTTGTCGCCTCATGGTGGCGAGCTGCCTCAAATACGCACTTGGAGTACAAGACGAGTGTCTTTTTCGTCGTCTGGGTAAACTACCGTAGTCCGACGACGTCCTGGGGTTGCTTTCCAAACTCGTGTCTTCGTGCAGGAGATCCCAGGGGTTGTACAAACTATCGTCGCTAGCAGCAGCAATTTTGTCCTCCAGGCGTCTACAAGAGTCCTCCAGAAGCAAGTCGTACTTGTTGGTGAGGTCCAAAGGGGCGTCGGTTTGGACGCAGCTAGTTTTGGTTGACATGTCGTCGGTTTGACATTTCGCGTTCTTCAGAACGCGAAGTGTCTTCCTTTTCTTTTTTCGCTGTTCTAAACCCGAGACGGTGACTTGGACGTCGTATTCTTGGTCTTGGTCGAGCCGCGCCGCCGCTAGTGTCAAATTACTCATGAGAATGGTGGCCTCCTCTAAGAAACCAGACATGGCTTTCATCATCCTCTCGTTCTGACAAGACGTTTTGTTGAAGTGGACTTTCTTGTGGTATTCGAGGGAGTCGGGGAGGTCGTCTGGTTCTATAGTGGCTTCGGGGATGTGCTTCATGATTGATTTTAACACCATAGGTTCGACCAGAGTGATACAATCGTCACTGTATGTCTTACAGTCAATGACGATGGGTTTCGCCACTTCTGGAGCGGCAGGTGTGAAGTGTTGACACCTCTGGGGGGTTTCCCCTTGGTGGTAGACTTCCGGCGCGTGAACACTAGGAATGTTGATCGAACTTATCCTTTCTTGACAATGAGGGCTAGTGGAAGACTTGGCAACTAAAGTCGGGGGTTTGATTTCAACAAAATCGACGATTTCTTCTTGGTGGTCGTCAATACTATGACACGTCGCGTGTCGTACCTTACTTTCTATCGACTCTTTAGACGTGGAGGGGTGACTATGAGGCTCTAGCGAGTTGTGGTTGCTGATCAAATCAGGAGTCGGGAAACACACGTTCGACTGATCATCCAAACTATCCTCAGAAACACTATCAAAGATTCTTTGCTTGTTAATATAGTTGTGGGAGATGTTAATATTCACCGACGACGTATAAATCGGGTTGGCTGTATGGGGGTTGAAAACCTCCACTTTTGGTGGCTCTTGCAAGTACTTGGTGAAGGAAACGGTGGATTGGGACTGCGTTCCGCAGCTTCTCGTTACCACGAACGCATTCTGCAGACTATCCAAGAACGTGCAGCTGATTTCCTTGTCTTCGGTGGTAAGCGCGACCGTCGAGGTTTCCACGTCCTTCACTTCGTACAACAGCGACTTCAAATCGTCTACATCCGTCGCCATTTCCTTGACTCGTAAAACCGGGAAGTGCTCGGTTTGAGTTTCTTCGTTTTTGACTTTCTGGGCTTTGAGGGCTCGCTTCGTCAGTTCTTTGAGTTGAAGACGAGCGTTAGAGCAGATGCTTAGTTCTTTGGGGGTGGAAGCAATAGGTAAGTCGTGGGTGTCCGTCGAGGCTTCCTTCTTCTTGGTTTTGGCGTACAGTCGATGAGTGACCGCGGCCACTATCTGGGATCTGGGTTTAACGGGTGTTCTCCGAATCGAGTCTACTTTAGCTTCCACTTTGGGTTTCAAGTCGGTTTGGCTCTTCTCCGTTTTCGTACTTTTCTTTCTTAGGACTTCCTCTGAGCCAAATTTTCGACTAGGCACTTCCATTTTTTTCCCCGAGTGGTCCACGCTGTAGGTGCGCCGGAGTCTCCCTTGTGGGGGTTTGTTGTTATCCGTGAAGCTCATCACGGGGATGAGCTTCTCAGTGGTGTTAAGCGGGTCGTTCGACATTGGTATCTACGAAAAAAGAGAAACTTAAAAAATGCTCTAAGACGCAACCCAGCTGTGCATTTATGCAACGGGTTAAAAATAGCCGTGCTAAACTAAGAAGTGTTTGGGCTTCTATTTTTGGAAATACTCACCTGTCCCGACTTCAGAAGCTCCCTCAATCGCGCAATTTCCGCCCTTAGCTCTCGGATGGTCCGTTCCTTGGGGTCTTCATTAACTACTGGAATCGACACGATGAGTTTGGCACGCTGCCCAAATCTCAAAGTATTCACCGTCTCACTGTAGCACTCACTCGAAGGAGAAATAGCTGCAAAACACTTCCATAGACTCGAACGGAGGTGGAGTCTTCCACTTACTCGCTATCATCACAGTGTCGGAGTTTCCTCCTAGCGTATCTTTTAATAGCCATGTTAGCACCGAGTCCCGGAACGGGATGAACCTCCGTCTGATCCCCTTGGAACACTTGGTGTCTTCAGCTGGAAATAAGAATTCGAGAGCGGCGCCATGGTATTTTTAGCAGTGCTCGCGCCAAGTTCATTGCAAGAGAAAAATCAAAAGACATAACATGGGATTACAGTGGATAAGTTGCTACTGGACAAGAATTTTGAGAACTTTTTGATTTTGACTAGTTTGTGATTTTTTTATCACGTTGGCAACACATTTTAAACTTGATGCTATATTTCAGCACAAAAACCTCCACCAAGGTTACCAACCCAAACCTGCAATTTCCCACAAACTACAACTATTGTAATCACACTCTAATCACAGTCATCACTTTCCACTCCCTGCACACTCTAACGACTTTACCTAGCGCGGAGATGACGTTCCCGAGGGCCACTAGGCTCTTGTTGATGTTGGCGCCCTCCCGGAACCTGGAGGTGGTGCAGCAGCGGTTCGAGGCCCTCTCGCTCCCGGCTAGGTCCACCAGAGTGAGCTTGATCCCGTCGAACTCGACTATGAAGACGGAGTGGCTCCTGCTGGACTGGGGGTTGGTGAGGGTGGCGCCCACTCTTCTGGTGTTGTTGCCGGCGGCCAGCAGCCCGAAAAGACTGGCGGAATCGTAGGCTGGGTGCGATGTTAGACCTGAGAATTGGGTCAAAGAGAAAATAATGGCGTTGCGTAATGGATGTTCCCATGATGGGTGTTGCACCGTGAAAGAGTTATGTAAGGTTATGTAAGTGGGTACTAATGAGAAATTGTAGCGGCGGTAATTAAGTGCATGGTGGCTCGTTATGGTGCATGGTGGTTTCTGCGATAATGGTAATTAGAAGATGTGAATGTTGATTGAAGAGGTTTTGGTCGTGGGATTGTTCGCCGACGGACAGATGCACGGACTGGCAGACAGTCCAACAATGTGAAAGTCGCTTTAAATCATTTTTTGGATCTTCAGAGTTGTCGTGCCGCGTAAAACCTATTAACGTAATAAAATTTATTTTCTGAATGTTTTCGACGGTTTCCCATCACTTGTATCGTGACTATTGATAGTATTGATCAATATAGGAATGAGCAGATTGGAGATGAACGTTATAATATCGGTTTATATTATGTTTGTAAACCAGGAAGTTATATTTAGAAACTTCATTAATTATGCTCTAAAAATAAATTGGGTAAACATTTTTGACAGACCCCGAAGTCGCTATAAATAAAATTAATAACAAATTTAGTTAATAATGTAGTGTTAGTTTGCTTCCGCTTGCACGAAGTTAGCTCTAGTAATTTTTTTTTGAACAATCGAAAATATCGTGTGTGCTTTCGTTTAAGTCGGTGCACCATGTCAGACACGCACTATAAAATTAAATAACCGCAAACGATTCTTCCGTTCAAATTTAATTTTCTTTAAAATGACTTCCATTGCGTGGGACAAAAAAAGTATTAGTTTGTGTCAAAGCAACATGTTTCTATTGAGATTTTGATTTTTCACGAGTTGGTTCTCTAGATAAAAAAATAATTCGTGTCTATAATTGTACAGTTCGTTTGTGCATTCGCTGCTTTTTCGTATAGCGTGGCTGCACGAATACCAACACGCTACGCACATCCGCAACAATTTGGGATAAATGTCGACGCGTTTCGCCAACTGTAGTGGGATTGCTCGAACAGAAAGTAATTAATTTGTTCATTTATTCACAGACAATAGAGAAGCTAGGTCAGGTCAGATCACTTGTAGTAATTTTTTTAGCTTTAAATTAATCTCTAGAAACTATTTTAGGCAAAATTTTACCATAAAGGTCGATTTACGTTGCCGTTGACGTTGGATTTTCAACCAATCAAATTGCGATACTGTTCTGTTCACCGAAACCCTCATATTTTAAATAGCTGCCATAATTTTCTACACTGCAGCTTTCTGTCAGTTTGCAATTAGGCTCCGCCCCCCGGTCTCCCAACGAATGAAAAATTCGTCACAATTGAGCTTGGGATGGATCTGGGTGGGGCTTAATTTTCAGTTTGTTTTTTTCTTAATATACAGTATTCTTTGAACAACACGATTATTTAAGAATATGTTTCATTTGGTAATTTCTCGTAGAACAATAAGAATTTTGCACTTAGGCTCCGTCCCTCCGCTTACGACGAATAAAAAAAAATCATCATAATTGCGATAGGGCGGGTGGGTGGGGCTTATATTTTGCCTTTTTTTTTCTTAAAATACATAGCCGTCTTTCCCTATAGAAATTTACCATTTTAAAAATGTTTTAAGCGTCTTGTTGTGAAAAAAAGTCTACAGATATTAAAACAAAAAGGCAAAATATAAGCCCGCCCACCCGCCCTGTCTCAATTGTGATTATTTTTTTTATTCGCCGTGAACCAAGGTGGCAGAGCTTAACTGCAAAATACTAATTTTTTTACAAATTACATATATGTTTTTGAGTATCGTGTTGTTCAAAGAATAAGTATATTAAGAAAACAACGCAACATCTAAACCCCACCCACTCACCCCATCTCAATTGTGGTGATTTTATTTCTTAGAAACTTAAAACAGTTTTAAAATGGTAAATTTTTGTAGAGGAATAGGTATTTTGCAATTTGGCTCCGCCCCTCGTCTTACGACGAATAAAAAAAAACATCACAATTGAGACAGGGCGGGTGGGTGGGGCTTATATTTTGCCTTTTTTTTTCTTAAAATACATAGCCGTCTTTCCCTATAGAAATTTACCATTTTAAAAATGTTTTAAGTTTCATGTTGTGAAAAAGTCTACACATATTAAAACAAAAAGGCAAAATATAAGCCCGCCCACCCGCCCTGTCTCAATTGTGATAATTTTTTTTATTCGCCGTGAATTAAGGTGGCGGAGCCTAACTGCAAAATACTTATTTTTTTACAAATTACATATATGTTTTTCAGTATCGTGTTGTTCAAAGAATACTATGTATATTAAGAAAACAAGGCAACATCTAAACCCCGCCCACCCACCCCATCTCAATTGTGGTGATTTTATTTCTTAGAAACTTAAAACATTTTTAAAATGGTAAATTTTTGCAGAGGAATAGGTATTTTGGAATTAGGCTCCGCCCCTCGGCCTACGACGAACAAAAAAAAATCATCAGAATTGCGATAGGGCGGGCGGGCGGGGCTTATATTTTGCCTTTTTTTTTCTTAATATACATAGCCGTCTTTCCCTATAGAAATTTACCGTTTCAAAAATGTTTTAAGTGTCATGTTGTGAAAAAAGTCTACACATATTAAAACAAAAAGGCAAAATATAAGCCCGCCCACCCGCCCTGTCTCAATTGTGATGATTTTTTTTTATTCGCTGTGAACCAAGGGGGCGGAGCTTAACTGCAAAATACTCATTTTTTTACAAGAAATTAAAAAGATGTTTGATACTGCGTACATTATGAAAAAAATTAAAAGATATAACCCCCCCACCCACCTTATCTAAATTGTGATGATTTTTTTTTTGTTCTTGAAACTTAAAATACCTTTAAAATGGTAAGCTTTTCTAAGGAAATATGTATTTTACAATTAGAGTCCGCCCCTAGGTCTGCTAACGAATGAAATCTTCATTAGTATTTAGATCAGGGCAGGTATGGGTGGGGCTTAATCTTTGGCTTTAATTTTTATCAAAATACATGTTATTCTTTGAATAAAACGATACTCAAAAATATGTTTTTAATTTCACGTAGAGAAATAAGGATTTTGCAGTTAAGCTCCACCCCCTTGGCTCACAACGAATAAAAAAATTCATCACAATCGAAATAGGGCGGGTGGGTGGGGCTTAAATTTTGCCCTTTTCTTCTTAAAATGTGTAGTCATTTTTTGACGGCAAGAAACTTACAACATGTTTAAAGTGGTAAATTTGTATAGGGAAATATCAATTTTGCAATTATGTTCCGCCCCTCGGTCTGACAACCAATGAAAAAAATCATTGGAATCGAGGTCGGACGGGTGGGTGGGTGGGGCTTCTTTTTTGGTTTTGTTTTTTTAACTAATACATTTAGTTTTCTTTGTATAACACGATTACTTAAGGACATATTTCACATGGTAATTTCCGTGGAAAAATAAGAATTTTACTATTAAGATCCGCCCCTTGGCTTACGACGAATAAAAAAAAATCATTGGAATTGAGATCGGGCGGGTGGGTGGGGCTTATATTTTGCCTCTTTGTTTTAACATGTGTAGACTTCTTTTCACAACATGAAACTTAAAACATGTTTAAAATGGAAGATTTGCATAAGGAAATATCCATATTTTCTTGCAAAAATGTACCTTTTTAACCATGTTTTAAATTTCTTATTGTGAAAAGATGGCTATGTATATTAAGAAAAAAAGGCAATTGTGGGCGGAGCTTAACTGCAAAATACTTATTTCTTTACAAGAAATTACAAATATGTTTTTGAGTATCGTGTTATTCAAAGAATACTATGTATAGTAAGAAAACAAAACAAAATATAAAACCCCGCCCACCCACCCCATTTCAAGTGTGATGATTTTATTTCTGAGAAACTTAACACACGTTTAAAATGGTAAATTTTTGTAAGGAAGTATGAATTTTGCAATTAGGCTCCGTCCTGTCTCAATTGTGATGATTTTTTTTTTATTCGCTGTGAACCAAGGGGGCGGAGCTTAACTGCAAAATACCCATTTTTTACAAGAAATTAAAAACATGTTTCTGAGTATCGTGTTGTTCAAAAAATACTGCGTACATTAAGAAAAAAATAAAAGATATAACCCCCCCCCACCCACCTCATCTAAATTGTGATGATTTTTTTTTGTTCTTAGAAACTTGAAATACGTTTAAAATGGTAAGTTTTTCTAAAGAAATATGTATTTTACAATTAGGACCCGCCCCCAGGTCTGCTAACGAATGAAAAGTTCATTAGTATTTAGATCAGGGCAGGTGTGGGTGGGGCTTAATCTTTGGCTTTAATTTTGTCTTAATATACATAGTATTCTTTGAATAAAACGATACTCAAAGAAATGTTTTTAATTTCACGTAGAGAAATAAGGATTTTGCAGTTAAGCTCCACCCCCTTGGCTCACAACGAATAAAAAAAATCATCACAATCGAAATAGGGCGGGTGGGTGGGGCTTAAATTTTGCCCTTTTCTTCTTAAAATGTTTAGTCATTTTTTCACGGCAAGAAACTTATGTTTAAAGTGGTAAATTTGTATAGGGAAATATCAATTTTGCAATTATGTTCCGCCCCTCGGTCTGACAACCAATGAAAAAATTCTCCTTTGGTTTTCTTTTTTTAACTATGTAATACATTTAGTTTTCTTTGTATAACACGATAACTTAAGGACATATTTCACATGGTAATTTCAGCGGAAAAATAAGAATTTTAATATTAAGCTCCGCCCCTCGGCTTACGACGAATACAAAAAATCATTGGAATTGAGATCGGGTGGGTGGGTGGGGCTTATATTCTTATATTAAGAAGGTACATTTTTGCAAGAAAATATGGATATTTCCTTATACAAATTTTCCAATTTAAACATGTTTTAAGTTTCATGTTGTGAAAAGAAGTCTATACATGTTAAAACAAAGAGGCAAAATGTAAGCCCGCCCACCCGCCCTATTTCAATTGTGGGCGGAGCTTAACTGCAAAATACTTATTTCTTTACGAGAAATTACAAATATGTTTTTGAGTATCGTGTTGTTCAAAGAATATTACGTATATTAAGAAAACAAGCAAAATATAAACCCCGCCCACCCACCCCGTTTCAATTGTGATGATTTTATTTCTTAGAAACTTAAAACACGTTTAAAATGGTAAATTTTTGTAGGGGAGTAGGTATTTTGCAATTAGGCTCCGCCCCTCGGTTTGACAACGAATGAAAAATTCATCACAATTGAGATAGGGTGGGTGGGCGGGCTTATGTTTTGCCTTTCTTAATGTACATAGTATTCTTCGAGCAACATGATACTCAAAACCATGTATTTAATTTCTCGTAGAGAAATAAGGATTTTGCAGTTAAGCTCCACCTCCTTGACTCACGACGAATAAAAAAAATTACCACAATTGAAATAGGGTGGGTGGGCGGGGCTACGTTTTGCCTATTTTTCTTAATATATGTAGAGTTAATTCGATAACAAGAAACTTAAAACGTGTCCATGGTAAATTTTTGTAGTAATCGGCTTAAATCCTCCACTTTTCTTTAACAACCCCTTTAAATACGGTAAAAGTTGAACATCAAAATTATTATCAACGGCAACTTGGCAACGGAATTTATAAATGACAATTTAAGCTAACTCTAGTTTCAGTTTGAGTTTCAATTTTGACTTGAGAATTTATTCCAATTTTAGCTTCCAGCACATTTCAGCTTCAATGTTTGTTTCTGATTAGGTTTAGGTTTTATTAGCTTTAGTAAGAGCTTCAGTTTCAATATTAATTTCAGTGCCGAGTCTGTTTTCAGAGTTTGTTAGGAGTAGGGAAATTTTGATAGTTTTAGCTTTAAATTACTTAGCTCCAGTTACAATTTTAGCTTTAGTAATTACTAGTTGCTACTAGTTTCAGTTTCAATTAAACTTCAACTTCAAGCCTGGATCTTAAACAAAATTTTATTTTAAATCAACTTGAGCTTTTGTTAAATTTCACTCTCAGGTTTTGTTTTCATATCAGTTTCATATAGTTTTGGACCAGCTGCAGCTTCACTTTAGTTTTACGATCGCTTTGACACAGCTTTAATTTCAATCTCAATCTTATTAGTAAATTCAGTTAGGTAGTCATTATTTTTAGTTTCAGCTTCAGTTTCATGGTCAGCTTCAGTTTCAAGGTCAGCTTCAGTTGGCGCCAATTTTACCTTTTTGTTTACTTAAATTTCTGCTAGTAATTTGTAAATTTTGGGATATTTTTTCGTAATTAAATCGGTGTCGCAGAATTTCCGCCATTTTGACGACTCCACGACAAAGAACATTAAACCGCCACCTTGCACTTAAACCCTTTCGCAATTTTTACAAGAAAAAGGTCCTACCTTGCACATAGGGCCCTTTCTTCGGATGCTGCCTCACTTTCAGCGCACACTTGTCGTTTTCGTGCAGCAGATCGCGCACTTTCTCGTTGTAAATCTCCAAATAACTGCAACAAAGCACTCACAACCCTTAAGAATTCCAGAACACTCGCGTGACATCCGCTACCATCAACCAGCGCGCACTGTCTGAAACGCGAAATTTACTCCCAACACACTCCACCTTGTCGGAGAGTTGTAAAAGTGATAAGTAAATGTGAGTAGCGCTCACGAAAGCTTCCGCCGTCAAAACACTAATTAATTCTTCGCATCGGCGTGAAATATGGGGGCACCGTGGGGCAATTTTTCATAAAACTTTCCAAAACCTCGCAATTTGAGTTTACCCAAGAGTTGGACGCGTCCGAGATCGATAAACAATCATCGTTGCATGTGTGAAGTGTGAGAATTGGCAATGTTTGGGGTGTGATAAGGCGGCGGCGATTAGATGCGTAGCGATGGGGGCGGATGCACGCATATCTCATGCGTGGTGCGGAGCCGGAAGTGGCTGCATTGTGATTTGGGCTGTGGGATTGTTGCGGTGCTTGTTTTGTTTGGATGGGTTTATGTGGAAAGTTGGATTGCTTGGATGGGAGGTGTTTGGAAGTTTTTCAATTTGGGGGGAAGGGGCGAGGGTGGTGGGGTGGTTGGCGGCGAGGGCAACAAGTAGGGGAGGAATTGGGAAAAAGGGCCAAGGTTGCTTGAACAAATTATATTATTTCTTTGGGGTAAATTGATATAATTATGTGTCCTTCTTAAAGTGTTTTCGAAGCTGTTTTTGCTTGACTCTGCTGAGAGAAGTTCTGTTGTTTTTTCAGAATCTTCGTTTTTTCTGAAAATTTTGTCTTTTAACTAAATTCTTGGGACTTTTTTCGAAAATCTTGAAATGTCACCTCTTTTCTATTTTTTCCAGGTTTGTATAATTTTTCCTGAGGAGAAGGTCTTGATATTTGCTCAAGCTCGTGAAATTTTTATCAAGGTCCTGTGTTTTTTTTTTTTAATTTGACTATTTTGTTTGAAGATTTTGAATTGTTGAGCTTTCTCTGTGAATCTTTCATTTTCTTCCCCAAAGTTGAGATTTTTTTATGTCCAGATTTTAAATATTTGTTTTATTAGATTTCTGTAATTTTCTTTCCGAAGATTTTGACTCCTTGTCTCAATTCTTTAGATATCTCAAGTCTCATCTTTTTTCTGTTTTTGAAAATTTTGTTTTATTCTGATGTTTTTTGAGGCTTTTTTACTAAAGGCTTGAGACATTTTTACTTTCTGAACTTGAATCCATCGGGCGACTTGCCACTTTCATCTTTTCTCGACGTTTCACGATCTCAAGAATACGACAAGTAGTCTCCCGTTTCGGTTTATTTGTCGTCTGTTTGTGTCGATTTTTGTTAGACAGATAATCTCCGAAACTACCGAACCGATTGTTGTCAAATTCTGTATGTATATTAGAACTGTCGTGTAAATCAATGGGATGACATCACCTCTTAAATTTAAAATAATAAACTCCTGCATTTATGGTGTATGAATCTGTGTTGAGTTTTCACTGTATGCATCTAGTTTTTTGAAAAAAAAAAACAAAGTTTTATATCATTTTGCAATTCAACTTTACTCCATACTTGTGATTTATCAATGCAAATCTTATAATTTTTCGAAAAATTTATGTTTACTTAGAGCAATTTTTTTATGTCACAATTTTTAATGTTTTGATTTTTTTTTATTTTTCAAGTTCTTCATTTTTATTTTTAATTTTTTGGGTTTTTTAGCTTTTCGACTTTTCGATTTCCTATTTTTGGAATTTCTGGTTTTGGATTTTTCACTTTTTCCACTTTCGTTTTCAATTTTCAGTTTTTCGATTCTACAGTTTTTGGAATTTTGGATTTCTGGAAAATACGAATTTTTCTTTTCTGATTTTTCTATCGTCCATTTCTCTATTTTCCTATTTTTTATTTTTTCAATTTTTGATTTTTCTATTTCCAATTTTCGATTTTTAGTAATTCGATTTTTCGAATTTTGGCTTTTCGATTTTTCGATTATCAGGAGATTTTGGGGGATTTCGATTTTTTGTTTTTTAGAATATTCAATTTATGGACTTCTCGATTTTCAAATTTTAAATTTTTCGAGTTTTCACTTTTGACTTCAAATTTTCGAAATTTCCTTTTCCGAATTTTCGTTTTTTGATTTACGATTTTTTTTTTAATTTTCGATTTTTTTGGTTTTTCGATTTTCGATTTTTTTATGTTCGATTCTTCGATTTTCCATTTTGTTGATTTTTGACTTCAGTTTTTGGCACTTTCCATTCCTCGATTTTGAATTTTTCAACTTTCAATTTTTTGACTTCAATTTTTAGAATTTTCGTTATTCGATATTTCGATTTTCAATTTTTGGAATCTCCGACTTTTTGAATTTTGGATTTTTAATTTTTCGAATTATCAATTTTGGGTTCTTCAATTTTTGGAATTTTGTAATTTTCGATTTCCGATTTTTTGAATTTTGGATTTTTGGATTTTCGATTTTTCAACTTTTGAATTAACGATTTTCGATTTGCAGAATACATATTCAATTTCCGATTTTCGATTTTTCGAATTTTGGATTTTCAATTTTTCGAATTTTCCGATCTTGGGTTCTTCGATTTTTGGAATTGTCTAATTTTTGATTTCCGATTTTACGAATTTTGGCATTTCGGTTTCTCGATTTTCAGATGATTTTGGATTTTTCGATTTTTAATTATTCGAATTTTTGATTTTTGAATTTCGACTTCCTACTTTTCGACTTTGGATTTTTCGACTTTTGGCTTTTCAATTTTTGATTACTTATCCGATTTTTTGATTTTTACAGTTTTCAATTTTTGGATTTCTCGATTTTCCAATTTAAAATTTTTCGATTTTTCCACTTTTGACTTCAAATTTTCGCATTTTCCTTTTCAAAAATTTTTTTCTTCGGTTTTTGATTTTTCGATTTTTGATCTTTTTATGTTCGATTCTTCGGACTTTCCATTTTTTGATTTTCGACTTTTTAGATTTTGGTACTTTCTATTCCTCGATTTTAAATTTTTCGAGTTTTAATTTTTAAAATTTTCGATTTTCGATTTTTGGTTTTCAATATTTCGATTTTAGATTTTTTGGAAGTTAATTCTAGTTTTGGAATTTCCGATTTTTTAAATTTTGGATTTTCAATTTTTCGAATTTTTCAATTTTAGATTCCTCGGTTTTTGGAATTTTCTAATTTTCGATTTCCGATTTTCGATTTTTCGATCTTTGGTTTTCGTTTTTCAATTTTCGATTTTACGATTTTGGGATTGTTGAAGTTTTCAATTTTTCGATTTTTCGATTTATGATCTTTAAATTTTTTTCATTTTCAATTTTTCTTTTCCAGAGTTTCGAATTTCGATTTTTCAGTTATCCAGCTTTCGAATTTTTAAGTTTTCCAATTATGGATTTTTGGAATTTTCAAGTTCTCAGTTTTTCTATTTCCTCCTTTTCGAATTATGATATGTATTTCGGTTTTTTAGTTTTAAATTTATTGATTTTCCTATTTCAAAATTTTAGATTTTTCGATTTTGCGACTTTGGATTTCTCGAATTTTCAAATTTTCCTTTTTCGATTCTCGATTTTTCGAAGTATCGATTTTTGCTTTTCAAATGTTTGAATTTCAACATTTCGATTTCTCTGATTTTTCCAATTTTGGATTTTTCGTGTTTCCAATTTTTGATTTTGTGAATTTCGATTATCCGATTTTTTGGTTTTTGGAATTTTCAATTTTTGAATTTCCCGATTTTCAAAACTTTCTTTTTCCAAATTTTAGCTTTTCGATTTTCGATTTATTTATGTTCGATTCTTCGATTTTCAATTTTTGAAATTTCCGATTTTTGAATTCTTGGATTTTCCATTTTTCGGATTTTCCAAAATTATAGGTTCTTCGATTTTTGGAATTTTCTAATTTTCGATTTCCGATTTTTTAATTCTGGTTTTGGATTTTCAATTTTTTAACTTTACCGATCTTCGATTTTCGAAATATTCAACTTTCGACTTTTCATTTCAACCTTCGGTTTTCGTTTTTCGATTTTCGATTTTTCCAATTTTGGGTGTTTCGAATTTACTATTTTTAGTTTTTAATTTTTGAATTTTCGGCTTTTCAGTTTTTCAGTTTTCGAGTGTCCGAATTTAAGTTTTTCAATTTTTAAATTTTCGATTTTTCAAATTTTCGATTCTCAATTTTCAAATTTTTTATTTTTCGTTCAATTTTTTGTTTTCAATTTTTGATTTTTCAATTTCCGAATTTTCGTTTTCCAATTTTTGATTTTGTGAATTTCGATTATCCAATTTTTTGGTTTTTAAAATTTTGGATTTTCCGATTTTCAAACTTTCTTTTTCCAAATTTTCGTTTTTCGATTTTCGATTTTTGGAATTTCCGATTTTTGAATTCTTGGATTTTCAATATTTTAACTTTACCGATTTTCGATTTTCGAAATATTCAACTTTCGACTTTTTGATTTTTCCAATTTTCGGCTTTTCAGTTTTTCAGCTTTCGGGTGTCCGAATTTAAGTTTTTCAATTTTGGACTTTTCGAAGTTTCAATTTTTCGGTTTTTATATTTCCTCTTTTTCGAATTATCATATTTGCGTTTTTCAGTTTTAATTTTTTTCTCACTTCTTAGATTTTTGATTTTTCTAATTTTGGATTTTTCGCGCTTTCAGTTTTCAGTTTTTGAATTTTCGATTTTCCAAATTTTCGATTTTCGGTTCGATTTTTCGTTCAATTTTTCGATTCTCGATTTGTGATTTTTCAATTTCCAGTTTTTCGAATTTTAATTGATCGATTTTTTGATTTCGAATTTCGATATTCGATTTTCCGAATTTTAGCTTTTCGATTTCTCAATTTTTAGATTTTACGATTTTCTATATGTGGAATTTTACGATTTTCCGACCTGGAATTTTTCACTTTTCGATTTTTTTTTTTTTGGAAAAACTAAGAAAAATGAAAAATTGAAAAACTGAAATTCAAAAATCAAGGAAATGAAAAATTGAAAAAATGGAAATTAGAAAAACAAAAAATTATAAAATCAGAACATTGAAAAAACGAAACATTGCAAATTGAAAATGTGAAGAATGGAAAATTAAAGAATCTGAAATTTGAAAAATTAAAAATTGAAAACTCGAGAAATTTTAGATCGAAAAATTTCAAAATCTAAAAATTGGTGAAACAAAAAATTAAAAATTGGAAAGATAAAAAATGATAAAATCGAAGCACTGAAAAATCGAATAAATAATTCAAAACAAAGAAAATAAAAAACCGAAACAAAAAATCCAATCCAAAAATTGCAAAATCTGGAAATCAAAATATTTGGAAAATTGAAAAATTCAAAAAATTACCAATCGAAAAAATGAAATATTGAAGAATTGACAAATTCAAGTCAAAAAAGTTATAAGTTTTTACTTTATAGAGGTTATTAAAAAAAAAAAACGTACAAATTTTTATTCCTTCAACGTACTCCCATATTTCATCCTACAGAATGCTTGAATTAATTATTATTTGTTATATTTTAACCTTGTACCTTTAGAACTTGAACAAAACGATTTTTTTTTTTAGTTTTTTATTTTAGCATTTTTAATATTCACTTTTTAGGATTTTCGATTCGATTTTTCGATGATTTATCAGGAGATTTTGGGGATTTCGATTTTTTAATTTTCAATTTTCTGAATTTTTGATTTTTTAATTTCCAATTTTTCGATTTTTAATTAATCGATTTTTTGATTTTTAGAATTTTCAATTTGTGGACTTCTCGATTTTCAAATTTTAAATTTTTCGAGATTTCACTTTTGATTTCAAATTTTCGAAATTTCGTTTTCCGAATTTTCGTTTTTCGATTTACGATTTTTTTTAATTTTTGATTTTTTTGGTTTTTCGATTTTCTATTTTTTTCTGTTCGATTCATCTATTTTTCATTTTTTTGATTTTTGCTTCAGTTTTTGGCACTTTGAATTCCTCGATTTTCAATTTTCCAACTTTCAATTTTTTGACTTCAATTTTTAGAATGTTCGTTTTTTGATTTTTCGATTTTCAATATTTCGATTTTAGATAATTTCCGATTTATCGATTTTCAATTTTTGGAATCTCCGACTTTTTGAATTTTGGATTTTCAATTTTTCGAATTTTCCAATCTTGGGTTCTTCGATTTTTGGAACTGTCTAATTTTTATTTCCAATTTTTCGAATTTTGGCATTTCGGTTTCTCGATTTTCAGATGATATTTTATTTTTCGATTTTTAGTTACATAATTGCATTTTTGATTTTTCAATTTCGACTTTTTACTTTTCGACTTTGGATTTTTCGACTTTTGACTTTTCGAATTTCCGAATATTCGTTTTTCAATTTTTGATTACTTATCCGATTTTTTGAATTTTACAATTTTCAATTTTTGGATTTCTCCATTTTACAATTTTAAATTTTTCGGTTTTTCCACTTTTGACTTGAAATTTTCGCATTTTCCTTTTCAAAAATTTCATTCTTCGGTTTTTGATTTTTCGATTTTTGATCTTTTTATGTTCGATTCTTCGGATTTTCCATTTTTTGAATTTCGACTTTTTAGATTTTGATACTTTCTATTCCTCGATTTTAAATTTTTCGAGTTTCAATTTTTAAAATTTTCGATTTTCGATTTTTCGATTTTCAATATTTCGGTTTTCGATTTTCGATTTTGTGGAATTTAATTCCAGTTTTGGAATTTTCGATTTTTAGAATGTTGGATTTTTGGATTTTCGATTTTTCAACTTTTTATTTACCGATTTTCGATTTTTCGATCTTTGGTTTTCGTTTTTCAATTTTCGATTTTTCGATTTTAGGATTGTTGAAGTTTTCAATTTTTCGATTTATGATCTTTAAATTTTTTTCATTTTCCATTTTTCTTTTCCAGAGTTTCGAATTTCGATTTTTCAGTTATCCAGTTTTCGAATTTTCAAGTTTTCCAATTATGGATTTTTGGAAATTTCAAGTTCTCAGTTTTTCTATTTCCTCCTTTTCGAATTATGATATGTATTTCGGTTTTTTAGTTTTAAATTTATTGATTTTCCTATTTCAAAATTTTAGATTTTTCGATTTTGCGACTTTGGATTTCTCGAATTTTCAAATTTTCCTTTTTCGATTCTCGATTTTTCGAAGTATCGATTTTTGCTTTTCAAATGTTTGAATTTCAACATTTCGATTTCTCTGATTTTTCCAATTTTTGATTTTTCGTGTTTCCAATTTTTGATTTTGTGAATTTCGATTATCCGATTTTTTGGTTTTTGGAATTTTCAATCTTTGAATTTCCCGATTTTCAAAACTTTCTTTTTCCAAATTTTCGCTTTTCGATTTTCGATTATTTTATGTTCGATTCTTCGATTTTCAATTTTTGAAATTTCCGATTTTTGAATTCTTGGATTTTCCATTTTTCGAATTTTCCAAAATTATAGGTTCTTCGAGTTTTGGAATTTTCTAATTTTCGATTTCCGATTTTTTAATTCTGGTTTTGGATTTTCAATTTTTTAACTTTACCGATCTTCGATTTTCGAAATATTCAACTTTCGACTTTTCATTTCAACCTTCGGTTTTCGTTTTTCGATTTTCGATTTTTCCAATTTTGGGTGTTTCGAATTTACTATTTTTAGAGGTTTTAATTTTTGAATTTTCGGCTTTTCAGTTTTTCAGTTTTCGAGTGTCCGAATTTAAGTTTTTCAATGTTTGAATTTTCGATTTTTCAAATTTTCGATTCTCAATTTTCAAATTTTTTATTTTTCGTTCAATTTTTTGTTTTCAATTTTTGATTTTTCAATTTCCGAATTTTCGTTTTCCAATTTTTTGGTTTTTAAAATTTTCAAATTTTGGATTTTCCGATTTTCAAACTTTCTTTTTCCAAATTTTCGATTTTTTGAATTTTCAATTTTTTAACTTTTCGATTTTCGATTTTTGATGTTCAATTCTTCGATTTTCAATTTTTGAAATTTCCGATTTTTGAATTCTTGGATTTTCAATTTTTTAACTTTCCCGATTTTCGATTTTCGAAATATTCAACTTTCGACTTTTCGATCTTCGGTTTTCGTTCTTCGATTTTTGATTTTTCCAATTTTCGGCTTTTCAGTTTTTCAGCTTTCGGGTGTCCGAATTTAAGTTTTTCAATTTTGGATTTTTCGAAGTTTCAATTTTTCGGTTTTTCTATTTCCTCTTTTTCGAGTTATCATATTTCCGTTTTTCAGTTTTAATTTTTTTTCTCACTTCTTAAATTTTTGATTTTTCTAATTTTGGATTTTTCGCGCTTTCAGTTTTCAGTTTTTGAATTTTCGATTTTCCAAATTTTCGATTTTCGGTTCGATTTTTCGTTCAATTTTTCGATTCTCGATTTGTGATTTTTCAATTTCCAGTTTTTCGAATTTTAATTGATCGATTTTTTGATTTCGAATTTCGATATTCGGTTTTCCGAATTTTAGCTTTTCGATTTCTCAATTTTTAGATTTTACGATTTTCTATATGTGGAATTTTACGATTTTCCGACCTGGAATTTTTCACTTTTCGATTTTTTTTTTGGAAAAACTAAGAAAAATGAAAAATTGAAAAACTGAAATTCAAAAATCAAGGAAATGAAAAATTGAAAAAATGGAAATTAGAAAAACAAAAAATTATAAAATCAGAACATTGAAAAAACGAAACATTGCAAATTGAAAATGTGAAGAATGGAAAATTAAAGAATCTGAAATTTGAAAAATTAAAAATTGAAAACTCGAGAAATTTTAGATCGAAAAATTTCAAAATCTAAAAATTGGTGAAACAAAAAAATTAAAAATTGGAAAGATAAAAAATGATAAAATCGAAACACTGAAAAATCGAATAAATAATTCAAAACAAAGAAAATAAAAAACCGAAACAAAAAATCCAATCCAAAAATTGCAAAATCTGGAAATCAAAATATTTGGAAAATTGAAAAATTCAAAAAATTACCAATCGAAAAAATTAAATATTGAAGAATTGACAAATTCAAGTCAAAAAAGTTGTAAGTTTTTACTTTATAGAGGTTATTAAAAAAAAAAACGTACAAATTTTTATTCCTTCAACGTACTCCCATATTTCATCCTACAGAATGCTTGAATTAATTATTATTTGTTATATTTTAACCTTGTACCTTTAGAACTTGAACAAAACAATTTTTTTCTACCTCACGTCCACCTTCGCCTTGTCCACCTCCTCCCCGACCGCCGCCTCCAGCAAGTACCCAAAAATCCTCTCGCACAGCTTGGGAATCAGCCCCGGGTCGTGGGGGAACCCCATCATCGTGTGCGTCTTCCCCGAGGCGCTCTGTCCGTACGCCAGGACGCAGGAGTGCCGCCTCTTCTTGATCGCCTCGCCGACGACGCTCTCAACAGCTCGGAACACCTGAAACGCAGCCCTTTCATCTCCGGAAGATTTACGAGCGCCGAACCGAAATAGAGAGCAATTAGACGGCGATGCGCCAATTCGATTTTTTGTGTGTGTTTACGTACGTCGTCCTGCGTGGAATTCTGGTGGAAGCAGAAGTCGAAGGTGAACCTCCTGGTGCGCTTGCGGCTGTCGCCGGCGTGCTGTTCGGGCACCTGCGGACGAAATTAGATCAAAGGAAGGCACGGTGCTTGTCAAATTAAGGCGGAAAATGAATGGATTAGACGGAATGGCGGGCTGGAGATGATGGCGATTGTGGAGGACTGTCGTAAATCGTGGACGTGGAGAGGACATGTGTTGAGGAGACGTTTACAACGGAAACAAGTCGTTTGGTTGTTTTGAGGGTTTGATGGAGATGTGGATCGTTTTGGTTGAGGTATTTGTGGTTGGATGTGTTAAAGTTGCTGCTGCAGATATCCTGTGTGAGGTTTCTTTATTTTTTTTTATAATGAAACGTAGCTTTGTAGAAAATTGTCGGGTGTGAGTCAGATAGGTGTTTCCTGAAGCAAAGCTTCCGTTTGTGGAAAAGCTGTCTATTTTTATGGGGAGATGATATTCCAAATTTTTGGGTTGGCAATTCTGAATTATTGGCAGCAGTGTTGGAATGTTAGTGCATAGTTGTCTATTTTGACATGAGGGCGCCTAAGAAGCCAATGAGAAGATGGGAGCTACTAATTTTCGATTTTTCAATTTTCGGTATTTCTAATTCCTAATTTTTCTGTTTTGGACTTTTGGAATTTTCATTTTTCGGATTTTTCGATTTTTTGACGTTGAATTTTTCAACTTTTGACATTTCGAGTTTTGATTTTTCGACTTTCGAATTTTCGTTCTTCGATTATTATCAATTTTTTCGATTTTTGGCTTTTATATTTCTCAATTATCAATTTATTTTCGATAGGAGCAATTTTTCGATTACCGATTTTCGGAATTTTCATTTTTCAATTTTTGGATTTCTCATTTTTTCAACTTTTCGACTTTTCGATTTTTCAATTTTCGCTTTTCCTAGTTCTCGATTTTTCGATTTTTTTATTTTCGATTTTTGAAATTTTCGATTTTTCAACTTTGGACTTTTCGAGTTTTAATTATTCGACTTTCGAATTTTCATTTTCCGATTTTCAATTTTTCCTGGCTTCAATTTCAAATTTCCATTTTTGGTACGTGCAATTTTTCGATTTTAGATTTTTAGATTTTTTTTGATTTTCGATTTTTGGAATTTTCAATTTTCAATTTTTGGATTTTTCTATTTTGACTTTCAATCTTTCAACTTTCGACTTTTTGACTGTGATTTTTCGACTTTCGATTTTTCGATTTTTCGTTTTTCAAGTATCAACTTTTCCAATTTTGGCTTTTCGTTTTCTCGATATCGATTTTCAATGTCGAATTTTTCGATTTTAGATTTTTCGATTGTCCTACTTTGAATTTTTCGACTCTTGATTTTTCGACTTTCGACTTTTCGACTTTTTACTTTTCTTATTTTCGTTTTCCAAATTTTCGTTTTTCGATTTTTGGAATTCCCGATTTTTTATGTTCGATTCTTCGATTTTCCATTTTTCAATTTACGACTTTTCAGTTTTTGGAATTTTCGATTCCTTGATTTTAAATTTTTCAACTTTCGATTTTTAGAATTTTGGATTTAGAATTTTTCAAATTTTCCGCTCTAGGTTCTTCGGTTTTTGGAATTTTCTAATTTTCGATTTTAGATTTTTTGAATGTTGGGTTTTTGGATTTTTGCAATTTCTGGTTATTCAATTTTTTAATGTTCAATTTTTGGATTTTTCGGCTTTTTAAATGTTTGAACTTTGCTTTCATTGTCAAATTTTTCAAGTTTGGCATTTTTCGACTTTCGAATTTTAGTTTATCAAATTTTCGATTTTTCAATTTTCGGTTTTTGTAATTCTCGAATTTTTGATTTTTTGGTTTTCGATTTTTGGAATTTTCAATTTTCGAATTTTTCGATTTTTAGATTTATGTATTTTTTGACTTTGAATTTTTCAACTTTGGACTTTTGAAATTTTGATTTTTGCGATTTTCGAACTTTCATTATCGATTTTCATTTTTCGATTTTTGGCTTTCATATTTCTCAATTATCGATTTTCGATACGTGCAGTGGATTTCAGATTTTTCGATTTTTGACTTTTGGAATTTTCAATTTTTGAATTTTCGATTTTTCAACTTTCGACTTTACGACTTTCAAATTTTCGATTTTCGATTTTTCGAATTCTGATTTTTCGTTTTCTCGATAATAGATTTTCGATGTCGAATTTTTCGATTTTAGATTTTTCAATTTTTCAACTTTCGATTTTTCGACTATTGACTTTTCCACTTTTCTCAATTTTCAATTTTTCATTTTTTCTGATTTTTCAATTTTTTACGTTCGATTTTACGATTTTCAATTTTTTAATGTTCGTTTTTTCAGTTGTTTGAACTTCCGATTTCTCGATTCTAAATTTTTAGAATTCTCGATGTTTCGATTTTCATGATTTTGATTTTCGATTTTTTGGAATTTAATTCTAAATTCAGATTTTTCAATATATCGATTTTCAATTTTTTGAATTTCCGATTTTTTGAATTTTGGATTTTTGGATTTTAGATTTCAACTTTTGATTTACCGATTTTCGATGTCGGGAATGTTTAATTTTCGATCTTTGTTTTTTGTTTTTCGATTTTTGGAATTTTGGGTTTTTCAGGATTTTATTAGTCAATTTTTTCATATTCAATTTTTGGATTTTAGATTTTTAGAGTTTTCGATTTTTCAGCTTTTAAATGTTACATTTTTCCATTTCCAATATATTGAATTTTGATTTTTCAGTTTTCGATTTTTAGAATTTTCAATTTTTCAAATTCTGAATTTTTCGAATTGTGGATTTTTCATTTCTCGATTTTCGAATTACCGATTTTTCGATTTTCGACTTTTCGGTTGTAAATATTTTGCTTTTAAAACATTCGAATTTCAACATTTTGATTTTCCGATATTTCGATTTTTGAGTTTTCTAATTTTGGATTTTAATTTTGGATTTTTAATTTTCAAATTTTTAATTTTTCGAAGATACAATTTTTCGTTTCTCGATTTTGGATGTTTCGATTTTGGCTTCAATTGTTCGATTTTTGATTTTTCTAATTGTGGATTTTTTGAATTTTGAATTTTTGAATTTTCAATTTTTCCCTCAATTTTTCGATTCTCAATTTTGGATGTTTCGATTTTTCATTAAATTTTTCGAATTGACAAGTTTTGATCTTCAGATTTTTTCATTTTCCATTTTTCCATTTCCAACGTTTCGGATTTCGATTTTTCAGTTTTTGACTTTTCGAATTTTCAATTTTTTCAATTTTGGACTTTTCGAATTTTCAATTTTTCAGTTTTTCTAGTTCCTCTCTTTCGAATTTTGACATTTCGATTCTTCAGTTTTAAAATTTTTTATTTTTCGATTTCCAAATTTTAAAGTTTTCGATTTCCAAATTTTAGATTTTTCGATTTTTGGACTTTGGATTTCTCGAATTTTCAAATTTTCGATTTTCAATTTCCAAATTTTTGTTTTTTTGCGTTCCATGTTTCGTTAAATTTTTCGATTCTCAATTTTGGATGTTTCGATTTTTCATTCAATTTTTCGAATTGACGATTTTTGATCTTTGGATTTTTTCAATTTCCATTTTTCCATTTCCAATGCTTCGGATTTCGATTTTTCAGTTTTTGAATTTTTGGAATTTTCAATTTTTCGGTTTTTCTATTTCCTCTCTTTCGAACTTTAATATTTCGGTTCTTGAGTTTTAAATTTTTTGATTTTTCGATTTCCAAATTTTAGATATTTCGACTTCCAAATTTTAGATTTTTCGATTTTTCAAATTTTCGTTTTTCAATTCTCGAATTTTCGAATTGTGGATTTTTCATTTTTCAATTTTCGAATTGCATATCGATTTCTCTACTTTCGCTTTTTCGAATGTAAACATTTTGTTTTTCAAACTTTCGAATTTTAACAATCGATTTTTCGAATTTTCATTGTTCAATTTTTGAATTTACGACTTTTCAAATTTTCTATTTTTAATTTTCAAATTATTGATTTTTCGTTCAGTTTTTTGTTCAATTTTTCGATTCTCGAGTTTGAATGTTTCAATTTTTCCTTTAACTTTTCGATTTTACGATTTTTCAGTTTTCGATTTTTCAATTTTTGAATTTTTTCAACTTTGGATTTTTCAAATTTTCAATTTTTCAGTTGCTCTATTTCCTTTTTTTGGACTTTCGATAGTTCGCGTTTTCAGTTTTAAATTTTTTGATGCTTCGATTTCCAAGTTTTAGAGATTTAGATTATGCGCCTTTGGATTTATCGAATTTTCAGATTTTCGTTTCTCGATCTTTGATTTTTCGAATTCTGCATTTTTCTCTTTTCGACTTTTCATTCAATTTTTGTATTTTCAATTTTGGATGTCTCGATTTTTGTTTTTTGATTTCAGTTTTCGATTTTTGGATTTTTGATTCCCAATTTTTCGAATCTTGGATTTTTCGAATCTTCCACTGCTCCCAGAAATTTCAGTTAACAGTTACTCTTTCGAATTTTGATATTTCGATTTTTCAGTTTTTAAATTTTTTTTTTTTAGATTTATATACGTTAGATTTTTTATTTTTCGGCTTCGAACTTCTCGAATTTTCAAATTTTCGTTTTTCGATTCTCGATTTTTCGAATTTTGCATTTTTCTTTATTCGATTTTTCAAATTTTCGATTTTGAGCTTTAAAATTTTTTATTTTTCTTTCGATTTTTCGTTCAGTTCGATTTTCGATTTTGAAGGTTTCGATTTTCTGTTTTTTTATTTTCAGTTTTCGATTTTTCGATTTTTGGATTTTTGATTCTCGATTTTTCGAATCTTCCATTTTTCGCATTTTTTATGCTCCCAGAAATTTCAGTTAACAATGAATACTCTTTCGAATTTTGACATTTTTGAAATATTTTAATTTTTGGATTTGTAAATTTAAAATTTTTTGAGGTTATGGTTTAGACTTCTCGAATTTTCAAATTTTCGTTTTTCGATTCTCGATTTTTCTAATTTTGATTTTTCATTTTTCGATTTTCGAATTACCGAATTTTCGTTTTTCACTTTTTCGAATGTAAACATTTTGCTTTTCGAATTTTCAAATTTCAACATTTTGATTCTTCTATTTTTGATTCTTCTTCTTTTGGATTTTTTGAATTTTCAAATTTTGATCTTTAGATTTTTTCATTTTCCATTTTTCCATTTCCAATGTTTCGGATTTCAATTTTTCGGTTTTTCTATTTCCTTTTTTTCGAATTTTGATGTTTTAGATTTTTCGATTTTTCGAATTCTGCATTTTTCCGTTTTCGATTTTTCAAATTTTCGATTTTGTATTTTGAAATTTTTCATTTTTCGTTTGATCTTTCCTTCAATGTCTGGATTTTTGATTTTGGGTGTTTTCATTTTTCGAATCTTTGATTTTTGAATCTTCGATTTTCGATTTTTCGTATTTTTGATGCTCCCAGAAATTTCAGTTAACAGTTACTCTTTCGAATTTTAATATTTGGGTTTTTCAGTTTTTAAAATGTTTGATTTTTAGATTTATAAAGGTTAGATTTTTTATTTTTCGGCTTCGGACTTCTCGAATTTTCAAAATTTCGTTTTTCGATTCTCGATTTTTCGAATTTTGCACTTTTCTTTATTCGATTTTTCAAATTTTCAATTTTGTTTTTTAAGTTTTGATTTTTCGTTCGATTTTTCGTTCAATTGTTCGATTTTCGATTTTGAATGTTTCGATTTTTTGTTTTTTGATTTTCAACTTACGATTTTTCGATTTTTGGATTTTTAATTCTCGATTTTTCGAATCTTCCATTTTTCGCATTTTTGATGCTCCCAGAAATTTCAGTTAACAGTGAACACTCTTTCGAATTTTGAGGTTTGGTTTTAGACTTCTCGAATTTTCAAATTTTCGTTTTTCGATTCTCGATTTTTCAAATTTTGAATTTTTCATTTTTGATTTTCGAATTACCGATTTTTCGATTTTCACATTTTCGAATGTAAACATTTTGCTTTTCGAATTTTCGAATTTCAACATTTCGATTCTTCGATTTTTGATTCTTCTTCTTCTTTTGGATTTTTCGAATTTTCAATTTTTGATCTTTAGATTTTTTCATTTTTCATTTTTCCATTTCCAATGTTTCGGATTTCAATTTTTCGGTTTTTCTATTTCCTTTTTTTCGAATTTTGATGTTTTCGATTTTGTATTTTGAAATTTTTCATTTTTCGTTTAACTTTCCCTTCACTTTCTGGATTTTTGATTTTGGGTGTTTCGATTTTTCGTTTTTTGATTTTCAGTTTTCGGTTTTTGGATTTTTGATTCGCAATTTTTCGAATCTTCGATTTTTGAATCTTCGATTTTCGATTTTTCGTATTTTTGATGGTCCCAGAAATTTCAGTTAACAATTACTCTTTCGAATTTTAATATTTCGATTTTTTAGTTTTTAAATTTTTGATTTTTAGATTTATAAATGTTAGATTTTTTATTTTTCGGCTTTGGACTTCTCGAATTTTCAGATTTTCGTTTTCCGATACTCGATTTTTCGAATTTTGCATTTTTCTTTATTCGATTTTTCAAATTTTCAATTTTGTTTTTTAAGTTTTGATTTTTCGTTCGATTTTTCGTTTAGTTGTTCGATTTTCGATTTTGAATCTTTCGATTTTTTGTTTTTTGATTTTCAACTTACGATTTTTCGATTTTTGGATTTTTAATTCTTGACTTTTCAAATCTTCCATTTTTCGCATTTTTGATCCTCCCAGAAATTTCAGTTAACAGTGAATACTCTTTGGAATTTTGACATTTTTTAAATATTTTAATTTTTAGATTTCTAAATTTAAAATTTTTTGAGGTTTTGGCTTTAGACTTCTCGAATTTTCAAATTTTCGTTTTTCGATTCTCGATTTTTCTAATTTTGATTTTTCATTTTTCGTTTTTCGAAGTACCGATTTTTGGATTTTCACTTTTTCGAATGTAAACATTTTGCTTTTCGAATTTTTGTATTTCAACATTTCGATTCTTCTATTTTCGATTTTCAACTTCCAAATTTTCGATTTTCGATATTCAAATTTTTGATTTTTCATTCAATTTTTTTTATTCTCGATTTTTCGTATCTTGGATTTTTTGAATCTTCCACATCTTCCGAATCTTAGCAAAATTTTTTTTCAGGCTTCAATAACCCATTTTACCTGCTCAGTTCAGAGATGTTGTAACAAATTATACCACGTATTACCAAACAAAATTTTTGTCCTAGATTCTGCAATCCAGACATTATTTGCATCCATTACGCCTCCCATAAAGACCCGGACGTGCGTGGTGAATCCACCTCCCACAAATCTTGTACAAATCTCGTGAATCTCGTACAACATTCCCGCGATTCTTATCATCACACACAAAACCCCGATCGAATAAAACAGCTGTCATCCACCCAAACGCAATAAAACTCCAACAAAAATAAACCTCCTTTATGACAGCCATCATCTGCTCTTTCCCAATCCTCCAAAAATACCCCCATCCACCTCTTTATCTCCGCGATAACCCCTCGCACCGAGTGTTTACACGACCCGACCTATTTTATAATTAGACGCGTGAATCCACCTCTCTTAATTTTAGAATCGCAATGCATCATTCACTTTATCTCAATTAAAATAAATCACATGTTAATCCGGCGACAAGTGTTAAAGTGCCACTTGAACAACTCTTCTACTAATTACCTTGATATTCGTCACGGCCACCGTCCTCCCGTCGTCCTCCACCTCCAGCACCCCGCAAGAGCCGCGCTCGATCTCCCTGAAACAACAAAAACCAACCTGAAGACGAAAACCGACCAAAAGAAACGTAAACACGCGGCTGGAGAAAGAGTGCAGTGACTTTTTGCACTGCTGCCTCTAATTTTAGCCGTTTCCGTGGGATTGCTGCACACGTGAACGGTGTTTCTTTGTTTACGGGCTGGGGGCCCTTTGAAACCGCTTTCCGATAGATGAGCTTAGAAAAAAAATTGTAGGTATTGTAAGTGGTGTTAGTCAAGGTGCGCTTAGCTTGGAGTGGAGTTCCTGGTGGGCGTGGGCTTGTTTATTTATTGTAGCTGCTTGGTAAAAATAAGCTGGTTTGTTTGAGGTTACGAAATGACCGTGTTTTGGGTTTAGTCAGGTCGGAGGAAAACACGCGTATTTACCTTGTCGAGAGTGGTCGCACGCGCACGCCGACCTTAAGGTGAGTCATCTTCTTTCGGAACACTTATACGCACTGACAGAGACAAGCTCGACATCTGGATCGACTCCAGCCTCCCGCCAGTGTCGCGGTGGATCTATATTTGAATTGTCTATTTCCAAAAGCGGATAAATCGATTTTGTTGGAGAAATTTTTGGCTTTGGGGCTGGCGCCGCTTGGGCGGTGGGAATGGTGGGTTTGGTCTGGGTTGAGCCGGATTACGGCGATGGGTCAACTCTAATGGAACTATAAATAAGAAAAAGGAAAAGCGACGTCTGGATGGATCAAAATAATATTTTCAAAAAATATTCTTTTGAAAACCAAAGTCTTTTTTACAGTCCTTTACAGTCTGTAGAAGGGATGTCCGAACTGCAGTGGTTGGCTTTGTCTGCCTAAGTCGTACCACCAACGATGAACTACACGTACTAAAATAAGTTTTCCCCTTCAAGCTAAAAATAAGAGCGTTTACAAAATTTCATTATCTTTTTATCAGTTCACAAATGGGACACCTGTATCTATATATAAATTTGCTTATTAATTTCTTTGAATTTTTTTATAATTTCCAAACTATTTTTATAAATAAATTTATAAATCTTCAAAATATTGTTGATTCGGACCCAGATTTACATTTTCTGATGAGGAATTCTTATAAATTATATAAATAAATTAAATTTAACTTACATTTTTTACTCAAAATAGTAACTGATAAGTGAAATTGACTATTATACGAAAAACAGTAAACGAATAAGCCCCACCCTCACTCACCTCTTATAGGCTAAATGAGTGTTTATTGAAGGCGGAGCTTAATTTCAAATAAGTTTTTTTTTTTGTAGAAATATCAATATTTTGAACACATTTTAAGTATTTCTTCATTGAAAATTGATGGTTTTTAGAAAAACGGTGTGCTCGTTTATTGCTTACTGCGATTAAAAAGTATGCCCGCCCACCCTCCCTAACTCCGCCTTAATGATCCTTTTAATTTCGAATGAGTTTGGGGAAAAATAAACTTAGTGCCAATCAAATAATCCTCTAGAAAAAAAAATCTTTTAAATTTTTTTCAAATAGTTCATTAGAGAAAACACGACTATTTTAAGAAAAACATTAAACGAAAAAGCCCCGCCCACTCACCTTTCCTAGTCTAAATGAGTGTTGATTCACCGTGGAACGAGGGGTGGAGCTTAATTTCAAATGAGGTTTTTTTGTAGAAATATTTACATTTTGATTACATTTTCAAGCATTTCTTCATTTAAAATTCATGGCTCTCAGAGAAAACGGTGTGCTCGTTTATTGCTTACAATGATTAAAAAGTATCCCCGCCCACCCGCCCTAAACTCCGCCTTATGATCCTTTTATTACTTATGAGCTCAGACGGGCGAAGCTTAGCTACAAATGAAATATTTCTATAGAAAAAAAAAGAGTTTTTTTTTTAATAAAAAACGAATATTGAGAGAAAAAAATTACACAAATAAGTCCCGCCCATTCACTTCTTCTACCCTAAATGAGTACATATTTATTCATCGTGAAACAAAAGGTGGAGCTTAATTTCAAATTAGAATTTTTTTGTAGAAATATCTATATTTTGAACACGTTTTAAGTATTTCTTCATTGAAAATTGATGGTTTTTAGAAAAAGGGTGTGCCCGTTTATTGCTTACTGTGGTGGAAAAAGCATGGCCCGCCCACACTCCCTAACTCCGCCTTAATGATCCTTTTAATTTCGAATGAGTTTGGGGAAAGAGAAACTTAGTGCCAATTAAATAATCCTCTAGAAATAAAAATGCCTTTTGAATTTTTTTTTCAAATAGTTAATTAGTGAAAACACACTATTCTAAGAAAAACATTAAACGAATAAGCTCCGCCCACTTACCTTTCCTAGTCTAAATGAGTGTTGATTCATCGTGGAAAGAGGGGTGGAGCTTAATTTCAAATGAGTTTTTATTTTTTTGGAGAAATATCTATATTTTGATCACGTTTTAAGTATTTATTCATTGAAAATTGATGGTTTTTAGAAAAAGGGTGTGCACGTTTCCTACCTACTATGCTAGAAAAAGTATGCCCGCCCACCCACCCCAAACTCCGCCTTATGATCCTTTTATTTCTCATAAGTTCAAGTGAGCGAACCTTAGCTGCAAATGAAATATTTCTGTAGGAAAAAAAATATTTTTGATTTTTTTTTAATAATGTATTTCTGAAAACACGAACATTAGGAGAAAAAAATTAAACAAATAAGCTCCACCCACTCATTTCTTCTACCCTAAATGAGTACATTCATCCTGAAACGAAAGGCGGAGCTTAATTTTAAATGAGAATTTTTTGTAGAAATATTTGTATTTTGAAAACGTTGTAAGTATTTGTTAATTGAAAATTGATAATTTTTATAAAAAACGGTGTGCACGTTTACTACCTACTGTGCTAGAAAAAGTATGCCCACCCACTCGCCCTTAACTCCGCCTTAATGATCCTTTTAATTTCGCATGACTTCAGGGAAAGAGAAACTTAGTGCCAATCAAATCATCCTCTAGAAATAAAAATGCCTTTTGAATTTTTTTCAGATAGTTCAATACTGAAAACACGACTATTTTAAGAAAAACATTTAACGAAAAATCCCGCCACTCACATTTCCTAATCTAAATGTGTGTTGATTCATCGTGGAGTGAGGGGTGGAGCTTAATTTCAAATGAGTTTTTTTTGTAGAAATATCTATATTTTGATCACGTTTTAAGTATTTCTTCATTGAAAATTGATGGTTTTTAGAAAAAGGGTGTACACGTTTACTACCTACTGTGCTAGAAAAAACATGTCCCGCCCACCCTCCCTTAACTCCGCCTTTATGACTCTATCTATTTCTCTTCAACTCAGGTCTTTTTTGATAATTCATTACTATTAAAAACACGACTATTATAAGAAAAACATTACGTAAGCGAATGAGCCCCGCCCACTCACGTCTTCTAGCGTAAATGAGTGCTTGATTCTCATGAAACGGGAGGCGGAGTTTAATTTCAAACGAGGATTTTTGTAGAAGTACCTATATTTTAAACTCTTTTAGGTACATGTTCGTTGAAAATTGATGATTTTAATTAATAAAAAGAAAAAAGTGCTCCATTGATTGATTGCTGTGGTAAAAAAAGATGCCCCGCCCACCCACCCTGAACTCTACCCTAGTGATCCTTTTTATTTTTCATGGGCTCGAGGGGAGCGAAGCTTGGATGAGATTGAAATATTTCTGTAGAAAAAAAATGCCTTTTAATTTTTTTTTTTTTTAAATACTTATTTCATTACTACTGAAAACACGACTATTCTGAGAAAAACATTAAACGAATAAGCCCCGCCTACCCACTCTAAAAAAGAGGGGAGTTTAAATTCAAACGAGGATTTTTTTAGAAATAACTATATTTTGAAGACGTTTGGTCGTTTTTCCCTATATATTTCGACTTCTAAAAGTAACTTTTGGTTTAATTTCTTCGAAAATTAAATAATTTTTCCACAATCGACAAAATTATAAATGAAAATTCCATTTTCAAAAAAAAATGTTTCTAAAATCGTGGTGTGGACCATCAACGAGTTATATTTTTCCAGTCAACTCATTGAAATGTATATCGTGGAATTTTTTCGAAATTTTTTGACAACTTTTCAAAAAACTCTATTTTTCAATACCTTTTTTTTAGCACTCTTCAAAAATTACCGAAATGTTCTTGTAGAACTGGACATATAAAAGTTAGTTTCGACTTAATTTCTTTCAAAATTCCAACATTCCTTGATCCGGAAATGTTATCACATTTTTCGAATCAGCTCGTCGAGATCCACATGCCAGATTTTTTTAGTGTTTAAGCAATTAACTTCTCAAAATTCGAGATATGAATTTTTTTATTTTTTGGCCATTTTTTGAGCACCCCTAGAAAATTACCAAAGCTATTTCTTTGTAGATTTCGACTTGTGGAAGTTATTTTCGGCTTTATTTCTTCGAAAATCCCAACTTTTTCAGAATCAATCAAATGAAAAATGACGATTTCGAGATGAAAAAAAAATCACTTTCAAACTGAAGTTTTGGAAAATCTTGATCGGGAATCATATTTTTGGAATCAGTTCATCGAGATCTATATGCCGGAATTTTTTGACGATTTTTAGGCTGTTTTCAAAATTCTCAATTTCTCAATGTGTGATTTTTTTACCGTTTTTCGAGGACCCTTTGAAAGTAACTTACCTTAAAGACATTATGTTATTGTAGATTTCGACTTATAGAAGTTAGTTTCAGCTTTATTTGAAACTTCTCAAAATCGAAAAAATTAAAAATGACGATTTTCGAGACGATTTTTTTTCATTTTTACACCGAATTTTTGGAAAATCGTAGTCCACATGTTTTACAAATCAGTTTGTCGAGATCTATATGCGAGATTTTTAGGCAACTCTTCAAAATTATCATTTTTTAAGTAATAAATTTTTGAATTTTTTGCTCTTTTTTCGAGCCCCTCTGAAAATTATCAAAAAAGATTTCCTTATTGATTTCAATCTGTAGAAGTCATTTTCGACGTTACCCCTTTGAAAATTCCAGCAATTTTTTCAGAATCAAAAGAAAAACGATGGTTTTCGGGATGAAAAAAATTTCATTTTCAATATGAATTTTTGGAAAATCTTGGTCCGGAACCATTAATTTGGCAGTTTTTAGACAACTCTTCAAAAATCTCAGCTGCTCAATACCTTTGTATTTGAATTATAGTTTTTCGAATCAGGCCGTTAAGATCCCTATGCCACAGTTTTTTAGAATATTTTCGCAATTTTTCAATTTTTGATTTTTTGACTCTTTTTTCCAAAATCGATTAAATAAAAAAATGATCCTTGAAATAAAAAATTGAAAAAATTTAAAACATTGTTTTTCGAATCAGCTCCAGAACTTTATGCTAGAGTTTTTTGAGAATTTTTCGATGTATAATTTTTAAGCGTTTCTCGAGCACCTTTTAAAAATTACCGAAAGACGTGTTCTTGTAGAACTGGACTAAAAGTTGGTTTCGACTTCACTTCTTTGAAAATTCCAACTAATTTTTTCAGAATCGACAAAACAAGAAATGACAAT